GGAGAGAAGAAAACAACAATAAACGTCAAGATTCTTGGTTAGTGCCTTTTCCAAACATTTTTGTGTGAAACATTAAAAACAGTTATTTGGTTCTTGAAAATGAGGGATTATTGTTTAATTGATGCTATTATTCTAAATTAAACAACTATTTAACCTGACCTAATTCATAATCAATTAATGTAATGTGTTAAATAGAATTTAATGAATTTTTTTTCAGGCAAACCAAGTGCTCCTGTGGGACCTGTTGCATTCCCCCAAATTGCAAAAGATTTTTGCCGTCTGTCATGGAATCCACCTATAGAAGATGGCGGAGCAGAAATCACTCACTATATTGTTGAGAAAAAGGACATGTCTCGAATAAGGCAAGTAATATCCATGTAGGATTAGCAGATTTAAAAAAGGGATTTTTTTATTCGAATAGGGATTTCTAAATTCATAATTCTTTTTTAAACAGTTGGGTACCAGTTTACGAAACATTGGAAAAGACCAGTTGTGCTGTAAAGAAATTAATGTCTGGTAGTGAGTATATGTTCAGAGTCTCCGCTGTAAACAAGTATGGCATTGGACCTGCATTGTTGTCATCGAACATTGTTGCCAAAAACCAATTCAGTAAGTTTTATTAGTACGAGGCTGTTTTCAATATGACTTCCAAACCTTGCAAGTGTCTTACTTAAAAAGTATTGTAAATACTTCAGGTGTTCCAGAGGCTCCCGGTGCTCCAGAAGTTATTTCAACGACCAAAGATTCTGTTTGCATTATATGGACAAGACCGGACAGTGATGGTGGGTCTGATATCACCAACTATATTGTTGAAAGAAGACAACCACAGGGACGATGGCTCAGGTAACTATGGTTCTCATAATATTTTAATCTACAGTGCATGGTAATTGTAATATGTGTTATAATTTCTAGATGTACAAAGGACAAGTCATTATCTGATCTTCGATACAATGTCACAAGCCTGCGTCACTTGTCATATTTCGAGTTCAGAGTGTGTGCGGAAAATGCTGCTGGGTTGGGAGCATTTAGTGACGCCAGCATTCCAACCAAAGTGCAAGAACCTCTTTATCCTCCAGGTAACATATTGATAAGAAAATGGCATCTAGTGATATGATAAAATATTATATTCTAAAAAAAAAAACTTTAATGTTTACAGCTGCTCCAGCACGTTTAAGAGTAACAAATATTACAAATTGTAGTATCAGTCTTGCTTGGAGTGTCCCTACATATGATGGTGGCTGTCCAATTGATGGATATATTTTAGAAATGGCTGAAAGTGTAACTGATGAAGAAGAAAATTGGGAAAAGTGAGTATTTGTAATAGCTACCTCCTCTTCTCATCAGCAAAATGAACTGGCATCAAATAATACTTGGTATATTAACAGGGTTCACAAATCCAAATACATAAAAGCAATGGAATATAATGTTGTAGGATTGACGAAGGGTCGTGAATACATTTTCAGAGTGTTTGCTGTAAATGAAATATCTGAAAGTGAAGTGCCAGCAAAGGTATGTGAATTCATAACTACCGGTAAATTGTCATGGAACGGTATATCATCTATTGCTTATTTTAAAATTCATTTTATATTTGATGTATTTTTCAAAAAACAGATATCTGACCCAATAGTGACTAAAGACATTCTCGAAGAGCCTGCTATTGAACTCTCTGAAAATCTGAATAAAGTCCTATGTGTGAAAGCAGGAAGGTCTCTGATCTTACATGTTGGAATCACAGGTCAGTATCAACATGTTTAATAATCCCTGTGTAACTTAGAATTTCTGTATCAACCAATTGTTTTTTTCCTTATTTCAGGTCGCCCAGTTCCTTCTGTCACTTGGTCGAAAACACCTTGTGGCGAAGATTTAGATGAAAGATCAACAATAGAGGGTCATCCAAAATCCAGTGTTTTAAAGATTGCAAAATGTGATCGTTATGATGCAGGAATATACACCGTTACAGCAGAAAATTCTTCTGGCAGGAAAGAAGCTAATATCACAGTTAAAGTATTAGGTGAGGTTAAATAAATCAATCATATAATGTAGTATCTGCATTTTGGAAAAGAAGGTTTAACGTTTTTTCTACTTAAACATTTGTAGATACCCCAGGAAGAGTATCTACTATTGAAATAGAAGAAGTCACAAAGAGCTCTGTGACAATATCATGGAAATCACCAGAAATTGTTGGTGGTAGTGATGTTAAAAGCTACGTTATTGAAAGGCGTGAACAGACAAGACGGACATGGAACACTGTTGAGAATAGGTTTGTGATTGGGGATCACATTTTGAAGAAGAATACGTGCATAGAGTTTAGTTTTTTATTTTCTAATGCATCATCGTTTCAGATGCACTTCAACATCATTTAAAGTTGATGGTCTTCAAGAGGGAGTAAGATATTATTTCAAAGTAACACCAGAAAATGAGTTTGGAATTGGAGAAGAACGAGAAACTGAAAAATCTGTTTTGGCGTGTGAGCAACCTTCACCGCCAGCAAGTATAGAGGTAAATGTACTCAAATTTTAAAGACTGTTATTTTCAAAAATTTTCAGTATTTGAATTCTCATTGCTTACGTTCAAAAATTACACAGGTTACAGATATTACCAACAATAGTGTAACCTTGCTTTGGAAGTCACCTTGCCAAGATGGAGGAACACCTATTGAAGGATATCAACTCGAAGTAAAAGAGAAAGGTAAGTATAATAAATGTAATTTTCGTTAAACTTCAACCTGACAAGTATCTACATCAATATAACCCACTTTTAGACACTGACAAATGGAAAAATGCAGGAAGCACATCTCAGCTGAAGCATGTAGTAAAAGGTCTCAAGGAGGGAAAAGATTACTTTTTTAGAGTAAAAGCAAAAAATGCCAGTGGATTTGGAGAACCGAAAGAATTACTGTCATCTGTCACCATTAAAGAACAACCAGGTAAAATTTCTATTTGTTTGCATATTATTACTATTTATTTTTGCAATTTTATATATTCTACTAATCAATCATTACTTCTAGAAAAACCTGCAATCAAAATTATCGACTCTTCAAAGCACGTAAGCAAAAAGGGGGGCGAGGATATCTTACTGAAATTTTCAGTCTGTGGAAGACCACAACCAGCCATCACTTGGCACAAAAATGCTGCTGCTTTGGAACAATCTAAAAGGTGGGTAAAAATCAATGAATCAAATGAAATATTTTGTACTATTTATACTTATAGGTTTCGTCATTGAATTTTAATATTTTATGTTTGATTAAGAATAAACTTCGCTACTGATGATGGTGTAACAACTCTAGCAATAAAGGAAGCCAAAGTGGAAGATTTGGGCGAATACAAATTGACTGCAACAAATGACGTTGGAAAGACCAGTGAAATCGTGATTGTAACTATTCTTGGTAAGAATTGTTTTGTTGCTTAAACTCGATACTTACAATTTCTGTATTATAACCTATTTACCTTTTTTTAGATGTTCCTTCATCTCCAACTGGACCTGTTGACTTTGCAGAAGTTACCGGTAATTCTTTAGTACTTACATGGCAACCACCATTGTATGATGGAGGAGCCATGATTACCAACTACAAGGTTGAAAGAAAAGAAACACACGGACGCAACTGGACAGTTGTTAGTGACATTGTCACGAGGTAAACACTGCAACAACTCGTATAAATATTCTGAGTATCTTATCAGAATTAGCTTGTTCTAATATAGCTCATTTGTATTTTCAAAGGACATGTATGAAAGTCACAAAATTAGAAGAAAATGGAGAATACATATTTAGAATATCAGCTGAAAATCGATTCGGTGTTGGAAAATATTTACTTTCAGAAAGTGTGGTTGTTAAAAACCGTTATGGTGTGTATTTTCTGATTTATATGTAGATTGTTAGGTTAGACCTCACAGTGCATATGTAGCAAGATTGACAAAACGTTTATGATTGGTGAATATTTCGGTATCCCTACATCTGCTCAACTGCCAAAAAACACAAAATAAGCTTCCATAGCTGTCAAGCTCTTGATGGATAGGACATTAAAATTCTTGGTTTAACTGTCACTCAAAATGTTAACAGGTTACTCAAATCTTTGGCCTGTATATCACTGCTGTCTCGATCTGTATATCATAAATCTTAAATAGCTCATTTGTTTGGGACTGTGTAGGTTTTATCTCTGTAAAGATTTCTTGCAAATGTATATTCCTTATCTCAGCGAATAGTAGGTAACTCATAATCATGAAAATTTATTATTTGATCAGGTGTACCTGGTCCACCAAGTAGTCCTCAGGTTTTGGAAGTTGTTAGTGATGCTATTTCTTTATGCTGGATGGAACCAGTCAATAATGGTGGATTGAATATAATTGGATACATTGTTGAAAGAAAGGAAAAGAAGGTATATAATTTATCTGTGTAAGTATTGTTAAGTTAAATAAGAGTACGCAATGAAACATTTGATTTTATTATCCAGGGCAAAAGATGGATTAGAGCCACACGCCAACCTGTAAAAGAGACTCGTTTTACCAGCACTGGTCTAATTGAAGGAATTGAATACATTCACCGTGTCTTTGCTGTGAATGAAAAGGGAGAGGGCAAGTAAGTATAATCTGACACACAACTCTGGTACATACAACCTTAATTTTCTGTCCTGTTTTTTAAAAATCATACCTCTTTTAGACCTAGCAAGGAGACTGTCGCAGTACTTTGCTGTGATCCAGTTGATCCCCCAAGTGCACCTCGTAATCCAAGAGTTGTTGAGATTACGAAAAGCACTCTATCTCTTGCATGGGATAAACCAGAATCTGAAGGTGGATCAAAAGTCTCTGGCTATTTTATTGAAATGCGAAAGGTCGGTATCTGTATTGGTTATATTTGTCTTGCACCTTTTCAAAAATCTCCCTGAATGGGTTGATTTGTGACACTCCTTAAATGAGTTGCTTTGTGACATTCAAATAGCTTCTGCAACTAATTATAAATATATCTTGACGTTAAAAGGGTGAAGAATGGTGGGAAAGATGCAATACCACTCCCATACGTTTCACACACTACTCATTAAAAGGAATGACTGATGGAGGCCAATATTTAATTCGATTAATGGCTGTTAATGCTGGTGGTGTTGGTGATGCAGTAGAAATGGAAAAACCAATTGTCATTAAAGATGAAAGTGGACTCCCCAAATTCATTGTAGATGATGAGGTAATTGTTTCTTATTTTGAAATCCTTCAGAACAGTTTCATAATCCACATTGGATGATATGATCCCTAATATTATCATACTCTCAATTTTACAGGTTTGCAACCTTGGAATTACTGTTGAGCAAGGTGATATCCTTTCGATTCCAGTTAAGTTCAAATCTCAACCCAAACAATCTGTTACATGGTTGAAACAGAATACCAAAGATGAGGATTTCAAATCTAGATGCTCCATTAGTGTCAATGAAAGTTTTACAGAACTTCTCATCAAAAAAGTGACCCCAGCTGATGCTGGATTTTATGGAGTGAGGTTGGAAAATAAATGCGGAGTGAAAGAGGTAAAATCTCTTAGTCAAATATTTTTCTGCTCGATTGTTTTTATTTGATTTATATGTTTAAAAATGATTTTGCTTCTTGATAGATCCAAATTCCTGTTGTAGTTTGCTGTCCACCAGCTGCACCCGAAGGGCCAATTGTGTTCAGTAACATTACTCCAAACTCGGTTTCTGTTTCTTGGAAAGAAACTCCCAGCATTGTTGAAAAATACATTGTAAAATATCGGGAAGAGAAACAGACAGTTTGGGTCACTGCAGCTGTTGTGACTACAGGAACAAGCTGTACAATTAAAGGTATGGATTCAAAAATTTCGACCTTAGTTTTTGTTCAACAATTCGTTGAGTAAATTTGAAAACATGATATTGATGTTTCAGGTCTAATCAAAGATGAAAGATACTATTTCCAAATTGCAGCAGTTAATCAATATGGCCGAAGTCCTGTGCTTGAATTAAATCAGCCTCTGATACCAACAATCAAATTGCTGGTTCCTAAACCACCTCAGCATGTTGAGGTATATAGATATATATTTATAAATATATTATGAGTTCATATGTTCAATGGGACTACATGAATCTCACTATAAATTAATTTTGTTCAGATCAATGAAGTGACAAAAGATAAGATTTGTGTTTCTTGGATGCCTGTACTGGAAGATGGGGGATCTCCAATAAGCGGTTACTATGTTCAATGTAAAGAAGTGTCCTCAGATTCATGGTGCAAGATCAACAAAGTTCTTACAAAGAACAACTGTCTAACTGTACAAGATGTTGTTGAAAATGCAGAATACGAGTTCTGTGTGGTTGCTGTTAACAGTGTGGGAGATAGTGAACCATCGGCAACATCTGAATCTGTTATTTGCAAAGATCCAGATGATGTACCCTCTCCTCCAGAAGATCTTGAGGTCCAAAATCTTACACGAAACTCTATTACACTTGCATGGAACGAGCCTTCATTCCGAGGAGTAACACCAATACTTGGTTATATTGTTGAAGTTAGGTAAGTATTGATTGCTTTGTGGGCTTAGTAGTGATAAATATACATGTATGGTTATTTGAATATCTTATTCTGTGATAGGAAACCCGACTCTACAATTTGGGAGTGCACACATGAAGTTGCATTGATGGAGCCGAACCATCAAATATGTGAACTGGATGAAGATACTGCATATGAAATCCGTGTAATAGCAGTGAATGACTCTGGCAAATCCAGGTATGCTAATATATAAGGTTTTTAATATAATAAAGGGGTTTTGGTAGCTTTAAACAAGCATTCACTTTTTTCAAGGCCTGCCATATTTGAAAAGCCGATTGTGACAAAGAAACCAGTTGGTGAACCACCTCTTATATTGGAGCCACTCAGCAATGAAAACTGCACAGTTGGAGATACTGCCATTCTTGCATGTAGAATTTCTGGCAAACCAGAACCTAAAATTTCTTGGTGGAGGTAAGCTACGCAAATACGACTACGTAACTATAATTCATTCTCTAGATAACTCTGTACCTTGCACCCATTATACTTTTGTTCACTTACACAGAAATGGGGTGGAAATGTCTACAGGAGGAAACATTAAAATCTTAGCAGAGGGTGAAATGCATTCTATTCATATTAACAATGTCACCGTGCTTGATAGTGGGGAGTATACTATCACAGCAAAGAATTCAATTGGAAAAGTAGAAAGCATATCTTGTGTTGCTGTCAATGGTAAGTATAAGCATCGATATTGAGTAATTGATGATTAATAGGTTATTGGCAGAAAACTAAATGTTCGTTTTTATCAGGGTCACCAGTTGTGGATGACAAATTCAACTTCCAAGAAAATATCTCTATGAAGGCTGGTGAACAGTTGGATATCCATGTACCCTACCTTGGGTTGCCTAAGGCTGATGCTATGTGGAGTAAAGGTGGATTATCCGTACAACCGGGAGAAAATTGTACACTTGAAACTACAAATATGTACGCACATTTGCAATTAAGTAATGTCACTCGCTCTGATTGTGGAAAATACACTGTAGTATTGAGCAACATCCATGGAAAAAATACATATTCTGTCAATTGTGAAGTATATGACAAACCAACCAAACCAAGAGACCTGGCATTCTCGGACATCACAGATTCTAGCCTTTCGCTCATATGGAATGAGCCAGAAGATTGTGGAGGGTCTCCTGTGGTTCAATACATCATAGAAAAATGTGAACAAAATGTAGAACCATTGAAATGGGAGCTTGTGACATCTCGGGCTGTCAAAACTGAATACAAGGTCGGTACATCACTTGGTTACCTCGTAATTAAATCGTTTTGAGCGTTGAACTAATTGAATATATTGTCTTTTTAGGTTGAAGGTTTGACTCAAAAGCACTCTTATATTTTCCGAGTGACTGCAAAGAGTAAATATGGACTTTCTGAAGCCATTGTGATGGAAGATCCCATTATTATTCGAACCCCTACTGATGCTCCTCTAACACCCACAAACATATCGGTAAAATTTTTGGTTACTGTCAACTAACTTTGCGTTATTGCTATTGTCTATAAAAATTACTGACCTTATTACTTTCAGGTAAATGGTATCACTTCTGATGCATGTATACTGAACTGGAAGCAGCCGAAGACTGATCGTACCAAGGTCACTAGTTATATTGTGGAAAAGCGTGACAATAAAAATACTGAATGGAGTAGTGTAACAATTGACACAATTACAGAGACTGTTTGTTGTGTTACTGGATTGCTTTTAGGACAAACTTATGAATTCAGGTACTTTTCATTTTATATAATGGATATGATTCAATTTACGTTTTACGAATTTTAATTCAATGAACCTATATTTCTAGAATTACATCTGAAAATGACAGTGGAAAATCTGATCCATCCGAACCAACACCATCCATGACTCCAAAAGAGAATGTAAGAGTTGTCAAACCACGTTTCATGGAACAAATGAGGGACATTGTAGCCAAACCAGGCCAGAATGTCACATTGTTCTCCAAAATATCTGGTCAGCCTAAGCCTATTATCAAATGGTACAAGGGTGGGCGTGAAGTCGTGCAAGATAGCAAACACCAAATGCGATATGGAAGAGGAAATAATTACAGTATGAACATAAGTAGGGCCTGTATTGAAGATGAAGGTCCATATACCATCAGGGCAATCAATGTTGGAGGTTCAACAAGTTGCACCATCAATATTACTATTCATCTTCCTGCAAGAGTATTGTTGCCACGTTATATGTTAAACGAAGCAACACACTGCAAAGTCCATGAATCTGTTAGTTTGAAGGTTCCTATTGAAGGCTCACCTATGCCAAAAGTAACTTGGTCTAAAGCTGGTAAACAAATCACTCAAGAAGTAAGTGGTTACAATATTGTAACAACCTCATCTTCGACAACACTTATGATTAAAGATGCCTGGCGATCTGATTCTGGATTCTACAACATCACATTGGATAATAGGTTCGTATTATTCTTCAATCAATTGATTATAAGTGATTTCAAGCAAGAAAAAATGCATTTTTAATTCTTTAATTTTAGATTTGGAAGTCATCAAGCCACTGTTCAGTTGCTAGTAGCAGACAAACCAGGCCAACCAGAACGTCTTAAAGTTTCTGGAATATCTAGAGATTCTGTTGATCTGTCTTGGACCGCACCTTCAGATGATGGTGGAAAGGCAATTTTAAAATACATCATTGAAAAATCTTTGGTAAGCAGTGAGAGGTGGATGAAAGTGTCATCTTCAAGTACAACACGCTACACCTTGTGTGGTTTGTCTGGCCGAACTAGCTATCTGTTCAGAATTCGTGCAGAGAATGAGTGTGGTCAAAGTAGCCCATCTACTCCATCCGGAATCATAACAACAAAGGAAGATCCTACAATGGCTGCGACATATGATGAAATGGTGGATGTTTCTGGAGACGTGGACTCCAAAAATGCCAAGGTACAGGAAATCTGTTATGCTGTGTCAATATTGTGATGTTGACTGCTGTAATATTGAGATCTTGTTCATAAGATCAAAACTTATTATTAAATTTATTTACTTTTAGACACAGACAAATGTCAATGTGCTTAGCAAATACAACTTACTAGAAGAGCTTGGTCGTGGTGCATTTGGAAATGTTCACAGAGCCCAGGAAATTAGTAGTGGTAAAATTATGGCAGCTAAGATTGTAAAAACTGATGATGAACACAATTATGCCTCAGTAAAAAGAGAAATTGCGGTAATGAAGAAATTAAACCATCCAAACTTACTTCAATTACATGAAATCTTTGAAGCCAAAGGAGAATTTGTAAGTGTAAAAACTGTTTGAATGTTAGTTTTTCAGGTTGATATTGTGATATTGTATTTTAATTCCATGCACATTTCTATTTTTAGACTATGATTGTTCAATTTGTTTCTGGCGGGGATCTCTTTGAGAGAATTACCAGCGATCTCTTTGACCTCACTGAAGACATCTGCATCCAGTTGATTAAACAAATTACCATGGTTGGTGTTATAATTTTTACATAGCTAAGCAATTTTACTATATTATAGGACGATTGAACAAATACAGAATTGAATATTTATTTTTTGCAGGGTCTGGCATTCATGCATGATGCAAATATTGTTCATCTTGACCTAAAGCCGGAAAATGTCTTATTTGTGACGAGAAAGAGCAATAATCTAAAATTAGTTGACTTTGGAGCATCAAGAGAATTGCGATCTGGGGAAGGTTGGTTTACATGCATATTCTATTCAAGTTTCATGTTTTGGTCATTACTGTCTGCTAAATAATTACTTTTATACTTTACAGCTCTCAAGATTGCATATGGAACACCAGATTTCTGCGCACCTGAAGTAATTACAAATGACTCTGTAGGCCGTGCAACAGACATGTGGTCTCTTGGTGTCCTCACTTACATTCTTCTGTCTGGTGTTTCACCATTCAAAGGTGAAAATGACTCTGAAACATTGAAGAATGTTAGTGATGCTGAATGGGATTTCAATCATGAAGCATGGGCAAATATATCTGATGAAGCCTTGGACTTTGTTGACAGGTAAAAGTTTTTTCAAACTATTTATTGAAGTATAATGAATGATATGGTTTTTAATAATACTTTGAAATTTCAGACTTCTCATCAGAGAAAAATGTGAAAGAATGTTTTCGAGAGATGCTCTTCTTCATCCATGGCTCTCTTCTGATATTGAGAATGTTGAGGAACTTGTGGCTGAGAAAAGATCTCAAGTCATACCAACTATGCTGCATCGTAAATTTTTTAAAGCAAACATAATATTTGAAGCATCTACTGTTGTGGTCTCTCTTGGTCGTTTAGCTTATGGAGGTTCTCTTCGATCATGCAAAGGAAAATCAGTCTCCAAACTAAAAGTAGAAACCGTTAACATGAATCCATGTCTAGCACCATTGCATCATCAGTTCGTTGCTGAAGGAGGGGATGCAAAATTGGAAAGCAAAATTTATGATGCTGAAGGAGATGAAGATATTACTTGGTTCAAAGGCAATATCAGATTGGAAGAAAGTGAAAAATATCAATTCGCTTATGACGAGGAATCTGATAAATTCTCTCTTATTGTCAGAGGTGTTCAGAAGTCTGATGACAGCACATACAGATGCAAAGTCGAAAATGGCTTTGGAACCTCATCACAGCAATGTGAATTGTGTGTGCAATTGAAATCTGGGTAAGTTTGTATGACTACTCTTGGTTGTATTTTTTCCAAAAGCTTCATGGTTAAGTACTTCTGTTCTGAATATACCTTTCTTTTTAGTAAATGGACACGTGTGCCACGTATCATATACATTTCCAAGCACAAAAAGATTGCAAAGCGATCTGGAGGAGAAGTCATGCGCTCACTAAGACATGCACCTGAATTCACCCTTCCTCTGTACAACAGAACCGTCTATGCGGGAGAGAGTGTAACATTTTCTGTAACTGGTAAGATTCTTAGCATATTGTTTTCGTAATATTCAACTGTTGCATAGAATGAATGTTTATGAACCTGTGTTTATAAACTTGAATATTAGATAATCCATTATCCTTCTATCTTTTTAGTCACTGTTCATCCAACACCTGAAATAACATGGTATCACAATGCGCAAAAAGTCAAAATCAGTTCTGACAACAAAAAATATGTTGAATATCAAGAGAAAGGACTGTATAGACTTACTATTTGTGATTGTGATTTCCGGGATGGTGGCGATTTGTTGGTCATAGCAAGAAACAAATATGGAGAAGACATGTGCAAAGCATCTTTGGTTATAAAACGTAAGATCAAATTTGCTTGGTTAGCATGTTAAAAAGTTTTTGACCCAGATCTTTGTTTGGTTATCAAACTGTTGTATGAGTAAAAATATATACTTGAAAAAAATACAAAATTGGCATCAATTATCAAGAACTACAACGGAATATTATCAAAAATTTGCAGGTAAACCATCGCAAGCTGAAGTCAGTCTTCGACCAACTTTCAGAAGACTTATGGCAAATCAATATGTTCATGAAGGCCAGTCTGCAAAATTTGATATTAGAGTGGCTGGTTATCCAAAGCCTGAAGTTACATGGTAAGAGAGGGTGTCCATTGAATTCAAATATTAATCTTATTGTGAGAGACCAACTAAAAATTTCTCAATTCCAGGGAAAAAGATGGAAAGCTTTTGCGAGCAGACAATCATCATGAAATGGTGTGGGAAGACCAGCAGTCTTGTTATCTTTTGATAAAGGATGTCTTCCGACCTGATGCAGGAATGTATAAAGCAACTGCTAGAAATTCAGCTGGAGCAGCAAGTAGCAAGGCTTTACTTAGCATCAAAAAGCCCATTAAACGAATCGATGAGTAAGTTATCATTCATTGTAGCAGTATATAATCAAACTTCGATGCAGATTGAAATTATCAAACTAATATTATTTTTGCAGATATGTTACTTTTAGTCCTTTTGAAAGCAAAGGTTACAAGAAGGCTGATATATTGGCTGCTCTCAAAGGGGGTGATACTGATCAGAATTTGCCAGAATCAGCTCGGCTAGCTCTTTTGACTGCATCATCATTAGTTCGATCTGGACAGAATGCAAGCTCATTCTTGGAAGACGAAGATGCTGAAGAAAAAAGAGCTAAAATCAAATACGATAAATTAGTTGCCAGTTTGCCATACTCTGTACCACAACCAATTGAGCATAATGATAACATTCTGGAGGAAGACAAGGAGCTTTTATCATATGAACCAAGAAGTGCTACGAGATGGTACAGAAAGGTTGGTGTCTGCACTGGCTTTGAAAGATAATTGATAATGCATTTTGTTACACTCTAGAAACCACTTTAGTTATATAATTTTTTAATGCACAATTTTGTCGTCATGAAGGTATAACTAGGTAAGCATTTACCAGTATATCTCTAATGCCCTTGATAATATTGTTAACAGGTTCAAGCTTCAAATGAATTATATATCGGCCCTGACATGTCTCGTGGTTCCCAAAGAAGCTACAGAGTTAAGAAGCATGTGAATCCTGATAAGGCGTATGTTATTCCTGAGAGGCGAATTACGACAATGAAGGTTCCAACACAGGAAAACTTTGAAGAAGATCCCAAATCTGCAGTAGCAAGATTCAAAAATCCCACAAAGACTGAAGATGAATCTCGTTTTGAATTGCGGAGAAAATTCTATCATCCAATGGCAGATGATGAAAAGGTATGGCAAAAGCTAAAATTTCGCAATTGTGTTATGGTGAAAAAAAACATGGTGCTCAATAAATAAACCACTATGCATTTGTTTTAGTACTTGCAACCTGTGGATGAATATCTTATGGAACAATCGAGCATTGAATATTTAGCAGAGGAAGCCGCCATGGACTCTGCACCAATCAGGTAAGTGAACGAGTCTTTATAGTATCTTTATAGTTTAAAATTTGCTTATGTACATTTATATCTTTACATGTCTTAAATCAATTAACAGGGTTCGGAGACAAAATTCAGACAAAGATGTTAGTATCTCGCCAGAGTTAACTTACACTATCCCTTCGAAGGATTTGGAAACCAGATCGTTTTCCAAGATGCGTGAAAGGCATGATGCAGTAGAAAATATAGGAAAATCAAGGTTAGTATTGACTAATTTAACCACACAACATAATGTTGGCTACTCCAACACAGAATACATTCCATGGGCATATTGTTGAATATTATCATGCAATTCAATGAAAAACTTCTTCTGGTCAAATTGTATTGTTGTCTTAGATCCAGCATGAAAAAAGATCCCTCGGAAGATAACATTCTACGGCCCATGGCTTTAAAAATATCTCAGTATGGCAGTAGGCAGAAAACTGAAATACCTTCTCTGAGTACTTCATCCGAAGAAATTGGGGGAATGTCATGGTATCAAAAACGACTTCAAAAGATGAAAATGAAACCAACAGCCGAAGAACTAGCATATGAAGAAGGTTATGAATGCGAAGTTTCTAATCCCAAACTGCCTAAGGCTACACTTAAGAACTTCACACAGGGAAGCACAGCTGTCCGCAGAAGGTATATTGAAATTAAAAAAGACTTTCTGGGAGGAATAAATCGACTAATTATTCATGCAACTATTTAAATACCTGTTTCAGATCATTCGAATTTGAAGAATTGACGAGACCTGTGTCAGAAATGTTTCCAGAGAGAAAAAGGTGGTCATCATCCTCTTCTTCAAGTTCTAGTGACATTGATGATGAAGTGACTAAAACATCACCAAGGTGAGTTATGTTGTATTTTTTGACATGCTCTCTAAAGATATTTTTCTTATGTGCTTGTCTTTTTGTAACCGGATTAAGTCATTTGGATAATTTTTACTTTCAGGGTTACTAAATCTGGAGTCAGATTCTCTGAACTCTCTCCAGAAAATTCCAAAGGCAGATCAACTCATGAAGCACCAAAATTTCAGTTAAAAATGAGGTGAGAATTCACTCATATCATACCTTGCATTTGAATCTCATAAAATGAAACTTATTTGCTTAATTGTATCTATTGATCCATAGATCTCATGTGGTATCTGCTGGAATGAACACAAAATTCACTGCAGCGGTGAAGGCGATGCCTCAGGCCAACATTCGCTGGCAAAAAGATGGCATGTTGATTTTTGCTGATGGTGACAAATACAGAATGTCAGATGTTAATGGTGGGTATTCTTGTCAAACTTCTCAATATTTGTAAAATATTTAAATTTTTCCTTTTGCCACAAAGTGGAAAACTTTGTACTAAATTGTTGTGGATGCTACTGTTATGTTAGGAGGTGAAAATATGCTCCCCAGTTTCGACTACAGGACATCAATTGAAATATTTTAGTACAAGTTTCAAAAAATTTCCCTGGACCCACCCGTTGTTTTAACCATAAGTGCACTTTAAAAGTATACTTGGTCATGGAAATTCTGTTATAATATATATCATATCTGCATGTGTTCATATTTTCATTTATATCCCAATCCTATTTTTTCCAGGTGTCATCTCTCTTGAAATCAAGAACTGTGGTCGCGAAGATACAGGATCATACAGATGTCTGGCCCGCAATGAACATGGAGAGGTTTCTGCATACGCCACTTTGGAAGTAACTGGGAGCAATTCAAGGTTTGCAATAGTTTATATGAATATAGACTTCCAAAATCTTATCAGTAGTCCAGTATAAATAAAAAAAGACGCGTTGGATCTAGGTTATATCGAGATAAGGAATCAAAATCATGCCTATTACCTTTTTAGAGACTACAAGCGAAGACCAAAGTCGACTATGAATGATGATGATTGGAGAAGGCATTAACTGCCATCCAAACATTCAGAATATATTGGCTCAGTTTGATGATGGATGTCAGTCTAATTTTTCGAATGACTTTCTGAAATACTTAATTCTAAAATGTTTGAAACAGTATGTACTGATTTTATGCTCGTGTGCTTCTTATACAGCGGAATATTTTATACACAGCAAGTGTTAATGCATGTTGTAAACTTGTTGTTTTTATGATTTTATTGTAACTTATGTAAATACAAAGTTGCTTGCCTCAAATATAATCACAAGTTCATTTTATTTATTTTTTAAAAATTATTGTCATAGTGTTCTAGTCGATTACTTATCATATTTCATTGACTGAATTTAAAGTTTGATATGTGCCAAGAAACGCTTTGAAATTTCGTGAACAGTTTTATTCAAGAATTTTTGCCCACAATTTGTGGATAATAAATGGTCATTGACCACAAGTATGATGCAGTCAAAGATTTTGAAATGTCTTTCTGGGGATATGATCTATAGAGCATGTAAGACATTAGTCTTATATAGGCAGATTGAAAGAGCTTTCAAATCAAAAAACGTGCACAAACCTTAGAAAAACGTCTAAAACTAACTTCTACAACCAGCTTTCAGCTGTTTTACAACACGCGAGCTTATCAACTTAAGTCTCTTTCGCATCATTGTGATTCGTCAAACTTAGCTGCCGTGTACGGGTGGTGATGCTTATCAATGTCCACAATATTAGTCTATTTGTCTCTCTGATTTGCATAAAAGGCCCCGGTTCATCTGACAACGATTTTGTCCAAAAACCTTGAAAGATTTGTACCAACGTTCACTATCCGTAGATGACCCGCAACGGTATGGAGTAGACGCTGTGACACTTCCATTGATTTTACTGTCGATTTCAACGTTATATTCGGACTTCAATCAAAATTGTGTCGCAACACCGCGCGCGCGCTTATGAACGTACGTCGTATCTTGCGAGTCATCGTGACAAGGATTTAGGATAGGATTTGCATATTTGTCCCGGGGAAGGGAAAGCCGATAAGACGGCTTGATCATATGGCGAACCACGGCTTCTCGTCCGGTTACCAGTCACGGTCGGGTATGGGATTAGTTAGCCAGTTATTTTGTTTTTGGAAGCATGGACTTGATGGTGGAGGAAGCCGTTACTGACCAGCGTTTACGTGAACCACCCTACGGCGGCGAGGAGTCAAGCAATTCTCTCGCACATGATTACCGGTTACCAGTCCAGGTCGGGTATGGGATTAGTTAGCCAGTTATTTTGTTTTTGGAAGCATGGACTTGATGGTAGAGGAAGCCGTTACCGACCAGCGTTTACGTGAACCACCCTACGGCGGCGAGGAGTCAAGCAATTCTCTCGCACATGATCATCCCCGCATAGGATTCGAACCTGCGAACCCACGAAGGGTAATCAGAGATGCGGCGACGAGCGTATTCCTAACGCTTATCACGATGCGCCACACCGCCAGGCCATGCCCTACCTAACGGTTGACCTATTTCAGGAAGCACATTTCTATATTTGTTTCTTTTCTTTCTTGCTTCAATTCATGAACAAATGTCGCCATGGTTGTCCACTGGCATGGTTTAATTTCAACCTTTTTTTGCCACAGTTTACTTGCGACGCCAGCGTTACCGTACGATACCGAATGAATGCAGTAAAGGAAAAATTCTGAAATTGTCATATGCCCATCTCGGGAACACACAACTCTGACTATGGTACGTCTCCGTGATTTTCCAAAGTTGTAATGCGTTCATATTCGATAGAGGATTGCTCGGATATACGTTGTCGTGTGGTTGCTCGCAGTTTAATAGTTCATTTATTAAAAATTTCATAAATATTAAGTCAAGTGTTGTTCGCTTTCAACTCTAGCATTCTTTTGTGGGGAAAATTGCGCATATTAAACGGAATTTAAATACGGAAATAATACATAACATTGATGTCAATTTTCTGTCAATTCAGAGTCGGTCGTAACTTAATTAAGAAGGCAAATATGAAATTAAACCCATGCGTTTATACCCTTCCTCGGGGCTATCTGAATTTAAGGCCATAAAAATTCACGCAACGCTGTCGTTTATACTTTTTTCGGGACTGTAGTCCTTTGATAATTATTTTTTCAAAAAGTTGTGCACCCTTTGGATTGAATAAACTAAGTGAACCATAATTTTAACGAGAAATGGGGTGGATCTTGTTCTTGGAACACGTCATTCGGAAATAGGGTGGCATGGAACCATAAAGACGTTGGGCAAACGACATAAGTGGGCGTGGAAGTTCAGCCTGGGCACGGAATTCGGCACCAATCAATAATCGCGCGTTTATGCATATTTATCTCTCTCGCCTGTTTTGTATTGTAACATTTGAGCACTTTCTGTTATGTAATGCCTGTCTCTAATACTACGTTGCAATAGAGGTAGACATTATTTGCTGCAATTTATCTGCTGAACAGAGTTTGGCAAACATGAGTGATATTTTAGTATTTCAAAAGAAAATCAGGAAGAGATGACGAAGAAGAGAGTTGACATTGCTTCTTATTCTTTAGGCCTACATGTTTTCAAACTATAGAAAGCATAAAGTACACATTAAACGATCACAAAATTTATTTTTATTTAAAGGCAGCAATTTTTTTTCGTGTAAGTGCGACGTGAGGTTTTCTCTGATAATTTGGCAGGAAACGCTAACCTAGATTCTAGAATATTGCAGACTTTTCTATTTCACCCAGCATCAATTACCTTGTTTATTTCAGTAACAATGCCCAATCAGAAAAAAAATCAACAATGACGTGACAATGACGATTTTTGCAGCCGCTCGGACACTTCTGTTCGCAGACAGATATTCAAGCGTGGTTGTAATTTAATTGTAAACATTGCCTCGTTACCGCGGGTTTGTGTGTTATTTGTCAGTTTCCAGTCGTGTTTCCCAAAATTAGAACGCACAACAGTGGCGTAGCATCCACCCCCGCAGCCCCCACAGCGCAAAGGGGCCCAAGCGGTTAGAATTTAGAAATTTAAGCCGCAAAACCAAAAGTTGGATTGCAAAACCAGTAATGCACATCTTATTAACGTTGATGTTAGTTCTGCTCAAATCGTTTTGTTACGTAACAATGCCAGGGAGTGATCGATTTTCGGCGTCTTGCGGTTTGATCGCACCAAATTACGAAGGCTGTCAGAATGATGTCGAAAGCAAAACCTCTCAGTGGCGCACAGAAACGCAGAAGAGGAAGCACGTATGAAAAAAATTAAAGTAACCAAGATAAACGGCAAATTTTAGGTTACCATTGCCTTTTAATAGCGACATGTTATGCTTTTTGACGAAATAAAAAAAACGTTGTTTTAGCTTATGGCCGAGAGTTTTTAGGGTAATTTCCACGAATTATTTTTGCGGGCAGGCCCACGAGAGTCTTGCTTCGCCACTGACGCACAATAACACAATTAGTAAATATTACACATTGAAAATCACAATACATGCCATGAAGCGGAAAAAGATTTCCATTCAATTACCGGTAATCGAAACTTTGGTAAAATATAACGTTGTTGGCCATGATATTCTGGTCGTGCTCACGTAACTCATTTTGATCTTTGGTCGACCGATAACAACCTCACTGACATGTCTCGAACGAGAACCAAGACTTCAATTGTAACGCAAGCAGATTTTCGTCGCAGAGTCGCAAAGGGGGACAGTTTATTTTCAAATGTCTATGAGATATCAGTGTAGGCAATAGGCATACTCTCTGATGAACAAATATTTGGCCCGTCCCGTCTTTTTGCTTAATTGTTTATGAAAGGCAATGGCTTATGTGAAAATAAAGTACGATCATAGTTATCTAGGCTAATTTTCGCGTTTGTAAAAAAAAATTTTGAGCAACTGTCGCAACGCGTTATTTGCCGTATGACCGTCTACCTCTACAACGGTTTGACGGAGCCCATCAAATGAAGCAACATGTTTCAAATATCCATTCGCTAATCAGTTTGCTAAAAAAATCGCAAAATAAAAGCAGATTCGACTACATTGGACAATTTCAAATGAGTTCAAAGGCGATAGTGACTACCTCTTGTTCTCCAGTGAATAGCAAGGTCCTAAAGTTCCATAACATCGGTGGGACATGGATGGAACTTTGTCTCGTGGAGTGTGCTGATATTCTGCCGAGTACGTCTGCGGCGTCAAAGATGAACGGATCTCCTTGTCGAATAGCAATGCGCATTTTCAAAAATAGATTCAGATTTCCAGTCTATCATATCTAAAAAACAGCAAAGTTGATATGGATGGTGTAATGTAAACTCTGAGTCTGATGCGTTCTTTGTAATTTTATGCGTTGGATTGTTCTATTCGATGAATAACACCGGTTTTCTTTACACGAATCGTCACTACTTTGGGATGCTAGACGACGCAATGAATGTTCTCATGGGGTTTCAACTTCTACACCAATTGCAAGCCTTTATTATAGAAAGTCTTACCAATTATTATTACCGAGAAAATTATTCTTTTCATGAGAGTCCATATGTAATGGGAAATAAAAACTCAGCCTAATCGAAACTGGATAATTGAGATAAAGAGTTTGGGAATCCCTGGTTTAGTTTCAATAATCAAAAATTAGTCCCGGAGAAGCTGCGATAGACTAGGTTAAAATTAGCTGTTAGTACCTGTAAGTAGCGCAGGGTCGTATATTTTAACAAAAATAATGGTTTTGAACATGTAAATCAGTTCCTAAGTGTCAACTCTGCAAAACACTCGCAAAATAAACATTCAAGATTTTCTAATAGTAAGGTATAGGGCAGTGGTTCTCAACCTTTTATGGCTCGTGGCCCCCATCCGGCGCCTATTTGCACTCATGGCCCCCCTGTTTGCCATTTTGAGAAACTAAACGTGTTGGATTGTATTATGTTTTTACTACCGTTTATGAAATGCAAAAGCAAACCACGGACAAGAAAGTAAGAGCTTTCTAGTATACAATCAATGAGAATCGCTTGGGACTGTCTGACGAATTACAGATAAGTTGCGAATCGCAACTTGCGACAAATGCGACAAAACAATTTTCTTTCTGAGTAGTGGGTAAGAATCTGATATGTCATTTCAACGCTGCATTCAAAAGCGGGCTTTCCCTCCGGCAAAAACCCGAACTTCGATAGAACTTCAAGAATTCGATATCAACGCTTTTACCCGGGATGATTTTTGTCACGGTGGTTTTAGAGTTTAGATGGACCAATGACATGTTATTATATGTCATTGGATGGACTTAATGATTCATTGCTAATTACATACGAGCAATGCAAGTATTGGGGAAATTCTCTGTCATCTCGATTTACTTTGATAAAGCCAAAGTGACTGTCGTTCCATTTCGTATTTTGGGCGTTAGGAATTTACAAATGGGTTTTTCCGTCTATATTACGATAGTACAATACATATTAACCTATTCAGGCAATTTAACTGAGGTGAACGCTTCAACAGAGAATTTATTATAAAAAGAGAGTATGCTAACGAAGTCTTTTAGGATCAATTATTAGCCTTTTGTCGTGGCCCCCTCGAACTGCTTCGTGGCCCCCTGGTTGATAACCACTGGTATAGGGAGAGTTTTTCTGGGATCAAGGGTCGGGGAAACTGATTTGCGTTGTCCAACCTTTGACCCCTGAAATATTCTTCTTTTTGACAAATAAAAATAAAAATATTCTTCCTGCAATATGCAATCGCAAATGATGCCTATTTTGAGGATAGTGAACTGGCGTAGGTGTAACGACAGGCACCAAAAAATAGACAGGCAGTAGAAGAAGAATGTGGTAACACCATGGTATGCATCGATGAATATGGTCATAGGCCTACTTTGACGGTATTTTCTATCAAACTATGTGCCATGTTTTTTATATTATTACAATTTATTAAGTTTTAAAAAATCTTAATTGCTTATTACCATTTCCTAAATCTATTTTTATTCCTGTCATTAGCATATGTGTGTGTGTTTGCCAGTGTCTGGTATTGGTATTTATGTGCCGATTGATTTTGATTACTAGTGGTATATTACAGTATTAAGGTAGCACACAACCTGAAATTTAAAAAAAGTTAGAATTTCAATTGCCAGATTGCTGAATTGAGTCTGTGAGTTTATTTTCACTTGCAGACTTGTGCTACAGTTCAAACTGTTAATGTTTTAGTGTTGTCATTATAACTAAGGATAGGATTTACATATTTATCCCCGGGACAGGAAAGGTAATACTGTGATAAGACGGCTTAATCATGTGGCGAATTACGGCCTCTTGTCCAGTTGCCAGTCCATGTCGGGTGTGGAATTAGTATATAGAGTAATTTAAAAAAGCAAAATCGTGAATATACTACTACTTTTGTATTTAATTGAAAATACCCTGAGCATTGGATTTTATTCGTTACCAAATAGGACAATGAAAAATAAGAATTTTAACAAATTACTTTTTGCTTTGAGTATTTTTGCTTTGAGTGTGTGCACGCTCTTTATCGTGAGAGCATGGTTCGATTTGTACGGCACTAATAATAATTATTACAGTATTATTATAAGCGAACTAGATAGTAAAATTGTAAAGCACAAAAAAGGTGCAATACCGCCGTTCTCGCATTCTGAATATGCAAGCTGGGATTACCGTGTTTGATGTCTGCCCGCTTTTGCGGGTTCTTGAGAAAACGCAAGTATAACAAACGAGAGAGATTTCATTGCGAGAGAAAACGCTCGTCACTGATTAATATTTAGAAATCCGAAATGCAAAAATTGACGCACGGCGTCGAAGAGGGGGAAGCCGAATCTGGTATCGATTCCTTTTGGATTCGAATCTTCCGGATTCAGTATTCTATATTGCCCATCTCTAGCTAAACCGCAGATCCATTTACTTCATGATAATGGTAAAACATGTAAGCTAAAAGCCTTTGATTATCTCATTCATCTATTTCTTATAATCTCAACATTTTATTTCAGTTTGTTCGTGAGGTTATCTATGATACCGAAGGCTTAAAACGGTCATTTTCTTGCCTGTCATGCCAATATTGGTTTTTCCACAAGATAATTTTCATTTTTGAACACAAAGAATTGAGGTATGAATAAATTGGTCGCAACCAATGAATACCTTAGCTTCCGTAATGCAGTTCCATTGAAAAGAGTGATTGTAGATGAAGGGGATTCAAAAGTTTGGAGCTTATATGATGCTGGACCAAAGACTGTAAAATGCCCAATTATTTGTCTCCCACCAGCGGCTGGAAAAGCTGATGTTTTTTACCGGCAAGTGTTGGGTCTTTCCGGCATGGGGTATAGAACAATAGCATTGGATTATCCAGTTTACTGGACCGTTGAAGAATTTTGCGTTGGCCTACGAAAAATTATTGATCATCTTCACTTGGATCAGATACATATATTTGGTTGCTCGCTGGGTGCTTATCTTGGTCTTAAGTTTGCTGAAAGAATGCGTAATACGCCATATATTGCTTCAATAGTTTTATGCAATGGCTTTACAGATACTTCTGTGTTCAAATACACGAGAGCATCATCAGCTTTTTGGCTCATACCTGGTTTTCTTTTGAAACGACTGGTAATGGGCAGTTTCACTCGAGATGTTACGGATGCCCCTCAAGCGGATGCAACAGATTTCGTTGTTGAGTGTCTTGAAAATCTCACTCAACAAGAAATTGCATCACGTCTCGTACTTCATTGTAACGGGGATTATGTTAGAAAGCCACATTCCTTACAACACATTGCTGTTACGTTAATGGATGTTTTTGATGAAAGTGCCTTGTCACAAAGTGTTAAGGATGACATGTACAAATGCTTTCCAAATGCAAAGCGGGCTCACTTAAAGACAGGTGGTAATTTTCCATATTTAAGCAGATCTTCTGAAGTTAATTTGCATCTAAGAATTCACCTAAAGTCTTTCGAAGGAACTAAAGCTTCAGCTCGAGAAGCACCAAGCCCCCATGATGCGACCAATTTATCACCTTCTATGCAAGCTGTTCCATCAGATGAAATTTTTCAGGAGGAAAATGATGATACGAAGCCAAAGACGTTATTGGATTTGTCAAAGTTAAACAAAGATTCAGATGATGAAATGTCCATGAATGAACCTCCGACAATTGAAGTTGATGATAATGAACCGATCGATTTTCCCATCTAAAAAGTCTATTTATTTTATTCTTGCTATCAACTGTGCAATAACGAATAGTGGCCAGACTAGAGCATAGTCTACCAGTTATAAATTGTTTGAATCTTCATGTTATAGAATAGATCATGCCAACTTTGGAAGCTGCCATTTGGCATGTATGTTACTATGATAAAAAATATGATGTTTTTTTTGCTTCTGCTTATCGAGAAAAAGACTAGCTGAAACTATTCCTGATCCTTGAATATGTTACTCAGAGTGCTTATTAATGTGGATGTAGGTTCTGCTTTTTTGTTGCCATAAACTCATTTACTTTCATGGAGTGGTGGTCATGATCCTTATCATATACAGATCAAGTGTTACAAAAAACAAAAACTGAAAACAATATCGCCGTAGTAAAATCAAGTTACCATAGCTATTGTCACATTTTGAGGTTTTTGAGAAAAACACCATTTTGTAATAGTTTGCTTCAAACAGCCAGGACATTACTACCTAAAATAAAGTTGATACAGGTATAGCTTTGAAAAAAGAAAGGAGAGAAGTCCCTGTCACATAAACTGCAGTACTTTGGTTTTACTGTGGCGATATGACGAAATCGTAGTTTTATTTGTGCAATATGCATTTCAGAGGTATATTTTGTAGTTATGTATTGTCTACCGACCCTATAGCTTTGTACCTACTGCATTATATCATTATAAATGAAGTTTTTTTGTCTTTTGCTGATATGTTCCTCTTATATCTTTATATGCATTGTTTGATTATTGCCTTTTTATCACTGGTGCTGTAAAAATTGATGTCAAGTGTCGCTCACCACTTGAGGGAGATAAATATTGTTTAAAAAGGGAATCTATGTGTATACTTATTTTTGGAGTCGATCAAAAAACCCATGACCGCCTACGGCGCCTAGTAGTATATATGAAAACCAAGTATTAGACCACAAAATGTAATAAATATTTACGTAAAGTTTTGCAATTTCATATCAATAAAGTTATTTCACATTTCTGTCAATGTGTGAATATTCATTACATATATTGCTTGATTTCATTTCACATTTTCAGTTTTTGCCAAGAAATTACAACCTGTAAAATTGTGTGATTTTTTTTTCAGGTGTTACTTTATATTTTATTCAATCGATGGTGTTTCGAATAAATCCAGCTGGTGATTGTACTGTGAAATTTGTTTTAAAAGATTCAACTTTGGCACTATGAATTGGAAACTCCCGGATTTATTCAGGAATCCGTTGGATTTTATAAACACAAACAAAAAACCACCAGAACAGGTCAATGGTGAACTTTTAGATGACGAAGAGGATGATTTAGGAATAAAACTCGTACAACACAAAGGAACTGTACCATTTCGAAGAGTTGAAAGCTCTGTACACACATTTGTTAATGTAGCATTACCAGCCGATTTGGACAGGCTTCACAGACATCAATGCAATATTAGAAAATGGAGAAAGTCAAAAGAATTTTGGAAATTACAAGAAGAATATATAAATTCTGGCAGAACGGTACAACAACTGACTAGAAATATTAATGAAATGGAATTACTTCGGGCTAGAGTTATTGAAGAAGATTTACCTATTTTTGACCAACATTTGGATTTGGCGAAAGAAAAAGCGAAAGCATCTATAAATGAATTTTTAGAAATACATGATGAAGGATTAAAAAGTGACGGATCAATTGTAGGTTCCTTGGATCAACGAAGCAGTAAAGATAATCCTGAAACTGTTGGTAACAGACTATTACAGTCTTCTGTTTCAGGTAAATCTAGTTCAAGCCATACAGTTGATCATTTTGTATCAAACTACCACGGCTCTAGTGAAAATGTATCCAATATGCCTGAAGAAAAAAACATACATGAGGATGCATTTGTGCAGTTGCGTGGTAATAGACTTGTCATAGAGTCAAGTTGTTCTAGCAGAGGGGACTTAAATGAATATGGGGCGTACGAAAAACAAGTTGATGACACATCTTCTGCAGAAGAAGCAGATGAATCAAATTTCCAAATCTTAGAATTGGAAAGTCGGCAGGAGGAAGCAAATGTTGAGGAATGGTGGGATAAATTACGAAAAGACATTGTGGATTTAAACACAGTAATGAACGATTTTTCTTCCCTTGTTCATGATCAGGGTAAGATGGTGGATGACATATCAAGTAATATTGAAGACGCTGAAACTAATATAAACGAAGGGAAATCACAATTAAGAAAAGCAACAATACTAAAAGCTGCCATGTTTCCAATTTTAGGTGCTGTCGTTGGTGGTGCTGTAGGAGGTCCAATTGGGATGGTCGCAGGATTTAAGCTTGGGAGTGTCACGACAGGCCTAGCAGCAGCTGGTGTCACTGGAACTATAATTGGTTACCAAGGGGTAAAGCTCTCAAAAAGAGGCAAGATGCTAATAGTTTTGAAATGAAAGAGATAAAACAAAAACACGAAGAAACTGACAATGTTATTGATGATGATACTACAACATAGCAGTACATATTTCACAATTTGAAATTTTATTCGTTTCGTTGAATACATGACTATGTTACCATATTTCAACTATACTTTCAAATTGTTTCTGTATGATTAATCAGTATTTATTTGAATTGAAATTTAAAAACATGACAATTGTATTAAATTTAGAGTTTTGAAGTTTCCACCGAGTGACACATACCAAATATGTTTTTGATTCAACCAACTGCTTGGTAATCTTCTGCACTTATATATACCTATTTTCCTCCATCGTTGGCTTCCTCATTTTTATAGTCTCTCCCCTGCTTTGATTGCTTTGTGTTAATTAGGACTGGCACCTTCATGCTTTAAAAAGGATGTTATGTTGTTGAAATTTTCGAAATGCTTTATAACTATGGGTTGGTAATATTTGTTAAATAAATTCTGATCTCAATCATACTAGAAATTTTGATACATTGTTAACAAATTATACACCCGATTTAAAAAAATAGTAAAAATTTGGATTAAACTTTTATTTGTAATGTTAGAAATTCTGTCTGTCACTTGTGTAACAATCAGTTATCATTTGTTCATGAATTCTTTGATAGTTGCTTATTGAATTTTGTTATGCCTTCTCGCCTGCCTAGTATTATTTATGTTTAAATTTTGATTTAAAATAGTATATGTTTCTTTTCATAGGTGGTGGTATCTAGATAATAAAATGCCTGTTGTAAAAATAAAGCATATTGTCTCGTTCAGTAGCGAAGAAACTGTAAGTACTTAAATTCAAAATTTTTGCATTTCGGGGTGAAAGTGAAAGTTTTATTTGTCGATTAGGCGTGACCATAGAGTTACGTAAAATAAAATTTGAAATTAGTGCTATGAAAAACCTTTTTTTTTGATTAAATTATCACTGGGAAAATAAAATTTTTTAATTAAAATCATGTTTATGTCGTTTCAATATAACAAAGGTATAATATAAAGTTTTTAGAACTTCAGTTTTCGATTGAGTTTCTATGAAATTATTCACTTGTCATTAACCTGCAATGTGGCAGTAGCTCCTCATGCATATAATGCAAAGATGCTCCAGCAAGAGTGAAGATTTCATCAAACGGAACTGTAGAAACATATTTGTCTGATTGTGCACCATGGCTTTTGAATCATTTGTAAACTTCAGATATGGAATACAAAATTATGCCTTACTGCGTGGGAAAAATGCATTACTACTCCGTGTCTTACACAATTGATTTTATAAATAAGTCATTTTCCTTGACCCTGGGTTATATCCTGATATAAGTGTGTTTATTTTCCAACATTTCATTATTAAATTTATTATACAACAGCCACATAAAGCTGACAACCTTCTCAGTGAAGACTCATCACGGAAATGGAAATGTGCTGCAGGCGAGAAACAGGCTTGCATTGTTTTCCAACTTGAAAAATCGACTCAGTTGTCAAGCATTGATATAGCAAATGAAGGATCGGCGTTTATTGAAGTTTTGGTTGGAAGATCAAGCAATGACAATGTGCAATATCAGGCAAGTGGAATTGTGCCAAGTAGTAGGTTTAATATGTGCATTAAATATCAGTGTTTTGGTTTGAAATGGCATAGGACCCAGATCCAGAACTTAAATTTTCCAACTCTAGCTGGGTTCCGGCTCCTAAGCCATTGAGGGTTTTTTGGTATGATGAATCACTATCATAAAATACCAGCATAAATGCAGACAAATTCAAATTTTAAATATGCCTTTTAACTTGAAACTTTAGATTTATTATTAGAAATTGAATTTATGAAAAATTTTAAGCTGCAAAAGATTTTCTTATAAAGTATTAAGAAATTATGAATGTGAAAAAATAATTGAATGGTTCGAAGCTAAATCCATTGAAATTTCTGGTGGCTTCGGTTCCCTCTTGATAAGTTCTTAAGTTTCCTCTCAATAACTATTTACTTAATTTCAGGTTATTCTTGTCGCATCATCATTCATGAGTCCTCAAGAAAGCAGACAAGGTTCACCACCCAATAGAGTCAGAATTTTTAACAAAGACAAACTTACATCAGACATTGCATCACAAAAATGGGACCTGGTTAAAGTTGTTTGTACCCAGCCATTTAATAAGGTTCGTCATTCAGGGTTTTATTATTCTGTAAATCATTTTAAAATTAATAATGCATAAAAAACATTTGGCGTATTGGACTTGGAATGAAAACTCGATTTCTGTAATTCATGAATTAATCAGACATATTTGATACTTTGGTGCAACCATATTGGCCTGCTCATCAAGTTCTTGTTGAATATAAAATTTCAAGGGCTCAACCTTTTTGCATCTGTTCTTTATTTATAAAACATTGGTGTATTTAAAAACCTTATAATACATTAATAAATAAAATCAGTAATTAATTCTCAATATGAAACTAATTTTTTCAATTTATCAATCTATTTGCTGGGGTTATGCAAGACTATCTTTCTTGGCTCAATGACTTTGTGCTTGTGGATCCTTATACGGTATAATGCAAGGATACTGTAGCTAGAATAAAGATAATTATTCTATGTAGTTTATGAATGTTTCTGGCTGCTGCATCCTTGCACAAAAAATATTTTGTTTTATATAACAGTGCGACTCTCAAATTACTTGGGTCTAGCTTTGATTTTTCAATTCCCATTGTTAAGCAGCAATCATAAATGCTTTTTTTAGAAGTTCCTGATGGGGCCTGCCTAAGTTCTTTATTTAATGTTTCCGTATTTTATATTCTTTGTTTTACATTATTTTTACAGAGATCAACATATGGTTTATCTTTCATTAAATTTCATACCACAGATGATGATATTGAAGAAAAGGAACCAGAGGTTCCTGTCAAGGTATTTCAACATACGATTTAAATTTACATCAATGCGATTGAAAAATTTATTGGTGGTTTTGCTGTTATAACCATTGGAAACGGGCAAATTTTTTTGTTTTGTGTTAAATTAGTAAGCCTGTGATATACAGGGAGACACAAAAAAGGAAACCGATAAATTTTGTGATCAATTCTATGAAGAAGAAAAAAATTATTTTACCCTTGAACTTCTGTTTGTGTATGGTTGTACCGAAAAATTTCAGTAATCTAGGACGTTTTGCACAAAACTTATAGGATAGGATTTACATATTTATCTCGGGGGAGAGGAAAGCCGATAAGACGGCTTATCCATATGGCGAACCACGGCCTCTCGTCCGGTTACCATTCCAAGTCGGGTATGGGATTAGATTTACTGTATTGTTTGTTTTCGGAAGCATGGACTTGGTGGTGGAGGAAGCCGTAACCGACCAGCGGTTACGTGAACCACCCAACGACGGCGAGGAGTCCAGCAATCCTCTCGCACATAACCATCCCTGCATGGGATTCAAACTTGCGAACCCACGCAGAGTAGTTAGAGGTGCGGTGGCGAGCGTATTCCTAACGCTTAGCCCGTTGAGCCAAACCGCCGTTCTCTCTAGAATATGTTCCGATCCAAATAACTTGTATTTTGGGTCACCCAGTACTAATCAGAATTGTTTCATAATAAGATGACTAGTGTTGTGATTTTTGATGGCGTTTTCTGCGAGTTTATAGAATATTTATTTTCAGCAAAAAACTAATGATGGTCGAAAAACATTCGGCAGTTTTAAAATTAAAGAAGAATCTGATGATTCCCAATCTATTCCACCTGGAATGTCAATGAAGATGTACCAAATGGCAAAGAAAGAAAATTTAAATACAAGTTGGTATCCATGGTGATCAATATACTCACCCTCTTTGATGAAAACGATATAACATTTTGCCTCGATATATCGAATATCTTTACAAACAACACACTACTAAACAAACTAAAAATACACTTTTAAATTATAGTGATAGTCAAAGCCAAATGATTTACTATTATGTATTACTAAAATAATATTGTCCTGATGAATCTTGTTTGTATAGAGAGAGAGAGAGATTTATTTTTCGTCAACTAGAAAAAAAAAACTGGAACAATAGCAACAAGAAAAATATATACAATAACTTGTAGAGTTTTTCGGTATAAACTGGGAGGAGCGATACGACCGTCAGAGTCAGCTCCCCCCATATTCACTATTTTAATTATGCATATAAGAATTCTTGGGTCAATATATGGTATAAAAGGGAATGGATAAGGTTGTCTGGTTTTCTGGTTTTCATTTGAAAAGTCAACCAAATGTACCATTGATTTGCTTAACATTGGATGGGCATACTTCATCAGAAGATGAGGTAAACTGGAACATACAATTTTATTTTGTTAATTCAACAAGCAAATGAACTGAAAAGTTACTAGGTTTATAATATTTCAAGCATTACTGAAATATTTTAATTATTCAAAGTGTTATTTGTGTATACGGTACATCAATATACCTGCCTCTGCTCTACCTTCATATATGTTAATTAGTTGTTTCATTTTCTTATGCACATTTGCACTACAGGGTAAAGATGAATCAGTTTCCAACAAAATTGCACAACAAGCTGATTCAGATGGTGAGCAATTACGGTAGTTATTAGAATAACCTCATGCTATACTGTCACCAATTTTACATCTAGCATCTGATGCAATGGGTGATTGAAGACTGGTGCTATAATGTCTTTATTAAGTAAACAATATGTGATAAAAGTCATTTTTTTTTATGTTTACGATATATCTGATGTTATCTAACTACATTGAATCAAATTTTTAATTTTGGTTCGTCATCAAAGTGCTAAATTATGCCAAAGCATAATTTTGAATATCACCTTCCTATATACTAAGCAATATGCCAAATTTCTTTATCAGATGTGGAGGAAGAAGAAGATCCATATGGAGCTTCTACTGATGAAGAAGCAGGTGATACAGAAGATGAAATTGAAAAGTTAGTAAATCTAGCCTATGTCACCTCTGATTTTCTTGTCTTATTCTTTCATCAACAACTTGCAGTCAATAAAATAAAGCCAAGTTTAACTATTCAAATGACCACTGATGTTCAAAATTGCAAAAATAACTTGAGCTTTAATTGTGGCGACACCCCCTGCCCTGTTCAATAACCTCTCCTTTCAACTATGTTGTTGTCATTACCTTGTTTCAAAATTTTATCCATTATTTCTTCTGTCGAAGGGGATAAATGATCAACATTGCATTGCTATTTCAGAGTTAAGGCTCGTCAAAAAGATCCAGTAAAGGTTGAAAATGATGCAAATGATGAAGACCCATATAATGCTAGCACAGATGAAGAACCAGAAACAAATAATCATGCAGGTAACATAATTTTCATATTTTAGTATAAACAATGTTCTATATTGGGCTGATAGGGTTTCTTTTTTCGTATAGGAGGTCGGCGTTAATAACCTCAAAATTTATAGCTGGTTTTCTACTATTTTATAGAAAACGGTTTACCAGAATTGCCTGATTATTTTAATGACAAGACATTTATGATGTATGGAAAATTTGCTTCAAAAATCGGAAGGTTAACAAGGAGACATATTATTGCCTGTGGAGGGTGAGTAACTGATTGCAAGTTTAAAAGATATATTTTGATAACCCTGTATCCAAGTGGTATTCAGCTAGTCCTGTTCATTTTCTTTCCAGTTTTTCTATTGGTATTTTACACCTCCACTCAATTGAAACTAGGGTCTATACGAGCATCTGCTGATACATGCCGAGCCATTATAAGTTTGAAATGTTTTGAGCTTATCAGGGGCGCCATTCGCCAAACTTCTTTATCATTTAACGTGTTAGTAAAGCACCCACTTTCTCGTAAAATGCAAAAATGGTATTCTCGAAGTATCGTTAATATGCGAGAGAATTTTTAGCGTGCCAAAACAGACATCTCGTTAAGTGCCTTCTTCTCTCATTTTACCGAGTATCTACATAATAATTAAACGGTGTAACTAAGACGGGATACATGTTCAATACCTTACTGGCCTAAGACAAGTATGGCGACATGCACCCCAACAAATGCTGTGGTGTTTGCATACAAAAATTGGTATCAAAAATCCCTAAATGCTTAACTTAGGAAAGAGTGACTGTAGTCTAGTGGCTGTGGACCCACCTATATATGCCAACTAACAGCGTACCAACATCAAATATGGGATTACATATTCATCTATTTTGTTGTCTGTTACAGAAGTAGTTTGGCTGCAAAATGTAAAACAGAGATCATTGCAAAATAGGCTTATCCGTGCCGGGCGGCTGGCGGCAGTGAGTGATAGGTTGAGTGATCATACAGTGGTTTTTGTTCAACGACGACCGTGCGTAAGATTTCGAGAGAACTGGCGTGACCGTTCGTAAAGTTTTTACGAGATGTTTCGTGAATCGCACTTAACGAGATTCCGTAACTACGTTTTTGAGAGACAAGGTTACGTGCTCATAAATGCATCTTTTTACAAAGTTTGGAGAATGGGGGCCCTGGTTTGGTATAATCCATCTAAATTTCCACACCCTGGTTAACATGTTTGCTGTATAAACAGATCTTCACCGAGCACAGAGTATTTATATCTAATGTGCCAGTAATCAATTTTATATGAATGTTATGTTTATATTTTGATGTAATCTTAATAATAAACATAATAGTTTTATATTCTTACAATACAGCAAAATCACAGAGTACATGAATGAAGATGTTGAATATATTATTACTGAGCAACCTTGGGATGATAACTTTGATCAGGCTCTTACTGAAAATGCCGGATTGGTTTTTGTCAGGCCGGGGTGGTTGTTTCAGTGTGGAGCCCAACAAAGGATAATTTCCTATCAACCTTATGCTGTGTCACCATCTTGATTTTTTCGATTTTGCAATAAAATTTTATACCCCGGAATAATATCACTTCATTTATCATATATATCAGTTAGTATAGATGATTCAGAGTTTCTACAAAGTGGAGTGCTGTATATTCTCATTGGCATTTCATTTCCGCTGAATGAACAGTAGACGTTGCTTCATTATGATAAGAATGTGCCACGATCAAGTTCAAGTAATTTTTCAGTCTTGTTGGCAAGAAGCTTCAAGGCTGTGCATATCAGTTAGGGTTAGACGCTGTGAAGCGAATAAAGACAGTATTGGCATCCCCACGTTGTATATGGCGATACGAAGTGACTTAATCCACAGCATTGTAGAGTTTGGTGATTCTCGTGCATATACGCATTCAGGCTAGTTCCAATCTCACGCTTTGACATCAACCGATTTCGCATGAAGTTACGTCTTACATAATTACATCATTGTGTTGAGAATGAGTGATATCATATATCCCGATGTGATTTTGCTACAACCCGTGGCTTCCGATGGGGAACCCCCCAAAATTCTTTGTTGTAAAACGAGAAGAATGGTAGTACGTGTTGTCAAAGTTTCCAGAAGTTTCTATGGACAGGCTTGAATATATTTTCCGCATGCACCTGTATTTCGTTAAGGTTAGCGTTATTTCTCCAGTTGCCTGTTTAGCTGCGTGTTTTGATTTTTTGTACTGGTAGTTCTTTATTGAACTAGTGAATTTCGTATCAGTTGTTTGAAAATACCTTAGACTGATGGCGAAAAGTGCTCGTACAGACAGTGTCAGTAGGGTACGGTACCGGTACGGTACCGGTATACACTAACACGGTTGAAATTTTACTGCAGTCTACACAGTCGTGATATCTCAGTGCAGCAGTATGAGAACTGCTGGATAGTCTGACAACCATTATCGTGTTGAAGTTTGGCATAAAATTTACAATTAATTGTTATTACCGGTACCGTACTGTATTAATTAATCGCTGAAAGTAGTTCAATTACTGAATAATTTTTAGACATTGCTTGTCAGTTATTTTTTTACTACAGTCAGTAGACTACTACATTTAGTTACTAATTTTATGCGTTACCGGTATGGTATTAAAATATTGATGCCAACCTTCAGAGGATTATTTTATATTATCCACTTCAAATAGAGACTTTAGGTAGCAGATGAGATATCAAATTATAAAATACAAGACTGAAGATCACAATCATGTAAGATGAACGCAAACAACGGTACTTTATTTACAAATTTTTGAGTCTAACGACAGAACGAGGTACACGCAGCAAATGCCTAAAAAACGTCAAACAAAATTCGGATGTGAAAATAAATGCTATTGCTGCCTAAATAACATAACACCGAACAAATTTTCATTATTTTCTCAAATAAAAGTTGCTATACCCTGTTTGGCATGGAATATACCTGCTTAGTTGAAAACTGAGTGGACTTTATTTTAACTAAATGGGTCTGTTAAGAATTTCATTCCGCGGCATGGAGATATTTTAAAAAAACATATAAACGTCACATCACATTTCTGTTTGGCATTATTTAAGCAGCTTCGGCAATTTTCACATCACATATTTATTTGGTGTTATTTTAATAAAGGTTTATGGTAATAAATTAACTAGACCCAAATATCCAACCACCTTAAAGATCGAAGCAACATGTGATATAAAAATATATGTAGCCTACTTGTCACGGTTTCTTTTCATCACTAGACCAATTACTACTCCAGACCAGTACTCAGGTCATCGCGAACCAATGACGCCTCGCCTTGCCCATTCAGATTCAGATATTTATTTTCGTCATGCAAAATCAATGTACGATATAAAATACATAAAAAGTACGTAACAAATTATAAAAAAAGTAATCGGCTTGTTGCAGTAGAGGGTTGCGAAAGACTCAAAAAGTCATCTGGTCAACGACACCTTGTGGCTGCATTGAAGCAGCAAATATAGCAACCGAACAACTCAATATTAAACATTTACTAAATTCGACACAATCGTATATAAAAACAAAATGACAACAAAAAGAATACCAAATTAACTGCAAATGCCACAACGGCTATGGAATATTACCCAAACATTCACTTAATTAGACTCATCATACAAAAAAGAACAACAAAGTTTCAAAATAAAATACAGGATGCCATTATAACTATGGGATATTAGACATTTACATTAAAGTCAATTATACAGAGTAAAAACAACATGGAATTCGAAATAAACTGTGAGATGCCACAATGATTATGGCATATTAGATGGCTCAACAGCGACATCTGTAAACAGGATAAGCTTCAATGACAACGGAAAACTGCACTGCAACTATTACATGTTTATCTGAATGGTTTCACAGCGTTATACTTATCTGTGGCAGTGCAAATAGATTGGATATTTTTTATGTTATTTTAACTTTAAGCAAAGCCATTTTACACCCTTTACTTACCCAATGTTTTGAAAAAGACCCTGAAGACTGAAAACATGCCTTAGAAAAGCAAATCTTCTGTGGGGAATCTTTCAGGCATTGACAGTGTTTTTATAATTTTAAGTATTTTACTGCTTGACAACAACACATACATTCACAAACTGGATACTTATTGTACTGAACTGAATTATTTATTGTTTTGCTAAAGTATGAGATTTGAAAAGCTGACTCATATGGCTTACACCAGGGGTCTCCAACTCAAAACATGTCGCTGGCCACTTTGAAATTTATTCACCACGCGGGCCCGCAAGCTAATAAATTAGGTACGAAAGAGGGTATCTGAATGTAATGTGTTGAAATTACACTTGAACCTTACAGCAAATGTGACATGAAACATATTCATTTACTTGTGCTGGATATTTGGTCTCAATGTTTGGCCTTATTTTGCGTTGGTTTGCTAGTCTTAAGACAACATGACAATGCTCGTCCGTTAGTCGTGTGCGGAGGACAGACTTGCTAACTTTCATAGTTGAAAAAAAAAACTGCTCCCAAATATAAGAACTGTCAAACATCACAGGTATGGGAAGTGAATGTGATGTGCAATATGCTTTGCAAACCTTTTTTCGGCGCAATGGACTGAACCAAAATCGTTTATTTCGTCACAATGAACATGCGAAATGAAATTGTTGCATTTATAGTTGAATTATAACAATGGAATAAAACATGAACATAGAAATTTTAGTTTCACTTTATACAGTTTGTCGGACTGGACTCTTGATGATAAATGACATGATAAAACTTACTAATAGTGACATTAGTTTTTTGTAGAAAAATCCCAACCATGACGCGGGTCGCAAAAAATGCTTGACGGGCCACATGCGGCCCGCTGGCCGCGTGTTGGACACCCCCGCCTTACACCCTAAACTTCTTACGTCAATGTTTTCCAGTATTTATTTAGAAGCATGACCAATGCATGCTAAACGATAACACTCATGCTACACCGTATTCCCATGTGTATTTTATTTAGTTGGCAGTTTTCTGTTTTATGAGTAATGTCCGAATGTAAGCTTTCTACTATAATAGTATAATATACAAATGGAAAGTATGTTTGTAAATAAAACTATCTAATTTAATTCTTTGTTACTAAATTCTTTTTTTCCAGTGACATTAATAGGCTGACATTTTTACAGCATTTATTGGAATGAGATTGTATCCTTTCTTTTAAAGATGTCAACAGTTATCATAAACTGAAATCTTGTTAATTTAGTTTACAAATATTCTGTTTTACAAATATTTAGACGATTTTAATGTACACTCGTTGTTTTTCTAAGTAAAACGAACCGCATTTTCGAAGTAAATGTATAAATACATTTGTTATCTATGTGTTTATCTACAAAAAATTGTAGTCCTTAGTTTGATTAAAAATGTGTCTAATATAGGATGAAATACTGTTTGTGAAATTGTGACTTCAGTCTATATAAACAGTATTCCTGACATTATTGAGATTTTTAACTGTTGATCCACAGACCGGTGACAGTCTGACTGCTATTAGCTTTGAATGCCGGGTTTTGCTTATCACACTCAAATCTACTTTACATTTCATCGTTGACTGACATTTATAGGAAAATAATATTAATAGCACAATATAGGGTACTCCTGTAGTGTGTGTACTAGGTTAGGCCATAATTTCATTCAGGTTTCCCTCACTTTAGTTTTATTACGAGTTCGGGAACTGTGTGTGTTAGCCAAGTGAATATACCCCCTGCCCATAGGTTTCTGTTCCTTTACACAACTTGATGTAAAGTGGGCGATCAATATTAATTACCTCCATGTTGTTACACACACTCCTGGAGCGTCCAACATAGTATAGTTGAAACCGAATGAACTAGAAATCTTTTTTCTTCACATGCCAAGAAGCAATCCTTTTTTTCCAAATTATTTCTCAATATCCTATTATTTTCAGTTAATAAACTAAAAAATTTACTTAGGGTATATTGAAGTATATTGCACATTCATTAACAATGGGAGATTATTATAAAATATTGGGAGTATCAAGAAAGGCAACTGATTCTGAAATAAAGAAAGCGTAAGTACCTTTTATATCTTTGTCTTGTCTATTTTTCATAAAGTTATATAAAGATATACTTATTAGAAGTATTCGTAGCAAATTAGCATTTTCGAATCCAGCTGTAAATGAATCCATGTCACATTAAATATTCCAAAAATTGACCAAATTCAAATGATATAATGAGAAACAAAATTGTGGCAAATCCATTATTCTTTCCCATTCATGTTGGTATAAAATATGAACGGAATATTTAGTTTTATTTAGTCCACTTCCTTATTTAAAAGGTTCAAAAGTTTCAAATTTTTTTTTTAATATGTCCTTTGCATCAAACAAAGCTCTGTACCAGAAGCCACTGCTAGTTATTAAGGAGCTGGTACAGTTAGAATCTTTTCCAAGGTGAAGTGGTGGGCATGGGATGTAAACCCACGATTTTACCCTACGATGTCATTATAGTTAAGTCTAACACTTTACCCACTAGGCCACTGTGCATTCATAATGTAGATTTTTATTCAATGTTACAAGAAAGTTGACTTATTTACATTAACAGTTCATTGAAACTCCACTACTTTGCTCAATGCTCATGTTATTATTGTAATTTACCTTATTTCAGATATAGGAAATTAGCTTTACAATGGCATCCTGATAAAAATCCAGACAACAAAGAAAACGCAGAAGCTAAATTTAAAGAAATTGGAGAAGCATACGATGTTTTATCTGATAGTATGTTGCTTTATTCATTTAGTTTAAGCTTCTTGCAATACATAATGAATTGTTTTAATAAAGATCAGAATTATCATTTCACAGATATTTTTTGAGAATATTTGGAATTTTTTATTTTCTAAAGGAAAATTAAAGAGCATGATCTCTGAACAAAGTTACTTGCTACCATTTAAACGCTATGAGATACTGAGATACTGCCAAGGGGGAATAATGTAGAATTGCATGTTAGTAAATATCATTGGCACAATACTTAAAAAGCAATTCATGTTAATACAATCTGGAAAAAGCTATGGGGTGGGGGCATAAAAGTTTTTTATCTGAAGTCGTGAATCTGTATAGTCGTCAAGCCAAGTTGCAATGATTTGTGTGAGAACCACCGCTCATTGAGTGAATTTGTCGATTAAAAGTGTAACATTGAGAACAATGATTATTGTGTGCAAAATTGTCAATGCCCAAACAAAACAGAATAAATTTTCATTTAGTCTTCCATGGATAATAGCGTAAACACGTATTAATGGACAATCTATTTTTTATTTAAAACAGGTAATTCATGCATGGGTTTGTGATATACGGTAACTCTCATGCATCTCTATTAAGTGCAGTATTGATTCTATAGTTAAGAGATCATTAGGAAAGACTAAAATCAATACATTGTGAATAACTAAGTCTAGCAATAATCTTGGGATCATTCAGGATTAGTAATCAAGTTGGGTCTACCTATTATGATTATAGACTCTTGAATATCAGTACTTTTAATTTTGCTTATCAATGATATGCCACAATATTATGTTCAAAATCTCGTGAGACTAAAAAATTTATGGTAATAATTTGTAAATATTAATTTTGATTAAAGTGTAATAAAGTTAAAAATATGGATGGTTCAATTGTATAAATTATTAATATTAAAAAAAAAATTTCACATAATACATGACTGTATTCTGTAGAAAAATAGTTAGTCAGTGACGTGAATCAAAATTTTAAGAACAGGTTCTCTTTTAATCAAACTCACTAACAACGGGTTCTCACATTTAAAAAAAAACAAGTCAAACTCATAGCTCTATAACAATACAAGAACATGATATGACCAACTTGATCGTTTCACATTTATTAGTATATGCCCTTATGGAAGCTACATTAACATGACACTCTTTACATAAAGCCAATACCTAACTTTCAAAATGCCAAATAAACTGCTTGTCATCAACTGATTTTGTAATAATTTCATGTGTATTATTATTTCTTATATCAGAGGAAAAACGGGAAGTATATGATCGCTACGGTAAAGAAGGATTACAAGGAGGTGGTGGAGGGGGAGGTGGATTTGATTTTGGTTCTAATGTTCATCATCATTTCACATTCCGATCGCCAGACGAAATTTTCAGGGAATTTTTCGGAGGTCAAGATCCATTTGCAGCTTTTGGTAAGTCTTATTTTGTATTAAATTTTCTTCAAGTTGGTGGGTCAAAACCAACCACGTTTATATATAGATTTTCTATTTCACAGAAAAGATGGGATAATTCAGTTTATGTAATGTATTTATTGTTTTGTAATGTTATATCATACTTTATTAATAAATTTTTTTAGATCTCGGCGGTTTTCCAGGCTTCTCTAATCGACAGTCTCATAATGACTTTTTTGGAGGGTTTGGATCAGGGTTTGGGGGATTTTCGGGATTTCCTGAATTCTCAGCACTTGATAATGGTCGTGGAGGGTATGCATATATAAAATAATCAAAAATGATTTATTTAAATTTGTGTTTGTTACCCTGTTATACTGATGATTTGTTGCATCATGCCAAGCCTGTGTTTATGTATGATAAGGCATAATTGGTGTTTGTATTCTTATACATGACTATAATTTCTCCACACAGTTATAACTCATTGTACGTAGGTCATTAATTTCTAATAAGTTATTACTTATCGATTTTAATCGGTAAGTATGTTGATAGGTATTTGTCTGTTTGTCTGTTAGATGCACGCGATATTTTACGAAAGCGAGATTGAATCTGCTCCAGATTTTGCATGTGCATTCATCATATGTCGGACCAGAAACCTATTGATTTTGAATGAATTATGTCGTATAATTAGCGAGTTATCAATTAATTAGTGATGGGACACAAGGTGTCACTATGGAGTAAGAGCGCTGTTTTGGGGGATCCCCTAACTTTCGATTGATAAGTCTTCGGTCTCTGACCAATATTCTCGTTATTAAATATTGGCGAATGAGTTGAATTGCATAATTGCTGTTTACTATAGTGTTAAATATCAAGGATAAATAAACCACAACCGGTGTAAAGCAAAACAATGTAATTTGCCGACGTTTTGTTTTGCTTTACACTGGTTGTGCTTTTTCATGAATATACCCAGCGGCAATCATATGCTATAATGTTTATGGTCTGGTGCTGAGTTTATAATGTTTTTAAAATTGTTCTTTTTATCTTAAAATTTATTTTTTTTGCTCTAGATTTGCTTCTTTTTCATCATTTTCATCGGGTCCCGGAACACATGCCAACGTAAGATCAGTTACTAAATCAACAAGGATAGTTAATGGAAAAAAAGTTGAAACCACAAAGTAGGATATTAATATTTTTTTGATTATTCTCTTCGTAATTTATATGGTCTTGCAAAGATAAAATCCCCAGGATCATTTTATCTAATTAGGATAGAAAGTATATTTCTTATATTTATCATGTCACTTGGATCTTACATGGCCAATATTTGCCTTTTCATTCTATTACTATCATTAGAAAACAATAATGGCTAACAGAATTATGTTATATGTATTTGAAATTTTGTAAATTTGATGTGACGAATTTTCAATCTCTGTTCGATGTTCAAACACTAGCTAAGACAATAAAAACTGCCTAAAATAATAATACTGAATATAATTGCAGCCACAATCACATTGCAATGTTGTTCGTAATCATTGTCATAAATTAGTTTGAATAAGCTTGGATAGCAATTTTTTTGTTGAACAGTTGCAGTATAGGCTACTTCAAATGAGGTATGCCATGGCATTTTAATACTCAATTAATAATTTGTGAAGAGAATAAAAAATGAAAATACGTATTCTATCATCATTAAATTCAATAGTACTCATACTTCCCAGATTTTTTTTTTTAAAGAACTTGCAAGATAATCTTAATATCTAATAATAATATGACACTGAATAAATTTTTTTAGGACCAGAGAAAACGGTCAAGAAAGAGTTGAAGTTAGAGAAAATGGAAAACTGACATCAGTAGTTGTTGATGGTACGGAGAAAATTGACTCTATTGCATATCATTGAACACTAGCACATCTATTTTCTGCGATTGCATCATATTTTACCCAAATATTTTTGATATATATTGGGAAGCATATGACGTGGTAAAATTGCGGCTATCTTCTGCAATTATTTTGTTTTTATTTTTGGTGTTTGTTAAAGCAAAGGCACTAGATATGTGTTGAGATGTAATCCCGCTTGGTTGCATTATCCAGCATTGGTTGATCAATGGTATTATTTATCTATAACCCTTGAGGATTAAATAAGTTAATGCACAAATTAATAGGGACCAAAGTACTTATATTGCATATATTCATTCATAATCCTCTTCATACCAAATTCATCATTTATATCCATTTGTGTATAAACAAGATAGCTATTGGGATTGCATGAATTATTTCCTCGCATTTTCATAGCTTTTTGCACACTTTACTCGAGTTACTGGCTTGAGTGCAATTTATTTAAAGACTTTGGATATATTTTTTAAAGGGTTGGATGTAGTCATTTTGATCAATAAATTAATTGGACTAAAGTCATAGATAACTTATGGCTTTAATCTTTGTGCATGACTTACAACTTGACTAACATTGAATTTGTCCAACCAAGTCAAATTGCTCTTCACGCAAGAATTAGCATTTGTGACCTGGTGATCATCTTGTTTTCCCTACCGCTGTGATCTTAGGCTTTTTTAGTTTTTGATATTAATTAACTTATACCAACTTGAAGTTTTTGACAATAGTTTTTGATTATAAACTTTTTCACACCATTATTTTTTTAGCATCATTACATTTTATTAAAACATATTTCTACATTGTTGCCAATGGCCTGTTCTTCTGTTTATTTCATTTTAATTAGATTTCTTGTCCAGAAACAAAATCAATTTACAGTTCATTTATGTAATTGATTAATCAGTTGACTAAATATATTGGGCACGCATTGAAACAATGAGTAAACAAGACATTGCAAGCATGTGCGAATGAAGTTACACAAATTGTATATTTGCATGCTCAATTTTTTCTTACTAAATTGAAAATTACTGCCTACGAATTATTTTGTATTGTTGAAATTAAATATATACGAATATAACTTATAAATGAGCATTTGCGACAGGATGCTTTTAAGAAACCATTAATTTAGTGCTAAAAGGTGAAGCATTTTGTAGCATGTAGATTTATGAGATGCCTCGCATGCAGAGTGTTATGGAAGCCTCACTGGTAAATATAAGTTTTATATATCAATTGCGAACCCAACAAATTAGCTTTTTAACAACAAAGTTCTAACTTTGTAATTTTACAGGTGTTTCTGATGATTATGAATTGGCTTTGGGTATGAGTCGAGACCAAGCTGCCATTGACACTGGTTCAAGTTCTCGCCATAGGTCTTCCCACCATCATCGCTGGTCGCCCGCAGGTCACTCACGTCATCACCATGGACATGGACGCAGTAATCGTTATGGTAGATCAAGGACAAGTCCAAATGTTTATTATGATGGTGCGTATAACGGTAGTAGTTTCAAGTGTTTCTAGATTTGCTGAGCTCTCATTATTTATACACATGGTATCGTTACTGGAATATAATGGTTCACTGTAACTTATTTTTTTCAAAGCGAAAAGCCAGTTATTATAGAGGGTTATATTATTTTGTCAAAAAATTTCTTTAATTCAAGATTGGCAGCTGGCACATTGTGTTAAGAGGTAGGAGTATCAAATATGCTTATACATCGAACCTCTGATTACCCTGCGTGGATTTGCAGGTTACAATTCTGTGGTTGCTAATTATGTGTGAGAGGTTCGCTGGACTCTTTGCTGTTGTATGGCGATTCATGTACCTGCTGATTGGTTACAGCTTCCTCTATCAGACCATGCACCTGAAACAAATAACTATAGGAGACTTGGTTTGCCATATGCTTATCTTATCACCTCTCCTCCCCAGGGTGAATAAGAAAATACTGTCTTACGTAATTCAAAAGTCTCCTAATCCTGCCACCTTTATTTATTCTCTCACCATATTCAGATTCCAGCGAGGATGAAGATGTAAGAATAGCAAAGGAAAGAAGTCTTGCTGATCAAGAACAAAAGCATAGAAAGAGACCTGGTTCAAAAGTATAGCTACTACAGTCTCAGCACTCTTATGGTCTTCAAAACTGATTATGTTGTATAGAAACAAATATTTTTTTCTTTATTATATTGCTGTTGTACAGCTTTTTTGTAGTTTCTTTCTGTTGTTATTCAATATTTTACTAATAACAAATGGGTAACGACGTATTTGCCGACATAATGTCTCTCCAAATGGTAACTTCTACAACGGTGGATGTAAAAACTTGAATGATTTCATTTTTATCACTTTCTGTTTGTGTGTTTATTGTCCTATCTTTCTTATGCTAACTTGAGATTAGCTTATGGTTGTGGGTTTTTTGTGAACTTGTGAAAGAAAAATGGTCTGTCTGTATTATAGAGTGTTATGTTGGGTCTCTCGAGAATTGCGGGTTCAGAATTTTGACAATATTTAATTCAACTTGAATTGTACGAAGTTCATTTAATCACTAAATGCTGATATATAAAATTACTGACAAATATCGCGTTATGCACGCAAATTTATGGCAGATCAGGACACCATTGAGCATTCATTAAGAGCGTGTGTCGACCTTGGACTAAATAACCAGACTCTGGTCGTGTAATCTCTCCGAAATAAGTAATCTTTGGGCCTGCAAATGAGCGTGAGAGATCTGTTCATTTGGCGGTATTTGAAAAGTCTTGGTTCAAATTATACCCATTTAATAGTTCAGTGTCATTTATCGACGTCCAGGTTTTACACTTAAATTGTAATTTTTTGGGGAACCTATACGCCGTGAAAAATCATTTAATGTAATAGGAAATCTGGTCTGTCCTTCGTAGAGCCGACTGTCACAACTTATAAGCACCAATAATTATTAGCACCCATATTATGTCGGTTGAGAATGAAGCGTTTCATATGAATTGACCATCTCTAGATTTAGATCTTGTTTATGTTTAATACCTGCAAATGGCCATATGTTTTCTGCAGCTTTTCTAGACCCTCTCATGCAAGTGTTAAAAATCACAAATTGGGTGTCCTAGTGAACCATTGGGCAATATGTTGATAATCGGTTGGGACGATAGTTCAGGCCAGCAGTTATAAAATTCATATTTAAATACTTGAACCTTGCTCATCCCTCAACGTACGCCATATATGCGACATATTATACCTTTATTATTAGATTATTTCGAAATATGAATTTCCTGTGCATACCGAAATTACGGCTGAAGCTCTCAGCGACAAAAATACTCTCATTATCACACACTACAATTTGTAATAGTTATTGAAGCATGTTATATTAGAAAGAAAACTTAATAACTGTTTCGGAACAGCCTACAAAAATTTGAATACTATCTATAATACCTCGAAGCCAGACCCGACAAGGATAAATCACTAACAATTCTGGATTTCTGAGAAACAACGCTTACTTTGTATGTAACAAATATATGTAATGAATGTTTAGAAATTAAAAGTTTTGAAAACGGGATGATTTGAGTTATTCAAATCAGAGTTGTGCCTGAAGATTGCTACACCGATCAAGACTCATTAGCACAATGCAAACAGTACGTGATTGAACAAATAAATATAATCCATGCCTTTTTAATATCAATCATGAAAACTAGGCAATATACACATAAAATATAGTAAATCAGAGAGCCAAAAATACAAGCCTCGTTAGCACAATTCACTACCATATACATATGACATAATATTCATCCATATCCAGAAATATTTTCTGGCAGGGTATTATACAAGCAAGGTTAGATAAAATAATATTGTATTGCACAAAAATTGGAACAAACTAGAAGAACATATAATCATGTTGAAATATGACAATTGTGATCTGACCGGTTAAAGAAGACGTGCATATTATTACATTTATTAGCATCACTGTATTTCACAGCCAAACTGAATGCCTTAAATAATATTCCAATTTCGGTACTCCCGACGTATGTGAACCAAGATGGCTAACAACGAAACATATTACATGTACCAGGTTAGGCCATAATTTCAGGTACAAAGACTACGGAGTCACTTGACTAGTCACCAAACTCGTAAATTATAGCCTAACCCAGTACACATACTATGTTCCGGTGTCCATCTTGGTTCACATATTCGGGGGGTACCCCAATTTCTGCTATTTGAGGAGAAAAGAAGGGTTCAAAATACATAAATGTTTCAAAATATATATCGTTAAAGATGTATAAGTACATAAAATATGATTAAAATTGAATCATGCCGAACATGCTTGAATACACATGAGATGCGTACTTGAAATTTGTTAGTATGTATATGGTAATTATTTTAACTTGCATTGTGAGCAGTCATTCTCAATAAGGTTTGTGATTTTTCCCATCATTTTCCTTGATCATTCATCAGATTAGAGCGATACACTTGTTATCATTATTCTTTATGCTCATGGAGCTTCCAGTGATTTTGAAATCAGAGATAGTCATTTCAATGTCAGACTCAGTTTATATATCTATACCTTCATATGATGAAGTTCCAGATTCCATCTGGTCTCTAATATGCTTCAGAGTATTGTTATAATGCATGTGGATTACATCATATTCCTCAGTTTCTTCAATTGAGGGAAGGTTCTCTCTGATTTTAGCCAGAAGCTGATTCAATATTTCAATGGATATTGCTGTGCACCCTTTCTCATAAAAGTAGATATATTTATCAAAAATCTCGATAAAGAGCTGCAATTGAACTGCTGTTTCCATGCATTGGTTGGTCGTACGTACTGCCTTTTTTAGACATTCGATCACTCTGTGGCCATCATTAAGCTTATTTTCTCCGCTTTCAATTGTTTTCCCAGACCAGAACAAATGTGAAACATGAGCGACAGCGCGGCTTTGGTCTGGCTTTTTGAGCAGTCTGGATGCTGCATGAGCACACTGGGTACGTAGAGGTTCATGACTTTCTTCATGGAAGCAATCTATCTGCTCCAATGTACCAACAATAAGTAACACTGCTGCAAGTTGGGCACGACTGTCTGCAATTTCCTCTTCATACAGTGATATTGCTTGGGTCAGAAATTCATAAGCTACCAATTCTCGATTACTGAAGTCAATTTCAGAAGCAGCAAGAGCACCTTGAAGAAAAAGTCTGAGAGGAAGTTCTGCTAACTCTGCTTTGCATAATGCAGTAATTGTTGCTCGACAAAACTGAAATATTTTATTGCATTTTTTATCCCAATTTTCGTCCTCATTTTCAATTTCCTTGAATTTCGCCGCGAGTTTGAAGCATGAAAATACAATGGGTGGCAAGGTATAGGGCAGTCGAGCATTTCCGCCATTTCCAAACTGATTTCGTGCACAATTAAGAATCAAAAACTGTTGATCAGGATCATCAGATTGTAACAGATGAATAAATCTTCCCATCACTATTTGCTCTTCTGCGAAGTCCTGTTCATCCATCTCTTCAGCCTTCGGTTGATCAGCTTGGTCTCGCACTAGTGGCGAAACCAACATCAGCAATGTATCTGTCTGCTCCGAGGTAGTGACAATAGTATCATTTTCCAGAGCATTAGAGATGAGTTGAAAAGCAAACTGCTTACGAGCATCAAAATCAAGATGTTCATAGAGCGGAGCAAAATACTTTAGCTCTAACACAGTTAGTATGTTATTGTATGAATCCAAAATTGACTGCAGTAACTTAGTAACCTCTTTGCATAATGGAGTACGACTAGACACTATCTCTATGTTTCGTTGGCTCATAACTTCCACAGTAGCTTCCAGCACTTTATCAACATAATCAGTTCGATCAGAGTAGCATTTCATAGCAAGATTAATAAGAGCTGCTTGCATTGACACAGCATGTTCACACAACATCTGATTGCGTGCTTCTATAATCTTGGTCACCTCTTCAGAAAATATATCAAACAGCATGATTTCTTTTGGAATACCAGATGTATCTTCTCTTGATGCATATTGTGCCAGTCTATCAATCAGAGCGATTATTGTAGTTTTGACATTGACACTTTGATGCAGATTCGCACATGCAGTTAGAAAGCTGCGTAGTGTTTGAAGGTGGAAATCATCGGGAAACACCTGTATGATGCATTCCATTAAATACTCCTGAGCAATGGCATCTCGGCAATTCACAACCTGCTCAAGAATTCCAGGCAGAACACTATTTTGATAATTCTTCGCATCCATTCCCTCAAGCTGGCTGAGCCTCACAAGATTTGTTCCAACCAAAATTCTTAACTCTTGTCGTTCACGCTCACGTTTCTCTCTTTCACGACTATGGCCAAGATGTTGCATACGAACCCATAATTTGTTCATTTCTGTGAAATTTGTCAGGATGAAATCTATTGAATCTGCTACCGTTCCGGTTGATTCATTTTTGTCATCCTCGCTAGCTTCGCTTGATGCATTCGGAAGCACATTTTTTGTACATTGCAGAAGGTAGTTGCGTAAAAATAACCCGCGTAGGGGATGTTGAACACCTTTGCACATTTCAACAAGATCTTTCAGAATGACACGACTTGATGACGGTTTTGCCTTTATGTAAACAACCCCGACCGTAACAAGGAGATAAAGTCGTGGAATGATATCTCCAGCATATTGAACCAATTCATACAGATCAGCTATAACTCGGCCCTGTTGAAATTCTTCTGATAGATGCAACTCTAAGTGTCGAAGTTCATCACAAACGGCCATGTACAATTCATAATAATTTTTCGGAGACATAGCTGACGTACGAAGTTCTTTCAACATGGTAGAGGCATGTTTGAATCCATCCATTAGATGATTTTTATCCAACTCTCTTTTCATCTGAAAACTCTCCGCTTTTACAATTTGAATTGCATTATCAAGCAATCTTTCCTGCTCTTCAACTGTTGTCAAATTGTTTTCACTCATTTTTTGAGTTTTCAGTCAATAATCTATGAACATTTATTGAACTGTATAGTCAATGAAACAACATTAAAAATTGTAATAGGTAATTATTATATTTGAATTATGAGAATGATCCGAATTCATTAACCTTGCTTGTATATTATACCTCCATGTAGAAAGAAGAAAGCATCAGCTTCAGGCTTACTTTTTAAGCATGTGCATGAATTAAATCTCAATTTTGGGCATCATTTACGTTATCTTATATCATTTTTTAATGTTTTGTCTTTTCTTGGCAATTTTACCACATTGTTACATTATATATGGCAAAGATACCGATCAAACTCTTTATGCTGCACATGGCCATCACAAATCAATTTTTGATTATTATTATCCAGTATACTTATGGAGGTGGTCTTGAAACTTTGCCCAGCAATCGTCTCGCACAGAATTGTTCCCTACGAGCCTGACTGGATTCGACTGACCCCGGGTCAATTTGCTGATATTTTGAAAAAATATTATACCCATAAATAATGAACTAATACTGTAATAATAGTTTTCCCTCCATTTTATACAGTAACGTTATTACTGCCATATCCAAATCGTTTTGAAAAGGTTGTACACCTGTACAATGTGGACCATCCAATAGTTATCATTAAATAAAAAGTTAATGAAAAAATCAATAATGATAAAGAGACAAAAAATTTATTTAAAAAAAATACAGCTATATTATAGTCTATCTGTTTATTAATCACAATTTCAGTTTGTCAATATGTTTCATTCACTGGCTGACTGGCTGATCCAGTATTATCGAATAGTCCGAATCCATTGTTGCATTTTCCACACAGATTTCACCATTTTTATTTATAACAGAAATTAACATTTTTTATTTATTACAGTATTAACAGCAAAACAAACATCTGAACATCACAAGAAAATATATGCAAATTCATGGGCTACTGTATTGCATATTACAGTATTATTAGCCTCGACTAAGTTATTTCAAATTCTTTAGTAATCTAACTAGCCTAAACCTAAGTAGTGTCTCAACTTTCCTAATTGTTAAAAAAGGAACTGATTCTCTAATTTCAGAATTTTCAGATTTTTATTACTGGTAGTGCATTATGATTATAACATTTCAATACCAGGATTAGTCGCTCCAATCAAATGTTATAGCTTTGTAAGGATAACTATTGTACATTTAAGACTATAACATCTGGAATATTTGATAATATTAAACAACTGGATAATATGTATTTGAAAAAATTAGATGATACTGATGCTGAATTAATGGAACATACAATGGTGATGGGGATTACATTGGTTAGTGATGTGTAATGTGATGAACTTCATTGTATTCTTGTACTACAGTATTAACACATATTAAAAAAAGAGTGGGAGTGGTGACCGCTCTGCGGCCCATGGGCCGGGGCCACGGCCCATCGAATTGGGCCTCGGCCCATCAGGCTATGGGCCGCGGCCCATCAAGTTGTGTAAAGAAACTATTCACTTGGCTAACACAGACAGTCCCCGAACTCATAATAGAACTATAATGTAAAAAATCTGAATTTTTTTTGTCCTAACCCTAACCTGGTACACATACTACAGAAGTATATTTTTTTGGTTCGAATATTGACAATTTGGTAAAAATTGAAAATTTTATTAAGATAATTAAATTTTTCTTAATGGGGCCGCGGCCCATCAAGCTATGGGCCACGGTCCATGTGGCCCAATTAAATGGGCCGTGGCCCCGGCCCATGGGCTGTAGAGGAGTCACCACTCCTGTAGTAAAAAAAAGAGAACTAGTCAATCTCTTCACATACCTCAATAATGTCTACAGTACAAACTACAACTTCAGAAGACACTGAGTGGGAGTTCTAATAACCTCATTCTCGCAAACGATGGAAAATGGAAACACTCTTAGTTATTCCTTATTCCTACATGTACTGGTACTTAACTTACAGACTTGCGGTATATACGATTTTCTTACTTTTATGGTTCCACAATCACAATCTAGCCTAGTTATATTATTCAATATTTAAAGAATAAATAAAATAATAATAAATGAATAACGATAAATAAGTATACACAAATGACAAAACGAATACAGATTTGTTACATTATAGTTCTTTACTGAACTGGGAATAAACATCTCTGTGATGTTACTTCAATCGTAAATATCCATTTTGTTGTTCATTTTCGCAACAATGGCCAATCAGCAATGAGATAACAATTGATGTTTCCTCGCGTCTCGATTTCTCTGTTCATTTCTGTAACAATGGCTAATCAGTAATAAGGCAACGATAAGTCACGCAGAGTGGCGAGCGTATTCCTAACGCTTAGCCCGTTGAGCCACACCGCCGCGCCATTAATTAAGAAAAACTTTCAATATATATTAGTTTCAATTATATGAAATTCTCCTGTGAAACTACAGGATTCAGAATGTCGTTCAAACTTTTCTACATTCTTTCTCGCTTTAAGGAAGTTAGGATAGGATAGCATTTATATATTTAGAGAAAAGCCAGACCTCCAGAAGTATGCGCACCAAGATGGCGCACAACCTGAACATAGTATGTGTGTACCAGTTAGAATTCAGGTTGTGCGACATCTTGATGTGCATGCCTCTGGAGCACCGAAAAGCCAATATGACGGATTAATCATATATTGCAAAACAGGCCGCTCGCCCGGTTACAGGTGTGGGGTTAGTTAGCCATTTATTTGTTTCAGATGCATGGACTTACATGTTCTTAATTAACCTACATTGCTAACATTTGGGTTAGTTGGGTTAGCATTTTGAAAAATGACTTGATTCCTTTCTAACCACATTTTATATACGATGTTCACATTCACCCCAGTGAAATATTCTAGAATCTAGAAGAAGGTTTAGTCGCATAGCAAACCATGACAGGTTTTCAGTTAAGATAGGGTATGCATGGAAATAGTTAACAAGTTGTAGTAGTATATATTTACGATGTTACCAGGTGCACGTACTTTCTGAACTCGGAGTCGGAGGGGCCGTTTTATCGTGACTAGTTATTCTTCATTTAAATGCGCTATGTATTGATATTTATACCTTTTCCGCAAAAAACATCAACACATAGACTACATCAATAAATAAGCAATGTATTTTGAATTTTTGCTGATATTGAATACCTTATTTTACGGACAATAAGGCGCACATGGTTATAAAGCTCACTGTCAATCAATTGCCTAAATTGGGGTTTTATTCATACATAAGGGGTGGGTACGCAACGGGTACTGATACAGATACTGGTATTGGCTGTAGGCAATGAAGCACTACCTGATCCATATATATATTCAGCGCACCGGTTTATAACGCACAAGATCAATTTTTCAGAAAAACTTCAGAATTATTCAAAATACAGTGATAAATAAATTTTATGTCAATTGTGGATGCCCACATTCATGACTTTGATGTGTCATCAAGGATCTGCCATGATTTTGCACCGACTCATAATAGCTCTTTGATCGGGCGATGTCTACCAATGTAGTTCAGAACTTCAGATAGCGTCAACAAATTTTGTCATTTCACTCAAGGAACACAACACATTGGAAACGAGTACCAACGACATCTTTGATAAAAACGGGATCATTAACATGAAATGTTGTCTACTCTTCCACTAAAAACGTTCCTGGCTAGCCAGTTCGAACGTGATGGAAGGGAGATGAGATCGGACGGAAATCCGTCTGATTCAAGTGTCTGAATCAGAGAAGATGAGAACCAGAAGACAAGACGGCATGGGTGGTCGAGGAAAGAAATGGCAGGATGGGCGAAACAGCATCAGGGAGCAAAGGAAAATAAAGGAATGGAAACGGAAAACTTGAGTGGGTCAGCAGCACGCAGACAAGACACACAGGTCGTCAAGAAAAGATGAGCCAGCCAATCGGAAAACTTGAGTGGGCCAGCAGCACGCAGACCAGACACACAGGTGGTCAAGAAAATATGAGCCAGACATAGATGAAGTCGGAAGAATCAGCGAGTGCCAATCCGCAGGCAGTCAGGGTACCACCACCAAGTGCGGGAGCGAGATATGTGCCAGCCAGAGATGAAGTTGAAAAAAGTAAGATGCGAACATGGTGCTTGAGGATGAAAAGTGTAAAAAGACAAGCGAGAACAGCAAAAAAACTCGAGTAGGCCAGCTGTAGGTCGTCAAAAAAAGATAAGTCGCATTCATTCATCAGTGAAAATAAAAATTGGCCAGATTTACACCAAACATACTTCGCAAGCAATTGTGGGAAAATACAGACAAAGGCAAACAGTCACAGAAAAAAAATAAGTATGAAAAGAAGCAATAAACACAGAAAATTAAATAAAACTCAGCAGTCAAGAGAATATAGGAAATATATAATCAGCAGAAAGACCAGGAAAATTAAGATTGGAATAAGAAAAAAATTCAGCGATGATAAGTTTATATCAATTTTGTACTGCTTATAAAAGAAATCAAGATTTTAGGATGACTGACACAGCGTCAATTGTGATCAGATGCAGTACTGGATTAACTAAGGAAAAATAAGCACGAGTTTAGGATACCAAGGGAAGGGGAACCACAGAAATTTCCATGGAAAATTTTTCAATGATGACTAAGTGTTCAATGAAGCAATTTGAGTTGGTCAGGAAAAACAGACTTCTATCAATTTATACCAAGTCAACAAGCAACTCCGACTATGATGCGCTCTCCAATTTCATAATTCAAGCAGAAATGAAGATAATGGTGGTACGGGTGACTACATTGTAGCCAAATAAAAGGTCCTCCAGAAGTATGTGCACCAAGATGGCGCACAACCTGAACTTAGTATGTGTACCCGGTTCGGCTTCAGGTTGTGTGTCATCTTGGTGCACATACTTCTGGTTTCTGGAGGTCCAAATAAAATACTACGCTTGTCTCGAGCAAATTTGTTGAGGGTTGAGAGCTCATCTAGTTGATACATTCTAACATATTTCTTTGAAGCCATATGTCATAAAGAGACAAATGTGTTACTCAAAAAAAAAATTTGTTAACAAACGAAAATGAAGAAAGGAACGCCGAGTTAAATCAGATAATGCCAACTACTGAAACTTTTTCTGCAACAGTCTCTGAATTAAATTGGGTTTAATGTCTTTTGTTGAGGTCGTTTTTTGTTAATTAAATAATAATAATTAATTTCCACTTTTGCATAACGTTTCTCGTATGTAGGCTACCTAATTATTGGTGGCTAGTTTTTATAACGAGATACCGCCGTAGCGTTCTTTGATTGTAAATTTCGCCACGATTCCACAGCCCTGAAAAGACGTTCAGGTGCAAGGTTATCATTAAATGTTATGCAATGGATAGGTGTCTATAATATCAATATTTACGGGTCCACCGCGATTCATTTTGCTTCGGAGTAACTTGGAAAATATTGGCATTGAACAGCTGAGACACAGCGGACACAGCCTACCTAAGGTGGTAGGTAGGATTCACATATTTATCCCGTGGGAGAAGAAAGCCGATAAGGCGGCTTAATCATATGGCGAACCACGGCCTCTCGTCAGGTTACCAGTCAATGTCGGGTATGGGATTAGTTCGCCAGTTAATTTTTTTCAGAAGCATGGATTTGATGGTGGAGGAAGCCATAGCTGACCAGTGGTTACGTGCAGATGTGAGTCACCCTACGGCGGCGAGAAGTCCAGCAATCCTCTCACACATAACTATCCCAGTCTGCCGTATGCGCGTATGGGATGCAAACCCACGCAGGGTACAGTAATCAGAGGTGCCAAAATTCGTTCTCGCTAAAGGTCATTCTTGCAAAAGTTTTTCGCAATATTCGACAATTTTCTTTTGTTGTGGTCTGGTTTTATTCGTGCATTAGTTATGTTTTTGTGAATAGGGTAACGTACGACTCCGTACCGTTTTCTGGTTATGGGTCCAATGTCCCTAGAAACACTTTGTTATAGGATACCGTAATCAATTGTTCATTACCAAAAAATGTATCTACTACTACCAGTATAGATTAGGTACTGGTATCGCAAATAAAACAGCTGCGAGTCAGCTTTTCAAACACGCAATATCCTGACATCTGACTACTGGTACTAGCAATCGCAGTATTTCGGTTGGTCGTGCGGAAAAATTGCTCATGGTACAAAATTATTAAAGACCGAAAGCGTACTGCATTTGGGCATGGTTCACAAGTTAAGGCGAGATGTTGAGAGTTGATTAATATCAGAATATTGAAACTAAAAGTATTTCTGTTTTTATTTATGCAGTCTACTTGTAACCCTTGTAGACTTGTGTTTCATTGCAGCATTGGTAACATGCTTCAATTGCCTCACTCAACGACCCTATGGTTACTAACCAATCATTTCTGCATTTATCAAAAACTTAAATTCTTTATGTTTTGTATGTAGGCTATATATAATATACATATACTGATATACCGGTAACTGTACGGTATAACTTAGATTTCTGGTTTGGCAAACAAATAAATTCTGCTACAAGTATCCTATAAGCTGAATCCACAATTTGAATTACAATAATGAGAAATTTTATTGCGACTCCATAGTGAGCATAGTAAGCAAGCGATAAAATGATAGATAAAAATCATGCGAATAAAAACTGATTATGGAACTATTTGAATCCTTTTAAAAATGAATATCTATATATTATGCAGTATTATAATGACTTAGTTAATTAATACACCAATGGGACAACTTAGTTCACGTGAAACCCATGGCGTTGGAAGTTCCTTTCCATCACCTTCTCGCAGTGGATTAAACAACGGCAGTCAAAATGGGACAAGCCATCTGTACAGACCTGGATATTTGTGGCAAATCTTCAAACATCGGCGGGCAAGAAACTTTCGAAATAGTTCAAAAGGTTGTCGACTAGATGTGCTAGAAAAGTTTCCCGATTTGTACTTGTTGCCGCCTGAGATTGGAATAGAAGTATTAAAAAATTTGAATGCAACTGATTTATGCCTAGCTGCATGTGTTTGGTCTGATTTAGCAAATGATGAGATGTTATGGGAAGGTCTTTGTAAAAATTCGTGGGCCTATTGTACGGCCTACAAGTCATGGAAAGATGAAGGAAAGTCATTTAAAAAGCTTTATCTTCTTCTTGATGAAGGGAGTCTCACATTTAACGCAGAGCCTTTATGGGGCATGAAATACCTTTTTGAAAATCACATCCTCGATGATAATGCCTCTGAGATTGCCATGTTTTTCCATGGAACAAATCAACTAGTCTGGCAAAAAGTACGTCAATATCTGAACACTCGAAATGACGTGTTAGATGAGTTATTGAAGTTGCAAAGTTTTAAAAATCAGTTCCTTCCTAATGCATTGAGAAAATTTTTCCAGGCAGTCGATGCTCCGATTTCTAGAGGTGAATATCTTAATTTGCTCATTGATAAGTTTGCTGTGAGATTTTGCAACGATAATCCTGATATTGCTCTTGTACCTGAGATTGTTGCGATACTGTGTTACTCTCTTATATTACTCTCTGTTGATTTGACTAGTCCACAGGTCAAAAATAAAATGTCAAAACGGGAATTTGTACGCAACGTTCGTTCAGCGGTTGTGGAATACAGTAGACAACACGCCCAAGGCAATATTCAACTACAAAATAGAAGAGGCATGCCCCAAGAGAATATAGGGCCAATTCAGGCAATTGCGGCGGTTGATTCCGATTTTGCAGGACATTTGTATGATAATATTTATTTGGTTGGACATATTGCTCCACAACGATGGAAAGATGATCAAGGCTAGAATTCTCTCCGTTGTTCTGTGATACATGTTGTTATCATAGGTCTGTTGTTGTGATTTTTCTCTAACTTTGATTGTTATTGTTATCCGCAGTATGTTTGCAACATTTATGGTGTGAGAACAAATATAAAGTCTCTTTCATTTGGTACTTTTAGATGTATAATTTACTGTGAATATATATCATTTCCATTGTACCATTAATTCATCTTCTTTCCTCATCTATTATATGAAACAGTAATTTCTTGTAATTTTTCTCGTTTGTTGAAACTACAAATTCAACACATGGGAATAAAGCTGATTTTATTATTTCATATACTAGTTCATACTATAGTTGCGAATATATATATATTTTTGCCTTGTGTCATTATTGTCTGTATGTAACTTTATGCCACTTTCCAACCGAGTATCTAATTTATGATAAACTGCCTTAACGAGCTGCAATTGATATAATTGAAATCTCTTTAAATAAGGTACTTAAATAATGATCTATAACTAAATTTACTAAAAAATTATTGTTTTATGCCAGTAATGGTCTTTGTTGAGCATGATGGAGTCTGACAATGATTTGCTAGATGTCTTCATCCACATCTCATAGTCGGAGCATTGTATTTTCAACTAGGTTAACACAAAGTTGGGTTCCCTGTTCAACCAACCTTATTACCTAATAGAAGGCCATTTGTAAAACCTTGTAGCAAAACGATGTCGGTGTAGGATCATTGGTTATTGTGGTGTATTAATAATAAATGTGACTATACTTTTCTGCAGTGCTTGGTGGATTATTTTGTAATTTTTTTTGTCTGCGTGTTTTTGTCAAATACATAAATTTTTAAGTGTAAGTTTAACATTTGAACACCTAAGCGATAATTTTCTAACGAGTCGCACTCTTATGTTTGTACCTCGAATATAATTAATTTGAAACTTGCTGTCATTGACAACTCTCATTATATAGATAACTTGTGGTTGAACAAAACTATATTTTGTGTGTGGCGGCAATTTATTTTTCCATAATTAATCTATATACTTTAAAAAGGCACTAATTTCTCATTGATAAAGCACGTGCAAAACACATCCAAAATGGCACAATATTTGTATTTATTCATTTGTGCCCAAGTTTTGACTGAAATCATTTACCGGTATTGTTCAATTTTCTAATACATTAGTAATTGATTTCACAACTAAGTTAATTATAATGATATATGTTTGGGATATAGAGTTTTGATTTGATACCACCAGTATGTCTTGTTAAGCTTTAGAAAAGTGGATTTTGAAATGTCTTGTTAGACTTTATTTTTCTACTCTAAATGGATAGTGATTTATAAATGGGCTTGAATCAAGGATACCATATCCATATTTGTTTAAAATTATCTCCTGTTGGTATTATTAGTTTTAAATGAGTTATTAATGATTTTCATTTATATGCTTGTAATTGTAACTATATCCTATGCTTGTTATTTTTTTTTCAGAAGTATCTTATAAAATGGAAAAAGTCGAATATGTTTTGACAAATATACCATTAGTTCTGGAAAGGATATTTAGTTTTTTGTCGGCCAGAGATTTATTACGTTTACAATCAGTTTGTAAATCATGGAAATCTTGCTCTGCAGATGTTCTTCGTGGGAGAAAAAGTGTGAATCAAGTGGAATATATCACTTATGTGAAAAATTGTGATGAGGATAAACAAACTGTAAAATTTAAGAGATCAAACAGACAAATGACATGGAAAAAGAACTCTAGTATGTACAAAGAATTTTCTGAGTGGAGAAATGAATGGCATTGTGCACCGACCGCGGGGATATCTGTCTCTATGTCAAATGATCGTATAATCAATAGTTTCAATTATGATCATGAAAATATGATACGATATTGGCTTCCACCTGCGAATAAATTACTAACTCTAAGGTCAGTGTACAGTGTTGTATGTGTGGATAGTGAGAAAGCTTCAATAGAGAATATTGTTGATGATATCAGTGATGTTTTCAATTATATATCATTTCCACAGAGTTTATCAAACTTATTTTCTGTCAATTATTTCAATCTGGAAGAAGAACATTCAAGTGAGGATCATGATAAGTTTATTCAAACTGTTGGTGACGAACTTGAACATTGTGACACCAAGTTAGTTTTTGTGTCAGTAGTTTCAAAAGATTCATCTTTGTCACCTTTACACAAGAATATACTGAAGCCGGCAGCTTGTCGTGGGGTTGTTGTTATTGGGTGCATTTTCGAAACTTTAATTATTTTTAATCCTGATAATGGACCAGCCAATAGTACCAATGGTATTCAAGATTATGTAATAGTATCTTTTAAAGGTAAAAATGTACGTTCTGCATCAGTTTTGGTAGGATCTCATGTTGACACTATCAAAGAATTAAATGCATGTTTAGAAACGCTACAGGAAACTGTAAAATCTTTTGGTGCCAACTGCCCAAATATGTGTAAATTCAAAAATAAATTTGGCCATTGTGCATCTTGTAATTCGCAAACTTTGGGCTTCATGGTAGCTTGTTGCTCTCGTGCTAATCCTCAAGAATGGTACGTTGAAGAAGATACTGATGATTTTGCAGACGTTCCACGTAATCTTGAACAAGAAGCATTTAGAAAAATGATTCCAAATGTTCCGCTCTTGGGAATATATGGAATGGGAGAAATTGGAGGTTTCATAAATCTCATTGGCCACCAAGAAAAACTTTTTGACCAGAACAGTGATCTGATAAAAAGAGAAAGCACTGTTTTTGCAGTGGTAATGTTGAAATAATCATCTCAGCATACACTTTCTGTGCTTTCAACTTTTTTGTTGTGATTTGTGTTTAATTGGTTAAAATCTTTAAAATCATTATTGTAATACTGTAGCCAGTCTTCAACCTCAAATGGGACAACCAGAATGGCATATGTTATTGTCTGACGAACTGCAAATCAAAGTCAGATATAGGATTAGGAGATGATTGCTGTTCAATGCATGGCTAGTATATGTACTTTTATAGTACTACTGGTAATACTTTTCGCTAATATTTTTTTTATTGTTGGGAGTGGGACAATCAAAATCAGTTTTTCCAATGTAAAATATGAGACAATTCTGAATTTTTCCTTATTCTAGAAATACTTCTGGACTGACAATCTAACGTGTCTCATCTTTTCTATTTCAGCCTACTCTCTTTCCTTTTTGAAGGCTTTGAAAATGCTAAACTGTTTAAAAATGTCTAATATGATATTGATGATGCAGCAAAGTCTTTATCAGTGCTCTATACTCGAAGTGAACTAACTATTAATACTTTAAATACTGTAAAATAAGGCCTTTAGAAAAAAATAACAATGTTCTGTCTTTTTCGAGTCATGCACCACTCTTTTCAGTTGTATGTTCACTACCAAATTTGTTTTAAACTTCATTATTTTTATTTTGTTCCCACTTTGCGACTGTGAGAATCTTTCTCTATATTTTATTCTATATACATATTGCCCTTTTTTCAATATTATCATTTAGCAGAATTTTCAGAATAATTCTGCTATCCTATGGTATTTTTCACATTAGTCGAATAGTGGACCATTTTGGTATTGCTGATTATTGTTTCCATTCATTGGAATACTAGGTTGATAATGTCGCTTATTTCGACAATGGTTGTGTGAATTCAATCATGAAACACATGCCGGTACTTCGTTGATTTTTTTCTTTGTAAAATTTGTAACAAGTGAAACAAGTAAGGGCATTATTCAACCTCTTGTTTCGTTTTTCCAGCTTTAATCATTTTGTGGTTATAATTTTTACATCTGAAATTTCCAAGCATGTCACAATTAACTCAAAGGAAGAAGACTGATGACAAATTTGATATGAAGGCGCAACACAAGATAACAGATACAAAAACAAGATCTGAAGATAAAGCATGTGAGGATTCTGAAAAATATGTTATTCTGATTTTGATCTGTCTTCGTATCATCAATACATTTTTAGTAAGAACTTCATTTGTACCTGATGAATATTGGCAGTCATTAGAAGTTGCCCACAAGTCTGTTTTTGGGTATGGATATCTAACATGGGAATGGAAATATGGACTACGAAGTTATATTTATCCTGCTATTTTTTCTGGGATATATCAGATTTTAAATTCTCTTGGCATTGATAATCCTGTGACACTCATATATGGTCCTAGGTTGTTTCAAGCTTTCTTGAGCGCAATTGGTGATGTATATCTTTATAAATTTGTGAAGCTTTATTTTGGTTATGAAATTGCGAATTACGGAATTCTATGCAACTGTATAAACTGGTTTTGGTGGTATTGCTCCACAAGGACAATAATAAATACATTTGAAACTAATCTGTTATGTATTGGATTGTATTATTATCCTTGGAATACTGCCCACAGGTCTCTTAGCAAAGTAGCAATTTATCAATTAATCGCTATATTAATTACTGTAATTAGACCAACAGCTGCTGTAATTTGGGTACCATTAGCTTTATGGCATATATTTAAAAGCCGCAATGCAATGGTATTTCTGTCATATGTAGTCCTATCTTTCTTTGTCTTGATAACGTCCACTTTAATTGATTTATTTTATTATGGTAAGTTCGTATTTGTGCCATGGAACTTTTTTAAATTCAATGTTATGGAGGATATGGGTGTGCATTATGGCACTCATCCCTGGCATTGGTATATCACTCAAGGTATACCTGCTATCCTTACCACTCAAATGATATTTTTCATCTTTGGTGCTGCTTTTGTAATGAAACATACATTTCCTGCTAAATTATCTACAGAAAATTTAAAAATATGCAAATGTTTGTTATCTCTATTCTTATTCACTGTTTTAGTTTATAGTTTTCTTGGACACAAGGAATTTAGATTTGTTCTTCATCTTGTTCCAATAGCGTCTCTTTTCTCTGGTATTAGTTTGTCAACATTTTCAAAAAAAATGAGAAACACATCGTTAATATTTCTATTGATTACAAATGTACCTGTGGCCTTGTATACCGGACTCATTCATCAAAGAGGTCCATTGGAAATAACTGATAAATTGAAAGATTTGCTTGCTGAAAATTGCATTTCTAATTGTCCTGGAAGCGTCTTATACCTGATGCCATGTCATACTACACCACTATATTCCCATCTTCATTTGAATGTGACCACAAGATTCCTAACTTGCCCTCCAAATCTTTCTGGTATAAGGAATTATAGTGACGAAGCAGATCAGTTTCATAGTAATCCTATTGAGTGGCTTGATAATAATATTTTTAGTCAAAAAATCCTCGCTGATCGACCTTACTGGATTCTGTTATTTGATTCACTGTATGATAAGTTGGAAGCTTACGACCCATTGGATAATTACAATATTTGTGCCACTGCTTTTCATACTCATGTTCCAGAAGGAAGAACTGGAAGATTTCTTTACATCTTATGCAAGAAAACGTCTCGATAATATATTCAGTTGCAAAATTATTCTCATGTGTGTTTTATCAACATTTTGTATTTTTGTAGGTTAGATTATACTGCACTTTATTTATTGTAAAAGACTGTGGTTTCAGATGTCTGGAAAAAGCATGCTGAAAGGTTTACCTTCTCGTAATCCGAACAATTTTTCAAATTTTAAATCCGACTCGAGCAAAACTGCCAAAAAATTTACTTCTTATCTTTCTACGGAAGATCAACCAGTAGAACAAGTAATAGTTTCCGACAGAAGTAATATTTTATTGCGATATTTATATCTTCAACTTGATAAAAAATTGAATGGCGACGTTGAAAAAAGGAAAAGTTCTTCAGAAGAAATGAACCATGTTGACACAGACTCTAATAAAAATCCTGATGTATTGTCATCCGATGGTCCACCTCGTAAACAACCTCGAATGTCAGCACCCCAGTCACCGTCTTCCTCTGTTTCTACATCTTCGTACCCTTAATTATCGAAATATGTTATGAAAGTTATTGTGAATTTAGGATTTTTATTCTATGGGAGAGGATAGTCAATCAAACCTCCATGATGCCCCCCATGAAAGGCGACGAGTCCAGCTATCCTTTCGCATATAATTTTTTCCACAAGATTCGAACCTGGGAACCCACACAGTGCGATCCAGCTCACACTTTCGCAACAATATTCATATTGTATATACGCAACTCATTTATTATTGAGAGCAAGTTGTTTATCGCACATTGTTACGGATTACTAAAGGTTAGTTGATAGAGAAAGATTAGGATTTGACTCTAGTAGCCTATAGTAAATTCTTCTGAATTGTAATAAAATAAAATAAAAAGGCCTAATAAAAAGGTTAATAAATATTTTGCTTTAAAAAAATTCTGCTTCAAATTTATGTTCTTTAGGAGTTGCATTCACTGATATATAATGTTCCAATAGAGGATGTTTATTATACATAGTCAATTGAAAAGCGTGAAGTAGCTCATTGCAAAACCTTACATCTCATGTTAGCTCTGTTCAAACAGAATACTTTTGATCATATTTCCCATCCTTTCGGTGTTTTATGCATTTTATGTTTATTACAATATTTGTAATGCAAATCTTTTCAAAAAACTTTGGGGTTTTGTATTTCATTTGAATAATCTTACTATTGGTATTGCGCTCTCTTTTTCTTGTTTTGTGTGAACGATTTTTCAACAGAAAACGGTGAAATGTGATTAATTTATAAACCTTGTTTGATGTATTGTAACGAAATTCTTTTTATGTTTTAATTATTTTATTTCTAATATTATATTATGCCTCTTCATTTCTTTGATGTTTCTATCTACTCGGAAAAGCATATTGCATTTTACTACAAAGCAAATTTATGTGGGACATAGTAAGGCAAAACTCTTGGGTAAGTAGGTAAATGCTAATTTTTTGTGTCAACATTCTTTCATAAGAATGAAATTAGTGTTTTCTACAAGCTTGCATGGCAGCTTTATTTGGTACTTTGGGATTTGCACACAGTATATTCATTAGTGGGCTCCATGGAATTTGCTATTAAACATTCCTGATATATCTTCGGTTGTTTTTAATAACATCGATTTTAACATCTCAGATTTAGTCTGGTAAAATTTTTCTAACTCTTTTCTGGTAATTGCCTGAAATTAGTTTTCACAGAATCAAAAAATTATTTTATTTTAGGTGTTTATAGGAATCTCAGCCCTTGTTTTATTTCAACTTCTATATATAGTGATTTTATGCATGTTCAGGTGAGTTCTCATATTTATAGGTATAATACAGCTTGCTTCAGGTCAATCAATATTTAATAATAACGCTGGGATAATATTATGCATTGATTAATCAATTGAAGTAGATAGTACTAATTAATGCAGTCATGCTTGCCGCACCTAGAAGGTATACTATTTTTAGACACTATTTCTATTCGATTATCAACCATACATTTTTATACTTGAGGAGAACTAAGGTAAATCTTGTTGGTGTTCGGCTGCATTTTTCCAAATGCACAAAATAGCATATTGTGTAAAAAGCATATGAAAATTTATAGGTTTCATCACTGAGACTTGTAAATCCTTGTGGCTTGTTAAAATCTCTGGTTCAAATCCCTTACCCAGGGGTAATAAATTGGTTAGACAATGCTGAACTGAACCTAACTATAGTAGTTCATGACCAAGCAGTGGATGCTACCAATGACAATATGTATGGATAAGTGTTTGAAAATAACCAGATAGTGCTCATGCTAACAATGTCACACCTTACTTATTTATATTCCAAAATAAGGTCATTACTACTTGACACATATTATAAGCTGCTAAATGGAACAATTAAATCAAGTGATCAAAATGAGTTCAACATGAGAGTTATTCATTATCAAATCTTCATCCACTGTTTCTACTCTTTGTTTTTTTTCATTTCAGAAAAAAATCTGAATACACATTAATACTTGATGAAAATTCGTTGCTGTTGCATCAACAAGGAACCGATTTTTCCACTTCCCATCAAGGTGATTTATTATCTGACAGAAATTTGAATAAAGTTTTGTTTCCATTTTTGAACAATTTATTGATATGTCATTTGCTTTCGTGTGAATAGTGACAATACACTATGTAATACGTACAGGGTGACCCTGAAAAAAATAATAAATCTATCAATTTCTTGATTACTTCTACAGAAATGCAGAAAATTGATTGATCACCTGAACTTCTGTATGTGTATGATATACCCAAAAGTTTCAGTATTCTAGGACGCTTTGCACAAAAGTTATGTTTTTTCTAGAATATGTTCCAAACAACCTGAGTAAATGTTTTGTAACCAAAATCTAGGTGACTCTTAAAACTAATATTGCCTTTCCTAATTATTACTTAGTTCTTATTTTCCTATATATGCATTCAATATTCAATTTTTTCTGACGTTAGACATTGAAAGATCAATCATTTTCTTATATTTAATTATACATTGATTTTAAATATATCAACTGCAAACAGAAATTTATTCATACAACCTTATTTTAACAGGATATGATCATGCATTGATGAGCTGTCAATATTACTTGCGACATTTGAGTAAATTAGAGTTCATACAATCTTACAAACAAATAGGTAATTTGATTTGTTGATATCTCTATCTTAAGAGTAAATATTTATAATTACTTTTTAGTACAAAGTGAATGCAATCAGAATTACCTAACTTTCAACCAATTTGATTGACTTTACCAAAAAAATTGTATTCTATAAACTTTCCAGCATGATTGATCTTGATCACAATGACTATAGAACAAACAATAAGTTCCAATAGCATGGACTCCATCTCCTGTTTGTTGAATACCTTAAACCAGGGGTGGGCAACCCCTGGCACGTGTGCCAAACTTTATCGCTTTAGTCACTTTGTGTGTTTTATATACTTGTTGAGTCACACACTTATATTTGGGTTGAGAAACATTATCACTCACAAAATATCTTGACGATTTTTGTAAATATTTCTCCTATTGTATTACAAATTATGTATTGTATGTGAAGAAATCAGTAGGCGGTGGTGTGGCTCATCGTGCTAAGCGTTAGGAATACGCTCGCCACCGCACCTCTGATTAGCAGGTTTGAATCCCATGCAAGGATGGTTATATGCGAGAGGATTGCTTGACCGCTGATCGGTTACGGCTTCCTCCATTCGAAAACAAGTAACTAACTAATCCCATACCCGACATGGAATGGTAACCGGACGAGAGGCTGTGGTTCGCCATAGGGTTAAGCCGTCTTATCGGTTTTACTCTCTCCCGGGATAAATATGTAAAAATCCCATCCTATTTTGTATAAAATTAACGCTTTAAAATTTTGTTGATTCATAATGGTACGATACTACGAATAATTATTTTGTCTTCACTTACAGATAGCCGTTCAAGTACTTACTGGTTTGCATTACGAGATACAGAAAGAGCAAAACGAGAAAGTGGAGGAATTTTGACAAGATGTAAGTCCTATTTTAATATATTTACTAAAAAGTATTCCAAAACCGTGCAAACATGAATTTTATGGTAAGCTTCTTTTTTCCTTTTGTCCATTGCTTGATATTTTGTGTATCAGTCAACTGACAGTGGCAATACTACCCAATTCATCCATACTTGCATTTGTCATGAATATGATATTCAGTAAAATGATAAAATTTAGCTCTGATAGTGTGAATTATTTTTTACACAGTGAATTGTATCTGTATCGATTAGTAAACTGGATTCTTACAATCTTCTAGATGCTTTTTCCAATATGCCTCTGCTTTCTAGAATTGGATTTATTTAACTCTTGCTGCTCGGCTATTTTTTTTAAATATTTTATTTTAATTGTGATTTTCATATTTTCAGCTAAAGGGAAATGCATATTGAAAATATCTTGTCGACCAAAGTTATCCAATTTTACTAAAGGCAATTGGGAAAATGTACTGGAAAGCATGCTTGATATTTTGCTAACGTAAGTTTAAACTAATTAAATACAAAACTATCATCATGATGCTATTACCATAATTTCATAAAAATTTCCCACTTTTCTTATTAAACAATAATGCGCCAATTATAAGATTACCCTGCGACGGGTGACCAGTTTTATTTCAAATGTCTGCTTGACCAATAACGGTTTATCTGCGTACTCTGTTTACTCATATTCTGAGCTGTTGTTAACATACTGTCAATGCAAGGTTTATGTCCAAATTTTTTAATATAAACGGAAGTGGATTTTCCCATTTCTGAGCTACTTTTTTGGTTAATTTGCTGCTTGAAACCTCACATGAGGTGATATTTACTATAAATAAAATTACAAACTTTTTTGAAATGTTTCCAATTCTACCTACCTGCAGATATCAAGATATTGTATATTGAGTACTAGTTCTTCCTACTTCGAATACCTATCCTATGAAGATGCTTGAATGGCATAGCATGGTAGTGATAAATTAGAATTTCATAATCATACCATGGCTTATGAATATACTTGCTCTTTATGGAAGGCGAGGTATTCTTGTCTACCTAAGCGGGTTAGTAAATTAACGAGGTATAGTTATTGCCATTTCTCTAGATATTTAGAGTTGTTTCAGTCAGGAACCCCTTTACTAGTGCAGTTTATTCAAATCATTTGTAGAGCATATTATAATCTTTAATAAGTTGCAAGCATTTTTCTCACATGCGCAACAAAGGTTATCTTGTTATCAACACTTTGTCCCGTTTCCTATCTCTAATTATCATCTCATCCAGCAAATGGTATAACCTGTTTTCACAGCATTAAAGATGAGTCGTGTCCTTTTCTGTTACCTGTTTTTGATCTGAACTACCAGACAGACAGGGAAACATTACTTGTACTCAATGAATACAAGTCCCGTGGTTCTATGCATGATCAGATGCTTGGTATGGTACGTCAGAAAGGACAAAACAAATCAGTTAGCAATTCCAATTCCATTATGATTTGCAATCAAAATGAATCAAATTCAATAATCAAATTGACAGAAATTGTATGGATTACAATTGAATCTACCAAATGAGTATTACTATTCAATAAATGACTTTTCAAACAATTTAATTTTTAATGCAAAATTTACACTTTTAAAATGAAAATCATTGTCATAAGTGTCTAATTAGTTTTAGGCTACATTATCCAGGAATATACAAATGAAAGAATAAAATTTTTTGAATATAGTAATACAATGACAATTTCATCTGAATTCTTCAATCAGTCATAAAAAGCAATTCTAAAATTTCTCAGTTTCAATTACGTACATTGTGCCATACTAATCAAAAATATCATTTCCTGAATGGGTCTGGATGTTGTTACTGTTTGCTCATAGGTGATTGTATCAGTGATCTCATCAATGATTGTGAAATGGTACCCACTAGCAGCCAGCTTGGACTATGTATCTCATGTATTATCATATGTTACTCTCAAAATATCGATGATTAATAGGCAATAATAATCAATGTGGATTTCGGGTATATCTACTCACTTCATTTTAAATCATTTTATTGATTATCAACTTATATACTTCAGACATCTGAACCAAAAATTAACTGTTGTTATATGGAATATAAACTTTTTATAATTGTTTAAAGTTTTAAGTCAAGTTAAAAGTTTACATCTGTAAGTTTTTATTGAAATACGTCAACGAATATTGCATCCAACTATGATTAGATACCAGCTTTAAGAGCATATTTTTTTAATAATATTATCAATATTTTTTTTTCCGAACCACAACATTCGCCATTTTCATCACAAAATCTTCAAATTAGCGTTGCTGTGTTTAACTCAAAATGACCATAATTGTTTTCAACAATGATTTGCAAGTGTGTGAACATGTCAATTGTTATTCATCATATTTTGCTGAATTTTATTTACTGTATTTTATTTCGTTCATTTACAGAAACCATTTCATCACTTAACAAAGACAGTAAACCCCAAAAAATTGGATTTTGGAAAACCTTTTTCACTGGAGAAGATATGCGTTTATACGAAGCAAATATTACTCGGATTAATATTTTTGGATAAACTTCGTTTCCCAATGAAAAAGGTGTTATGTTTACACTGTCCTTTTTTGTTAGGGATGTTGAAATACTAATTAAATGATCACATTGATTCGAAATTAAATATATTCTGTATTTCAAATTATTGATTTTATAAATAAACTAGAATGTTTTGGGAGAGGAATTATCAATTTGAACAGTTTCACAGTATGACCTAACGTTCTTTATTTATTGAATGATAAAAATTAAATAAAAAGTGATTGAGAAATTTATGAGTTCCCTCCTTTGGGTCAACCTGTGTTTGTTCTTTCTTGAACATGGCTCAATTTAAAATATTTTCGATACTCCATATTTAACAATACTATTTCAAAATGTGGGTTAATTTTGGCAATCCTTGATTGAATACCAATAAATTCTGATGATAGGTCTTGTTTTAACTAGACTCATCATTGGTTACATGCTCGGAATGTATTTATCGATCAAGGAGTTTGTAAATTATCTGGCTATGAAATCGAACTCGTACAAATGAGAACGAAGTACATTCAGGAATCGAATGATGATCGGGCAACGCTCAATGCAGTTGGTAAGATGAATCATTGGGAACTATGTTCAGTGTTGCGATTTTGGTTTAACTCGACGACAAAAGTTTGAATAAATCATTATACTGCTAAAATTGGGATAGGATTTGCATATTTATCCCATGGTGGGGGGGGGAAAGCTGATAAGATGGCTTAATCATTTGGCAAACCACGGCCTTTCGTCCGGTTATCAGTCCATGCTGGGTATGTGATTAGTTAGCCAGTTATTTGTTTTCAGATGCATGGACTTGATAGTTGCGGAAGCCGTAACTTACCAGCTGTTACGTGAACCACCCTACAGCGGTGAGGAGTCAACAATTTTTTCTCACATCATTATCCCCACATGATTCCTAATCAGAGGTGGGATGGCGAGTGTATTCCTAACGCTTTGCACAAAATACCACACCGCCAAGCCAAAGTAAATATATTTTCCTACTACCATAAACATCCACGAAATTGAATGTCTATGTATAATTTATCTCTTTGCTCATGAAATTTCTAAATGTCTCTGAAAATTTAATTTCGATGTAGGCCAAATTGTATTTGAGATGGCTACTGGATTTCCTGTGAATTATGCATCAAATGCTCAACTTGATCCTTCAAAGAAACAGATGAAAACAAGGCAGAAAGAGAAACTGAAAGATATTCATTTTGAACATTTGAAAACAAAGTGTAGACCTGAAATAGTGCAGGTTAGTTCTCAAAAATTGTCATTTTCGTTGTTCCCTTACTAATCATGAAATGACGTATATTAAAAAAATTAGATATTCAATATTGGATAGATATTATCGAATAGGATTATTTTAGATAAGCGTTAGGAATATGCTATCCCACCTCTGGTTACTCAGAGTGGGTTCGCTGGTTCGACTAATGTGGGGTATAATTACATGTGAGAGGGTTGCTGCACTCTCAATTGAAGGGTGTTTCGCGTACCCACTGGTTGGTAACGCCTTCCATCAAGTCCATGCATCTGAAACAAATAACTGGTTAAATAATCTAATACCCAACACGGCCTGGTGACTGGACGGGCATTCGTGGTTCGCCATATGATTAAGCTGTCTCATTGACTTTTCACTCCTTTGTGATAAATTTGAAAAATCTTATTCTATCCTATTGTAGTTTTACTTACTATTGCAGGAAGCGCTGTACATGTTTTTTTGAATGTCGATATCCTTTTTACAGTTGGTACAATTCCTTTGTGATGAAGATAAATGTGCTTCACTGCATGTTTCAATTCATCATCCTTTCTTCGATCAAGTAACAAAGTTCAATCCAACAGAACCAGAGGTAGATACTATGATTGCTATTGAATAAGTAAACATATTTCGACTCTAGTAGCAGTCTATTTGGAAAGTCCATAATGTCCATTTGTGTACTATGATGTTGTGTTATAGTGAACTTATATTTATTTATGTGATGTATTTATAAGCTTTTTGCTTCAAACATGGCACTGCACACAATAACCCACTGATATAGAAGAAACTACTTCATGTCGCCATTTTGTCCACCAATGGTTGAGGTGAATTAGTCATTTTTTTTATTGGAGCCATATTTTTTACAATGCAAAGTCTGACCTGTGAATATTGTATTCCTGGTGATATGTTAGTGAAACATGTTTATTAATATATGTCAACTCAGTGAACTGATGAGTGATGGATTCTATGTATTTTAAATAATTTATGTATTTTTGTGGTATTCGAGATTGGAGTCGAAAACACTACTTTAGTCGATTCAGAAATCAAATGGTATTTTAGAATACCCAGTCCTAGCTGTAGTGCAATCATAGTTCAGTCTAATGCTTCAACTACTAGTGACAGCCCCAACCCAAAATGACCTAGAAAGGACAGAGATTAACTAGGCCAAAAGCTACATAGCTTCTTTGTCAGATCACCACATGAGAGGCTGTGGTTTGCCGTATTGTTGAAATCTGTATTTTTCACCTTGTTTTCTATTAAGTTTAATGCAAAAATCCTATCCTTGGATATAGTAGAAAGTAATGTTAAACTATTTGGTTTTTGTTACCTCACTGGAGAAAGTTTGAGCAGTTTGAATTCTCTATAATTTGACATATTTTTAGAATGCATCAATCATAGCTGTCAAGACACTGTTTAATCAAATATGTCGAGATGCTTCAAAGCAAATTAAGAGCGTTCCTTCCACCTCACAATGGTATGATATATTCTCTATTAGTTTATTGTTGTTAAAAACATATTCTATGGTGTGCTTCTCATTGGTGGCATGTTAATTATGATCAGGAGACCTTTTTTTTATTGAGTTGTTTTGTCCATGAGGGTATTTCGATTAACTGCAAACCCCTACACCATCCTTTCAATAACTTAGTAGTAAAACATAACGAAGTAAAAATTAGTGTTTTATTTTTATTGCACTCTAAAATATATGTAGTTAACAAAAATTCATACAAAAAATCTCTTAATAGCTCAGCGGAAACTGAAGCAAATTCATTCAAACGAGATGGAGTTTATGGAACCAGTTCGAGAGTATAAATTATTATTATAAGTTTTTTTCATCTGTTTAAATCTGTTTATATTGATTTTACTAAATTGATATTGATTAAATGTATTCTGATCAATAAATTCTCTGATCTCGATTTTATTATCGAAATGGGCCATTCACATTTGGTATTTGCTATCAGCTTCAGAATCAGTGGTCAGCACTTGTGTGAATAGACCTAGCGAATGGTGTTCATCAGCGCTTCGGAACTTGTGTGTTCCATTTCTTTTGTGCAATTTTACATATTGATGGGAGTCGTTACATAGCGCCCAGTATTAATTTGCTGAATATCTGAATTTAAAAGGTCTTCAACCGAACCTGTCCCAATGTAAATATGTGGCGAAAAGGGAGGGCATTGGCCATTGGGCAATGATGTTTATGTACTGATGTTTGTAAGGAGCGCCGAAGTCGTCCATTAGGTATTGCTCATTCAGAATAGCTTTTGTTTTCAGTTTTGATGAAGTGACCAGCAATGCAATTTACATTAGCGTAATATTTTAGTTTGATGATATACGACAGGGGTGGCCAACACGTCGATCGCCACGTCTGAGAATTTAATAACATACCTCAAAATATTGTCTTGAACCAGTTTCATGCAGCGCATGTTGTGCGCATTTAAAACCGGAATAATACAGTACTGTGTACGCGATGGCATAACCAAATTATCAAATTAAATGGGACATAAGAAATACAAAGTTTTATGGCGATTTCATTAAGAATGAGTCCAAAGAATCGAGCCTATTGACAGTGGCGGAAGTTTTTGTATGTATGTGTGCAATTATTTGCATATTCGAACTCGTTTGTTTTTGTGTGTGACCTTATTACCGATTAGTCGATCGCGAACTATTTTGACGATTTCAGTTGATCGCGGTCGCATGTAGGTTGGCTAATAAAGATTCATGTCTCCAGTCTCAACGTGATTCGGAATACCAAAGGATACAAGTCACAACTGTAGTTTGAAATTTTACCGGTACTAGTAGTCTACCATAGGGTGGTTCGAAGTTGAAGGACTGCAAAAACTTTTGACGAAGTCTCGCGGGCCGCAAGTCGGAGAAAACCCAAGAGTGATCGAAATATCGCGAGTTTACTTACTTCAAATTTGATAAACAACGGGAGTTTACCGTTCTAATCAGACTGCTATTATGTTGCATGGGTGACGTTATTTTAAATATGATAAATATTTGAAGCTCTTCAGGTATTTCAAAATTAATTCCCGAGAATTACCGTTGTATTTTTCGCATCTCGCGTTTAATGTTGCTTCAAATTATATTCTTTCGTGACAGATATTACTTGAAATCAAACCAGACACTGTGTGATGGTCAAGGAAATACGTTTCCACCGTGTTTTCCTTATGCCACTTTTCTTGTGACAATCATTTTATTACGAATTGTTATAGAAAAACTTCGCCAAGTCGTCATTTGCCATCGTCAAATAACCACCAAGTCCGTCTAAGTTGGTATTTCGGGACCTTGCTGAAAAAAACTGAATTGCGCGGCGTTGAGTCGGCTCTGCGTTTCGCCACTACTATGACATGGCCCACGCTTGAAAACAGAGGAGTGTTTTTACTAAAAAATAAAGGCACAAGAAAAAACAACGACAATTTTACTAAACGACTCATAGGCTTATTTCGTGTCCAATAAATAGGTTTCATTGTTTATTATTGATAAATAAGGATAATATATTAATATGATACTTGAAGACGAAAAATAAGCGAACATTTTGATGTTTTTTGTCGTATGGTGAACTCGTAATATTTTAAATAAACACCGAAAAACTATATAAAATTCTACTATAAAAATTTCTGTGGTGCCACTCTTTGCTTGGTGCCTTAAGCACGTGCTTATATTGTTTAATGAGCTGTATACGACACAGAATGTGTGCGAGCTTTAAATCCATGTTTATAAGATTCAATTGGTAGGCTACTTTAGAGATTTCATTGCTCCGATAGCACAAAGCGCAAGTCAAGCACATGAAACTAGGAAATTTGTCTGAGCATCCAAGATCGATGTATGAGTTTATTTTTTCCTCGTAGACATACTAAAGTTTACCGCATTTTGCTAGAGAGCAAAATAATATCCCACAGCAATATTAAAATAAAATTTAGCTCTTAGCATAATAGGAGATAAGATATTCCAAATCCGTCACAAGGTCTAAATAAAAAGTGATTTTGCTACCAGGCAAACGAATCAAGGGTGATGGTTACTTTAAAAACCTACAAGTAATGAATTTCTAGCATGGAGGTTCATGAGATCACTGACCGGCTACGGCTTTCATCTGGCATTATGAATTTACCAACTAGTCTCATCGACTCCCCTCGGAGATATATATATATGAAAATCCTATTCTTTATATATTTGACGTCTTCTCAATTGTTCCTAGTAGAATCACCGTATCGTCTTGATTTGTGCATCAGGTAAACACCAACGCGATTGTTTATCAATCAGATATAGGAAAATGTGTGTATGTGTCGTTATTTTGTTTTTGCTGTTATTTTATTTTAGTTGCGACCAAAATACAATTTATCAATTGGTTGATTTTATAATCTGGTGATCCTGCAAATGCTTGAAGTATTTAAACCGCAGTGGTTTTCCCTCTTTCTAGGATGAATACAAAAAAGTTGACTACAACCATCCTTCAAAGTCCACACATAAGTGTTAGTTTATTTTGACTCCTAATCAGCATACCAGACGATAAAGTGGTGAAAAAAAACGAATAAAAACTGTATGTAGAATCAGAAGAGCAGATAAAATATTAATTAAGGTTTAAAGCGCACAGAATATAAAACAGGTTTGCCAAAAAGAAGTGGTACCTGTTCACACACCAAGGTTAGGATTTATATATTTATCTCGCGGGGAGATAAAGCCGATAAAATAGCTTAAATATGGCGAACCACGGATTCTCGTCCGGTTACCATTTTTTGGAAAATATTAAAATATACCTGTCAGACCCATTGACTAATATACCAGATCATATTGGTAATTTTATAGCGATTGCCAAATCGTTATGGTTGTGGTTAAATGCCAAATTGATAGTGGGATCCATTTTGATCCGAAACAAAAAATCTTTGACTCCTAATACTTCACTTTGTTGTGCACAACTGCACATGCTGCTTTGGATTTAAAACAAACTTTATGCCCACCGTGTTGTAGCCACTTTGATGCCGACCAACCGCCACCGGTAGTCCAGCCCTTCTCTTCTTACCATATCGGGCATTTTTACGTTATGTTGTTTTTACGTTATGGAATGACCATGATTTCTAACTTTACCAAAATGTGACAATTCGGTTAATATGGTTGAATAGTTTCACTTCATGGTGTTTCTGTATTAAGGATTTTTATATCCGAGTTATGAGTATAAGTTTATTTCGACTCCATAATCAGCAATAGACGATAAAATAATTGATAAAAACAAAATAAATAAAACTGATTATAGAATCGGGAAAGCAAACGAAACCAAAAAAGTGTAGTACTAGAATATAGGCATCACGTGCCTGATCAGTACGGTATGTTTTCATGTGTAGATTATGATCAATAGCATACTTACTTTTCAGTTTAAATGATTTGTACCTGATATTTATCATGGCCATGTCATTAAAATCAATCAATAATTTGGTTGAAGAGTTATTACAAAGCAGACAAAATTGTAACAAGATTGTGGATTTAATCCCGCTAATCAATTTTGAAGAAAAGGAAGAAGTGTTGAATGTTATTTTGGATGGCGTGGGCACATACTTTTGCAATGCTATATGTAACAATGAGTTAACCAAACAAAAAGGAGTATCTAAAGAAATGTCGGAATATCAAGAATGGATCAATATTCGTTATAATGAATGCCTTGCAAAAATAGTGCTTCTGCTGGATCACGAGTCTGATATTTTAAAGGAAAAATGCATAGTAACTGTTTTAAGATTTATGGAAAGTAAAATTGGGGTCGCATTGCAAAAAGACAATGTTAGCTTTCCAGAAACAGAGTTAGAATCGCTGATCTGTGCATTCATAATAAATGATACATCCAATCATATGCAAGATGTTTGCATGAATATTTGGAAACTCGATGATGTCAGATATTTTGCCCTCAAATGTATTACTAAATGTTCAGCAGAATGTCTTTCAAAAATAGAATTGAAGTCTATGATGCTGCAAAATATATTCACTTTACTGAGTTCAATATCTGAAAGCATGCCGACTGTCATGGATGAAACTAACTTACATACTTTGGCTAATAATGGTGTTGAAAGAATTTTTCCAGCGGTCAACAAAGATCCAGCCGTCACTGAAAAGTATCAGGACTCGTCAATTCCATTTCCTAAGGCGTTAGATTTAAAAGAGCAAAGGAAAATCTTTGGAAATGCCTGGCTTGAGTTTTTGAATTATGATTTGGATAGTCATCTTTTCAAAAGTGTCCTTGTGATACTTCAGAAATGTGTTATACCAAATTTTGCAAGCCCTTGTATCCTGGCAGATTTCCTTACACGTTCTTTCAACAAAGGAGGTGGTATAGCTCTCTTGTCTTTACACAGCCTGTTTATTCTAATGAATGAACATAATCTGGAATATCCAGATTTTTACACTCATTTATACAGCATGGTTCACCCAAGGGTATTTGATGCTAAATATCAGCCAAGATTTTTTTTTCTTTTGGATGTTTTCCTGTCATCAACACATTTGCCTGCATATTTGGTTGCAGCATTTGCTAAAAGACTTTCACGATTGACGTTAGTTGCACCAACCTGCGCGCAAGAATTATTGGTAAATTTTATTCAGACTTTAATTGACAGACACCCTTCTATAAAAATTCTCATAAACCAAAATACCAAAGCCTTACAAAAGAAAGCTTTAGCTGGCGATCCATACTTGGAAGCAGAAGTTGATCCTGCAAAATGCAAAGCGATGGAAAGCTCTTTATGGGAATTGACGGCTCTTTCAAAACATTGTTCATCTTCGGTAAGCGCTGCGATAAAAAACATTGACAAGGGACCAAAGCAGGACATTACAGACTTGCTTGAAAATACTTACGAAGAAATGTTTGATACACTTTGCGAGAAGGAAATTGTAGACGCTCCTATGAATTACAGAGCGCCAAAAACATTGTTCGGTGGATTTGACGATGCTGTAATGGAACTATGGTCAGTTTAGAAAATAGGACTATGCAATATCTTCTTAAACCTAATCCCCATATCCCTTGTGCATGAAATAAATATTCTCACAGCTCATTAGGTGAATGTTGTAATCGGAAGAACACAATAAAAATAAATTATAATATATTCAAAAATATTCATGGCCAGTCCCATTGTCCAGGTGGTGCTTCTCCAATCAATGTCTCCCATGGTCGACATTCTGCCATTTCCCTGGCAAGATGATGTTCATTCTTGGCCTGAATTATGAGTTCTTCAATTTGTCCATTTCCAATATGCTCTTCTACCAGTGCCATATCTGTGTACTGTAAAATGATAGAGAGAAAATGGCATGTAGACATGGATAAATGAGAGTCTGTTGATATTGTGATAAGGAATTTAACTGATAGTCCTGCCCAAGTGTGCATGATCTTTGTCTTTTTAATTTCCAACAAAATGATTAGACGAAATTAAATATAAATCAAGAGTCTTTTACTGTGTCAATAAGAGCAGGGATAGGCAAGGTTTTCTGACCAGGGCCAAAAATTTTGCACAGGTCATGTAAGTGTGAAAAGTTACATTTTATGAACAATATTTACAGTGTTAGAAAAGCAAAAGTGGAAAACAATGTCAAAACTAAATTTATTCGCAATCTCAACAAACTTGAGCTATTTTTAGTATACTTCAAAATTTGGTTTTAGTTTGGTTGTGGCAGCATCAGACGGGCCAGATAAAATTACACAACTGGCCGGATTTGCCCATTTTCTGGTAAGCTATTTTGATAACACATTAAGAGTAATGACTAGCATTCAGAACTAATCACCAATGCACAACTTTGAATGTTTGGTGGAATCTTGTGAGAGTAACAGAAGTTTGCTTGGTTTCTTGCTGCAAAGGGCCTAGATTTGGCAATGAAATATTCCTACATACTTCACCATTATTAGTTCATAGTGTTTGGGTGGCCATGAGACCAAAAATCCCAACAATGCTTGTAATATAATACCTTGTAATCATCATATTCTTGTGTTACACATACAGTTGATCTCATAGCTATTATTAAGATTGAAAGGGAAATTAATTCAAACTCTTTTTAATTGTTGTAGATGAATTTAAAATATTGAAGATGAAAAAGGTGGCCACCTCTCAGGCAAATATATATGATATACGAGCTAAAAATTAATTTCCTAAATTTTTGACCTCTAATTACTGTTCTAGTTTTTCCAGTCATATTATTTTACCTCTCAAATGCTTGAAAGATAAAAATAGCAGTAATATTTACCTTGTTGAGAATTGTTTGTCTGTGCTTGGTTACAGCCTCTGTTTTCTGCCGATATTCTGCAGTTTGTGGCATATTCCCCACTATTTCAAGTGTTCTCTTGTACAGCAATGCTAATTTCTGTTTGCCATTTGCTTCCACGGCTAATCCCACTAACCCTGTTGTCTGAACAGAAATGCATTAACAGTATAGTTCGAAACGATGCCACCAAATTCATTTCCACGTGGATGAAACATTTTTGATATGAGATTAAAAGCTTAAATCACCAGTCATGATAGCTACCGGTACCGTACTGTACACTATTGCACTACCGTATGTTACACAGATACAAGGCATTTGATTCTCGTAATATACGGTACACTCGCCAGACTACTCAAATTAGCAAGTGCAGTTTCAATTATTTTGTGGCGTCTAGAGCTGCCGCAAAACCATGGTGGGATTCCCAAACCATGACCATGGTTAGGATCAACGTATGTAAAAATGTTTGTTAGATGCCAATTAGAAGTACTTACGGCCGTTTAGTGAACGTGCGCCCAAATTAGAATTTATAATCTCCGAATTTGGTGATTCGGAGGATTCGTCTAGTGAATTCAGGAATTGTTGTTTAATAGTCAACTTGCTGGAAGTTTTACTGACAACATTTGTTTGTGTACGGCAAAGGTGCCCACGATACAGTGATAAGGTACTGTGATATGATATGAAAGCACAGATTACAAGTATTCTTTTCAGTTTTGCAGTTTGATTCAGTTTTGTACCTATACCGGTACCGCCAGAATACAGTATTCTGATAACAGTTAGCAGGTTAGTACCGGTACTGCAGTAAATAGCATATATGTTGTATGGTGAAAAATCTTACCAGCTTGGACGCCATCTTAGACCTTCCTATCAGCTCACAGATTACAAACAATGCCAAAGATCTCCCAGAAGGCAGAAACCGCTTGCAAGTCTCGAAATTTAGCTGCCAAAATCACAAACCCGTTGTAGCAATAAAACCGGAGAATGTTGGCCCGGAGTCAGTTATCAGAACTCCTAGTCCGAATCCAAATTGAAATGATATTGTGACGAACCTTGTTTTAACTGTTAAATGATGTCATATTATTGCTGTATTTTGTATTTTCAACACTGAGGACGCTGTGACACTGTCGATCTGTCCTTTGAAATCATGTTAGCGTGTGCTGTGGTGAGATGTGGTTGGTATCGGTACAGTGTGGTTGGATTCTGGTCATGAGTGTCTGTGGGAGTGCCTCTGGTCTCCGGTGGGTTATCATGGATGTCTGTTTGTGGTTTTGTGACTGCGGGATGGGGATTTGTTGGATGTTTTTATGCTAGACCAGCGTTTCCCAAACTGTGTTCCGCGAGCATCTTCCAAGTGTTCCGCGGAAAGGGGACCAAAATTACGACTTAATTGGTCGCTAAGGCTATCTCGGGATCGTGAAGTTGTCGCCCAACCTGCGATCGTTCAATATCGCGTCACGGTCGGCCTAAAGCGGACAAACACAAAAGGTCTTCATTTTTGAGCTCTGCCTGGTTTTTTATTTAAAATGCTGAAAAAAATCACTCATGTTCGCTAAACTCGATTCAGCAAATAAACAAACTGCAGCTCGCATAATTGCAGCAAGTACTTCTAACTGCATTGTTAGGTAACATTAGAGGCAAACACTACGTAATAGAAAGTAAACGACAAAGAAAGGTAAAATGAATTATTGATCAATATACACGGCATTTAAAATAAGGAGCAATAAACATTTATAATAAATGCAATATGCAAAATATTCAATCATATTTTAGTTATGTTGAACACAATTCTGTTAGTTTTCGCGGCGCATTTTGCAACACGCTACAGCGCACTAGTATCATACCCTTTTGGGGCCGCTGCATTACACCATTTTTCTTTATCAATTTCACCCTTTCATTTTTTGGTGTTCCGCGAGGCGAGATAAAAAGCGTAAGTGTTCCCAGGCCAAAAAAGTTTGGAAAACGCTGTGCTCGACAGGAGGCTGATATTATTGTTTCAGTAAAGTGCCATTGCAGTAATTTTAACGTTGTAATTTTTGAACACGTAGTGGACATAACGATCGTTTCAATATTATGTTGGTCTTGTTGTTGTTCTTTGATACTTTGGACATCTAGTGGAAAATCTAAAAAAACGCTTTTCTCTTTCATTACTGGACCGATTGCTTCGAAATTTTTACTGGTTAAAGATGAAATTTTTCTCCAGAAGGCTTTTACTTTTATTTATTTCAAATATTTCTGTTAGCTCTGTGAGATTTGTTCTTGTTTGCTATGACGTCACCGAACGTTCTGCGGACGCATAGCCGACACTCCTCTTCTTTTTGATCACGTGACATCGAACGTCGATGGTTCGTAACGAAGTCCTTACGGTACTTTGCTACGATTTTTTCCTTGCGCTGATCGACGGTACGGTAAACCGTACTGTACTGCGAACAGACGTGTCCATATATTTGGGCGTAGCTCTCTTGTTGTTGCTTTTCTTTGACACTTTTTGGACATCTAATGGAAAATCTAAAAAAACGCTTTTCTCTTTCATTACTGGACCGATTGCTTCGAAATTTGTACTGGTTAAAGATGAAATTTTTCTCCAGAAGGCTATTACTTTTATTTATTTCAAATATTTCTGTTAGCTCTGTGAGATTTGTTTTTGTTTGCTATGACGTCACCAAACGTTCTTCGGACGCATAGCCGACACTGCTCTCCTTTTTGATCATGTGCCATCGAACGTCGATGGTTCGTAACGAAATCCTTACGGTACTTTGCTACGATTTTTTCCTTACGCTGATCGACGGTACGTTAACCGTACTGTACTGCTAACAGACGTGTCCATATATTTGGGCGTAGCTCTCTTGTTGTTGTTGTCAGGGAATTAGCTATCATCAGTACTGTTCAAAGTGTTTTTATTGTGTATATTCTGTTTTCTTGCATTGTTCTGCCTGGTACTTGTCGCTTTATTGTATGCTTGTATAGCATAACTTGAAGTGAATATTATGAAGAAACTTGACGTCAGATCATATTGGAAGATATTTTGAACTTGGATAATTATTTTATAGACTGCCAGTACTCTACGTCTACAATATAATACTCCAAACTGGAAGACGCAAGCCGAGGTATTGTGCTACAAAATGTCTAAATATTATTCCATGAGTCATAGTAATGTATAGCTTATTTTTTGTCAATTTCGTTCATATTCAATGACATAAATGGACGTTTCGCCGACCCTTGGGCCCTGAAAAATTCTCCCATAGTTTATCGTTTTTTCAACGCTGATTTCTAGAGTGTTTTGGAGAGTTGACGCTTATAAACTGACTCACGTGTTCAAAACAATAAACAACGTGACGCTTTTAGGTACTGATAGCTGATTTTAGGCTAGTGCTATTCTATCCATAGTCTAAGTTATGTGATTTAATAACTATTTTTTAGAAACACAACTAAAAACTGACGAATAACACGCAAAACTACCAAAAAGAGGCAATACTTACAATTACGCTACAATATCTGTCTAAGCCAGGGGTGGGCAACCTTTTTTGACTCGCGTGCCAAAATCGGCAAATTTTATCGACAAAATTGTTCCGCGTGCCGACCGAAATTAAAAACAATGCTTTGCCACTTTTAAAGCAGAAATACACAATAATAAACCTTTTAAACGTGTACAGACAGATTCAATAATCGGGAAAATATCAGTTTGACAAATAGATTTGATTACTTTTCTTATTCTATATCAGCTGCATTACCGCTGATAAAGATTTTACATTGGGTTTATATTTTATAACTTCCAGGCTACTCCTATTACGGGCCTCAATAAAGGGTGCTCCTGAAGTATGCGAACCAAGATGGCGGACATCGGAACGTAACATGGATAACAGGTTAGGGTTAGGCAATAATTTTTTTCCAATTTTCCTTATTTTAGTCCTATTATCAGTTCGAAGACTAGCCAAGAGCCTCCGTTAGTATTTATACCTAAAATTATGGCCTAACCCTAACCTAGTACACATATTACATTCCGATGTCCGCCATCTTGGTTCGCATACTTCGGGAGCCCCCAATAAAGTTCATAACTGAGAACCAAAATTCACAAGCATAATATGTAGATGAAAACATGGAGAGTAATGCAGTTGCAAAGTTTTTAGAACACGAAAAATTCTCGGGCATCCCAATCACGCAATAGTTCGTTTCTGCACTCCTCTCTTGTCTTCCCTTCCCTGATCGCTTATATTTCTTTCGAAATCAATTTATGACAGTAAGTTAGCAAGTAACTCTAGCCAACATGAGCTTTACAACTTCATAAATCAAGTAGAAATGAAGAGAAAGGGTGGCACAGGCACAGTGCTCTTCATAATATATTTATTTATAGCCATATACGCAATGAAAGGGCAAAAAGAGTTTAAATAAATAACGGATTGTTAACAAACCATAATGAATAAACGAAAACCGAGTTTCATCAGATAATTGATAGTCTTGAAGCTTTTTACCTGAAGGAGAATGATCTCAATTCCTAGACCCCGCTCGTTTGCCGAATAAACGGGCTCGCGTGCCAGGGGTTGCCCACCCCTGGTCTAAGCGAAAGAAGTGTCTGAGCGACGGCATAAATTCCAATTGTTACGTTATTGTTAACTTATTGCTGATTTGTAATTGGTGCAGAAATAAACAAGGAAATCGATGCCCGGGGAAACATCCATTGTTCTTGAATGATCAAAATGTGTGAAGGACCGAGGAGAAAAAGATCTAAGATAATATAAAGTTAGAATATATTTTATTCCTAGTGAACAGGTAGGGTTAGGATGAAGTCTGCTGACAATTTATTTTTGACTCTCAAAGGATTGGAACTTGAATTCATTTTGTTATATTATCCGTACGCCCCACTTTTGAAAACAGAGAGGACGCAACGGTGCCACAGAAATACCATCAGAAAGATAAGATACAGACAACAGTTGTTAAATCCAGGTACGGGGTCGAATAAGGCGTTTCAATTAATGTGGATTTATTTTAGACTCATAAAAGCATCATCTTATTTCCCGTAGAAACTAGAAAGGCATTCGCATTTTGTCATCCCAATGTAAGTCGCTTTTTATCTGCCTGGTGAATTATGTCAAACACGTAGCAAAGAGAGTTAGCTTAACGACGCGGCCTACAATCGGGTCGTAGGCAGCCACACTTGACGGAATAGAAAAAATGTATTTCCATCAATTGAATAAAATAACAAAATTTGGATTAAAATATGGGATCTCATAACATTTAGACCCAATTTGATAATAATGAACAAATTAATAAAGCAACATCCTGTTGAATTGTCCCATCTTTAAATTTCAAAGCCGACCTATTACGCTACTTGCGAGAAAAGCGGTTCTCTCTTCAAAATAGAAGGCGCCACCACAAGACTAACAAGTTGTAACAACGACGACAATTTATCAAAACGATTATATATATATATATATAGACAGTGGATTATAAATCACCTAGGCCTATTCAAAAAGATTTTGCCACATACAGTATCAGAAAAGTTCATTATACACGGAGTAACAGCTAGCTAACTTTTGCCAATTTAAAAATTATTTAAAGATAATGGCGCTCGATTATCTTTCAAAATACAAATAGGCCTACTGATGTTCTAAAATTGTGTCCAATCTCGAATCTCTAAATCACATACGCCTGTGCTTCTTCGGTATTCTAATTATGTATCCTTAACTGCGTACACTGCAGTTGGTTGAATCAACCCCCAAGCTATATTCCCACGTCAGTTTACCATATTAGGTGGATAATTCTTTATCGGTCTCATTTCTAATGTGTGTATTACAAATTTTAACATGACATGAATGCTTATGTTTTCCAGATTACGAGCAACGTTCTTGTAGAACTCCATAAAACAGAATGTAGATATACAAATACAAGGTGAAATGAAAAATATAAATGTATCAAGTCATGAAGAACGGATGATTGCAATATAGTGGATTGAGTCAGATATAAAAGGAAGTAGGGTACAAAAAGTATTGCCTCATTAGTATTACTTTTATTTGTTTCGAAATTCTTTATCTGTAGCGTTCGGGAATTCGATCTTTAATCGCTTCCCTGGTACAAATGAAGTAATAAATCCCCGATTATATTACGAAAAAATTAGCATAAATGCATAAAAACCTTTGACTAAATTGAAATAAAAAAATGTATATAAAAATTATAAGATAACATATATATAGTATAATCGACCTAATATAATAACCCAATAACCGCAGCAACAATGAATATATACGGGGTAATTTACTGGCGACAGTGATGATTACCCGATGGTGTTTTGTTGTATCTCTCCAACGGACATAATGCAACAATATTACAAGCAATTGCTGGATTTAGAACAGGTTGAGGAGCATAGCAAGCTAGCTTTCTCTGTATATTTTTCATTTCCTGTAGTTTTGCATACTTGCGGTACACTAATAATGATTTCACTTGCTTTCGTAACACGTTATATCATTAGGAAAGGTTACCTTGATAAATTTTAAAGTAAGTTTGTTTCAGAAAGCTTGTATTGCCAAGTATAAAAGTTCTATGTGGTGAGTTTATTACAGTCATTTTATCATTCCCCCAAGCTAGACAGGGGTAAGTTTTTTATTGTGAGTTTGTTTTATCTCGGATAGGAAAATGAATCACATGCGTGGCGTTACGTAAGTCCGAAATGCGCAATTCATGAGAGTGTGTCACACGGCGTCCCTATTCAAATGAAACGTAGTCTGTCTATCTGACTGTATGTATCAGTAAAAATCTGCACATTTTCATAACGCTATTTTGTCAATTGATGTTTCAGACAAGGAATAAATCATGTCATCTTTAAAGTTTGTTAATAACATACTGCTGATTTTTTGTGCTGGTATAATATGCAGGTGCATAGTTGAAGGTGAGTATATAGATATATTTTTTAAGTTTGTTCATAGCAATACGATTTCCGTGCTGAAACAAAAATAAAATGATATAGAATATGAAGAAACATGACATCAACTCCCCATTTGTACGATCCAAAAAAAGTTTTAAATTTTCCGGTACCAACCATGACGAATTTAAACGCAATATATGTAACACTTCGATTTTCATATTTTGCAATCGACTAGAGGTTTTTTTTGCGAAAAATATGTTTTTCCTGGAGATAAGTTGAGCAGTTTTTAGTATTCAAAATAACTATTACGTAATTTACAGGTCAAACATGCGAACCCTTAACGGATCCCGTGTATGGTTCGGTTAGCTGTACTGGCAATCAGGAGAACGATAGATGTGACATTCAATGTGATCAGGGTTACGAATTATCAAGTAGCAGCACCGAATCTAGACATTGCGTTTGTTCAGACCCTACAAATTGTTTCTGGAACGGAGTCGAAGCCTCATGCGACCTTGGTAAGAAAAGGAGGACATTTTTACCATGGATTTTATATATTTAGTATAGCGGTATAAATGGTTCTGAACCGAATGTAATACAAACGCCATTATCTCCATTTCAACAACGTCCAGTGCTCGTAGTCCATAATTAGACACAAGCCATTTATCTGCTTGTTGATCTTGACATTTTCATTTGAATGCTCCAATCAGTGGTGTGCAATCTACGGCCAACAAGGAAAAAAGATCAATTTATTATTCATGGCGCTGCAATGCCTCTTTTGTGACTGCAACTACTAGAAAGCCTATCTTGGATAAAGGTGCGGCCCGCAGGTTCACCCAGTTATTTGTATCTGGCCCTCCCGTATTGAAGGTTGCACGCCCCTGCTCTAAATTATAACAACCAAACATTGTTTCAGTTGTGGACACATGTCCTCCGCCAACTCTATCTGGAACTACCTACAATCTCATTGACATCGCTCCGACAGGAGCAGTTGCAAGAGTCACTTTTACACCGACCGTTAACTCTGCTACCGGATGGTCTGTCATTGTCATATTTTCCAGGTGAATATCTTGTTATTCAAACTCAGCAAAAAACCGCTGTCGTACTGTCAATTCTGTTCCTAATCAATATTTTTTATTTAGTTTTTCATTCCATTTGAATGAATTTGTCATTACGATTAACGTACCCTAACGTATATATTTTCACACTTTTGTAGTGCGCTCGATGAGGGAATCGAAGTAGTATCCTACAGTTCTAGACTATCAGCTATTAGCTCAAATCGCCAGGTTTTAACTTTTACTAATCGCGATTACAACGAGGATGTATCAACAAGACAACAGTATTCTTTTACTTTCATTATTACTGGAACAAACCTGTTGAGTCATTCCACGTTATTTACGGGTAAGTATAAATTTTTGTCAATATGGGCGTGGTTACTGATTTTCATCAAGTAATGAAAATTATACAGAAAAAAATGGGTTGCTATTAAAAAAAAACGATTTTAGCTCGAAGACAAGATATGTAATGGACAAATCCGTAACAATTTCCTTCAAATATTTTAGTAACATCGAAGCGTGTGTACTGTGTTAGTTTTACAAGTATAACCTATATGCTTTAATTATAGTTCAACGAGAAATTAAAACTTTTATTTTGACCATAGCAATGGTGGGCTTTTACGAATCTCCAATTGAAGATGCGTCATGTTTTCTGACGATTAATCCCGTTAACCCTCTCCCTACGACGACTTCATCTTCCACTGTCTCGACCTCAAGTCAATCGACAACGACTACAACTACACAATCTACAACCTCCACTACTACGAGTACAACAACTACTACTACACCTACCACGACAACTACTCCTACCACGACCACTTCGACAACGACGACTACGGGCGGTAGTTCAATTCCGAATGGTTGCCAAGGTAGCAATTTTTTTTGCAAATTAGCATTTTTTGTTACTACAGGCGGAGAGAATGATCGGCTATCAACAATGCGTAACTGATCAAAAAACTGCAATATTTTCCCCATATATATTGCATTGAACTTGAACTGCCAAATAATTCATTCGCTTTATTTTTTTTTTTTCTCATTCATACCGACAAATCTTTTTGGGTAAATCTTTTGTATTGGCGACCAACATACAAGTAATAATCTTGAAATTGTCAGAAATCGTTTATGAAATCGACAACCCTGGATGGTCGGACCAAGGACAATATAGATTCATTTTCCGATACAAAGCACCAATGGGAAATTACAAAGATTGGATCATCAAAGTTGTATTCTCGGCCGAAGTTACTGAAGTAGTGGTATGTATCAATTCATATTAAAATATATTTTATAGGTAAGCATTATAATTATGATCAAGTTCTCGTAGTAAAACATGAAATGCAGATTTCTCACAGTTAATAAATTCTAAATAATTGCTGTTTTCTTGCACTTTTTCTCTTGTTATGATTTGTACGTAAAAGTTCCTAAAGTCGCACTATTTCGATAGTATCATTATAACGTTAATCACAAATCATATAGGCATATGATTCCGTTGCTGACGGGCCTTATACCGGAGGGAGAGTTTGGCTATTCACACCTCAGACATGGAATGATGATATGACAAATCAACAAATGGATGCAATCGGAATGAGTGTGGCTGCGGATAATTCGGCACCAGATGGTATTTTCTTAATCTTATTTATTCGTGATTTTTGAATATAATTCTATAAATTGTAAAATAATGTGATAGCCTATTATTATTGGTATACGATTTTTATTTTTGCGCCCTAAAACAGGTCACTGGTTTTTGCTATTAGTACAAAATTCATCAATATTTAACCTAATGTCCTAATATTAATATAAACTTGAAATACTAATATAATATATGGAATAGCTGTTTTTTAATACTTATGTATGAACAATTATATCGGTAAATGTGTTGCATTGGTATTTGTCAACCATCGCTTGTAAAGTATTTCTCTATTATAGGAATAGCCATATTATGCAACGATGGAGTGGTACCAGATCTCAGCATAATTTCTACCGGTACTGGAGCCACCACTCAGACTTCCAGTTCTACGACAACAACTACGTCTCAAGGAGTGACAGAAACTACCACAGTTGGACCAACTCCAACTACTGATGGTTCTACAGGACATTTACCCGCAAGTTCAAGTCAAACTGTACCGAGTTTTACAGCTTCACCCGAAAGTGGTATGCTTTTAGGACTTGTAAAAGATTCTACAGTATATTACTACCATAAAACACATAGCGTATAAGTGAATTATGTCGTGGCCATTGATTTTGAATTGTTCGTGGGGCGCCTCCTAACTTTGCCAGTCAAATAAAAATGATTTAAACATGGTTACTACATTGTTAACTGAATGCAGTTATTATTAATACAGGCTTAATTATTTAAAAAAAAAAATGGGCAAACGCTTCGCCAGACTGTCAAAAGTTTGGGGGACGGGCAACAAAACGATTATCATAAACATGCAAACAAATTCTACGCACATTAGAGTATATTGTATATCTTTTATAGAGATTAAAATGGCTCGCCAACTAAAAGGATTTTTGGCACAAAATTTTTGCTCATTTTCGTTATATCTGCGTAATGCCCGTACGCGACTTTATGTACGTCGACGTAATTTTTATTTACTGTTTCTCATTCAGAACGCGATCCCTACGATTTCAACGAACTTCTCCACTTATCAATTCTTTTCTACGAAGCCCAACGTTCAGGCGAGCTCCCTGCAACGAATCGTATTCCATGGAGAGGTGATTCCGGACTCAAAGATGGATGTGTTGGTGGAACTTGCATCGATCTGATCGGTGGCTGGTATGACGGTAGGTATCTCAATCGAAAACTAATTTTAAATTCAGCGATTACTGGCTAGTTGAAATAATTCTACTTGATGCCTATTTATGAGGCTGTGTAGTTTAACGTTCGTTCCGGTCAGGCTTGAAATTTCAAATCCCGTGTAGTCAGTAATCGGTGTCAAGGTTATTGGCATCCAATAATTCGGAATCGTAGTTGAAATTTTATTAGAATAAACGCTTCTAAGAAAGTTATTTTTGTGGTGTTCATAAATAGACTCCAAAGACGATATTTTTAAAATGAATATTCATATTTGCCAATCCGAGGCCAGTCGGATTATTTTTCTCCGACTTTAAACAGCTCCCTTTTCTCATGGACGCTTTGCATTTTATCTTTCCCAATTCTTTATAATATTAAATAGCGGAGCGGGACTCTACAACAATAGCTGTTGCTTGCTAGGGATATTTTCATATTTATAACACTCTTTCCGTGTATAACTCTATAGCTGGTGATTTTGTGAAGTTTGGATTTCCGATGGCCGCTTCAGCTACTGTGCTTGCTTGGGGAATGGTGGAATTTCAAAATGCGTATGAAGATGCTGGGGAATGGGTGAATGCCCTTGATATGTTGAAGTGGGCCACTGATTATTTTATCAAAGCTCATGTGTCGCCAAATGAATTGTACTTTCAGGTAAACTACTGTGATTTTTTCATCAGATTTTCCAAATTTTTCTGGCATAACCAATGCAAACAACTAATAATCAGGCCTGTATTTTGAAATGATAAATTACAGGAAAACTAATTTTTTTATGAAATTACCACTATGCATATTTAATCTATCATTTCAATTTAGGTAGGGAATCCAACTGTGGATCACGCTTATTGGGGGCATCCCGAGACAATGACAATGGAAAGGCCAATATTCAAAGTCGACGAGGCAAATCCCGGAACTGAAGTAGCTGCAGAGACAGCCGCTGCCTTCGCAGCTTCGTCCATTGTTTTTCGTGCTTCAGATAATGCTTATGCTGAAATCTTACTAAATCACGCTCTTGAGCTCTACCAATTTGCCTGGGATTACAGGTACATTTAATCGCGCATTCGATTTTTAACGTAAATCATCAATCACTTATGGGTTTTATCCGATAGACACTGTAAAAGCAATGTTATCGGTACTCCCGTAGTATGTATACCAAGATGGCGGACATCGGAACGTAGTATGTGTACCAGGTTATGGTTAGGCCGGCCTTGATTTTAGGTACAAATACTACGGGTGTCATCTTCCTAGTCCCCGAACTCGTAATATCAGTAAAATAAGAAATATTGGAATAAAATTATGGCTCAACCCCAACCTGGTACACATACTACGTTCCGGTGTCCGCCATATTGGTTCACATGCTACGGATATTATTATATAAAAACTTATGATGTACTCATATAAATTTACCGCCGCTCTTAAATACAATACAATTTGTTTATATTTCAGAGGGAACTACCAGGAATCTGTACCGGAATCAGGGATAGCAAATTATTACCCATCGTACAGTGGTTACAATGATGAACTGATGTGGGCAGCAATGTGGATGTACAAAGCTACTGGCGCCGAAGAGTATTTGAACGACGCGATTGGGCTGAAGAATACAGTTTACAATGGACAATTTTCGTGGGATCAAAAAGGACCAGGAGCTTTGGTAAATATTTTGACAATTACTTTATCGCAGAAACTGATATGTCGATGAAAAAATCTCAAGTCATTTCCTATGTCAGTGTACTATCTTCAAAACTAAATACTGTCGAACGTATTACAAGTATACTCTGTCACGTTGCTTGTAAGAATTTCCCGCGCTTTTCCATGATTTGTATACGAACTATTGTGACTCAAAAATAGACTATCGCTAGTCTCAACAAAAAGTATCTAATTTAAAGAATAAAATAGCTTGAAAAAATGAGTAATGAACATTTTCATCGTTTCACAAATTTTCAATTTAATTCAAAATTATTTAAGGCTCTTTTAAGTCAAGAGAGAAGTGAGTATAAAGGAGATTTATTTGCTGGCATCGACTACGTGATGACAATAGATAAAACTCCTGGTGGCCTTACGCATTTTTCGGAATGGGGTTCCAACAGATACGCAGGTAGATTACTAAATTTTACATTATATATATATATATATATTCCTTTATTTAGTACAGGATGAAACAAAATAAAAAGCTTTAGGTTTTAAAGTTCACTGAAATACGCAGTATGCACTGTATCATGATCTCAACAAATTCCGGGGAAATTACTAGATTTTTCATCCTGGACAAAACATGGCTTATTTTTCTTTATTTCACATATATCACAGTGAACTATATTGATCTTCCAATCCCTATATTCAAGTCAGCTAGTCGTTTCTGATAAATGTCCAAGCTAAAAATGTCCTCCGGAGAATTTATGCTACATGGAATCACCTTTCTCTGAGTATAGGTAAATCAAACTTGATCAGATTTATTTGATCTCCCAACTTTTTTTTGGCCTTTCATCTTCACGACGTCAAATTGAAATTGTTTTATGATGCCTTGAATTTTCACTAAATATTTAAATCCCTTTAATCTTGCTTGAAACAGCAAACTTTGCCCTGATTGCATTGGTGGCGGCAAAAATGGAAGGACTGGACACTTCAAGTGGGCTTGAATATTATAATTACGGAAAAGATCAAATTTACAAAATGTTAGGTGACGGAGATAACGCAAGAAGTTATGTTGTTGGATTTGGAAATAATTCACCTCAAAGTCCCCATCACAGAGCCAGGTGATATGTTAATGAACTTTGGCTTTTGTAGTTATATGGAATACACACTAATACAGCAGAAGTGTTTATTGCCACTGAATTACTTTTTCTCCACTGACTTACTTGATCGCAAATGACTTGCTTATTCGCCACTGATTTATTCAATCGCCAATGACTTACCTAATCGCCAATGAATTATCTTTTCGCCACTGACTTAACTTACTTTTCAATGACTTACTCAATTGCCAATGACTTACGCGATCGCCTCTGACTTATTTAACTGCCATAGTCTTACTAAATCGCCAGTCATTGTTGACTTATTACTGATTGGTCAATGTTACGGAAATAAACAAGAAAATCGATGCTCTGTAAAACATCCATAACTTGCAAACATGCGTCTAAACAATTGAACATTTCATACAGTTCCTGTGGAATGTGGACTGAAAATGATCCCGATTCACAAGTTTGTGACTGGAATGACAGAGATGCACAGGGACCGAATCCGCTGATTTTATACGGAGCACTTGTGGGCGGACCCGCAGGAGATGGGTCATACACAGATAATCGAAACGATTTTAGAGCAAATGAGGTAGCTGTCGATTACAATGCTGGTTTTCAGTCAGCTGTAGCAGGTAAAATTGTTTTTCTTCTTGTTCATTTTTAAACAAAGTTTCAAAACAATATAGATAATATGCTAATCGAATGGATATTACCGAATCAAAGATTTTTAACGTGGCTAATAAACAGGCATCATTTGATATGAATTCAAAAAGGCACACAGATTTCAATGTGTAGGTCACGAAAATACCCAAACTTTGTTTTATGATTATTTGTGCATACGTCCAGAGCTAATTTCCCTAAATAAAAAAAAAATAAGAAAATTATAATAAGATATCGACCTAAATACCTCATTCAACAACGAAAAAATGACATTTATTCTTCTTGTGTGGCATGCTTTTAAAACGATGCCACACGCAACAACGATTCGAAGTTGACAGGTGACATTTTAAGTATTTTAAACCTAATTTTTAAGTATCAAAAGTTTTTCTATTTTTTTCTTCAGATAAATAAATATAGTTGTTTGTTTTACATGCTGCTCTGAAATCATTAGGGATTACCATGTTAATTTTCAATCCTTATTCTAATCTTACTATTTGTAATGTTTTTCAGCTTTGAAATATTTCGTGATGCAGAACAGATCTTCATAAACATTGTAATTCGTTCGATCTATTATATAACACTGAAGACACTATCGACAATATGGTTTATTCACACACTCATTATTTGTCCATATCCTAACCATATACCATATACGATTACTTCAAAGAAAAGCTTCTATTGAATATTTTCTAAGTTCAAAGTTAATAGCTAAAAACATAATAATATTTTTTGACGTCCCAATTCAATTGGATACAATTTTGACATTGTTTACTTGGTTATTTTATTTTTAAGAGTTGATTTCAAAGAATTCTCGTAATTCTGCAAGATTAAGTTGTGGGCGTACTACATTGTCATAATCATAAACCAATCAAATGTATTCACGAAATAAAAATTACATTGATCGAATGAATAATGCTTCAATGATGTATATTCATATAAAGCAGTTTTTTTACATTTAAAGGTCGAGAAACTTAGTTGTATTGAATAATACAGTATGGCAGTACCCAATGTCATTTATGTTAAAACAGGCACGTAGTCTCCAATGAATAGCACCAACGAGTTGTAAATAGGCCTAGCTTTAAGCGTTAGACCTTTTTAAATACGCTTTGTGACAAATTCTGGAAACTTAATTGTGTGATAACACCTGCCTTATTTCAATCAGATGTATGTCCCAATTAATTACGTCATAATTAATGACATAAAATCAATCGCAGATATAAGACTGTAGATCTTGAACGAAATGTCATAGCTGATGTCACGTTGAACGATACACGTTTTATTGACATATATAAATGCAATTGTCATTACAATAAATATCATCTGTACCCAATTGATTATAAATATGTGTGCTGGAACTTGGCACTGTTATATCTGGTCAAACATAAACTACACTTGATACTCGGGCACGAAATGATTTATATAATATACATGTGAACGGATTGTGACGTTATCTGAAATTCTACTTTATTTGTGTGGCGCGATTGACAATGTAACAAGATGAAAGAGTATAAGTTAGATAGAGGGCTTAGGCGCTTGCATAGTACTTGTTAAGGGAATGTTTTGTTTTTATAGTCAGTAACTTCTATTGCGATGTTTGGGCGAAGTTAATACCAAAGGTAAAATAAGAAGGTACTCCCGAGGTACGTGAACCAAGATGGCGGTCACAGGAAGATAGTATGTGTACCAGGTTAAAGTTGGGCCATTATTTCAGGTACAAATACTACGGGAATCACTTGGCTATTGCCCGAACTCGTAATAGAACTGAAATTGGAATAAAATTATGGCCTAACCCTAACCTGGTACACATACTACTTTCCGGTGTCCGCCATCTTGGTTCACATACTTCGGGAGTACCAATAAGAATATGGCTGATTTTGGATTATTGATTTTTCGTTTGAAACGTCTGATAGGTTATAAAATGGAAATATAAACCGATGATCTCCGATAATATAATATCGCGGGCAGCAAACAAGAATAAGTTTCTCGTCTTGTTATATTCTTCCAGGGCATATGATATTGCTAACGGAGATACTAAGTGTAGATTTATAGTGAGATCAATGGTCATAAACAAAACTCTCATCATTTCAAAAAAAATGCAAAACAGTAAAAGAAAATAATTATCAATGTATTTAATCTGCAATAGAGTCAGAACAAACGTCATATTTCATCTTCTAGGTGCAATTCATCTCAGACCGCATTCACGATAGAACCATTTTTACAAATCTGTTTTTCTAATTTATTAGAGCTTTTTAATTTATTAATTATTAGTGTATTTTCATTTTTTCTATTGAACAAGATTAATCATAAAATTAAAATAAATTCATGCTCTTCAAAAATTTTGCTTCTGAATATTTATTTTTCAATATTAATCGAACGCACGATTCAATGTTGAGAAAGTGCCATTTTAACACAATTTCTAAAAATAAAGCATATCTACCTAGTAGATGAACACTAAATACCAATCGAGAATTATTTATCGAAATGACTTTTTACCACCCGACGTCGTCTATAAAAACCTGAGAGATTTATTTTGTGTTTATCTGCAAAGGAAGTTGTATATACAGAGCATTGGGAGTGCCAATAACAAACATCATCGCTTTACAAAAGACGCTCTGATAGAGGAACTAGAATTTTAAAAATAACCTTCCCAGATCAAACTTTGTTTTTGAATGAATTTGACACAACGAATTTGTGAACTTCGAAAAACTGAAATCCAAGTTCATCGTGTATGTTCAATTAAAAATGCCTTTTATTGTAAAATTTGCTTGAACACTTGATAAATACTTCGGGCGTCACCCTCACATGTTTTCTATATATATATATCATAAATAACCGTATCACAAATTAAAACTCATCATATTGCGATGGCTTCATGAAAAAACTTTATATATATGCTGCTATAAATATGGTATAACTTTAATTTTAGGATACAGTGTATATCATAATTTAGAATATCATACTTGTTACATAAGCATGAAAGAACAACAACTCACAAAACTTCGTCCAAGTGAAATTTATTTCACGATGACATATATACCAAACACATTCAAGATGGGCCCTGACACTCACGGACGGGTTCACAAAAACACACGGATACAGGATATGATTGACTTAATCAAACTAGGAGAAAGAAAAGTTGAAGATATCCCCACAATGAAAGTATTTTCTCACAATGGTCAATGGAAAACGTTGAATAATCGGAGACTGTACTTGTTTCGTATGTTAGAAAAAGATGGAGTTCTGACTCACATCAGGGTTGAAATAATTAAGCATCGTCATTGCGAAAATGAAACCTATAAAGCCGGAGATTTTTATATTCCTAAGAAACATTGGGGAAATAAATGGTCACATTGGTTCCGCAGTATATTGTGTGCTGTAGTCATAGTATTTGTTATTTCTTTGGTTGTTGCGATTGTTTTAGTTACATGTTAAAATGCTGTTCAATTTATAATTTCATTAAATTTTCTTGCCGTGGCCATGTGTGCTGCTATTTTTGTAGTGTTACCCAAAGTTTGAAAAAATAGTAACAATGCGATGTAGCCCGTTGATTTTCAATAGTAGTTGGTAATGATTGATAGCGAAACACCAATTGGGGATTTCTATTTTATGGAAACTAATAATTGTCTCGATCCATTTTGGCATAAAAAGGAGCGAAAACACCAATATTTTATAGCTTGATAAGAATGCAAACAGACAGGTTTTTCGTCCTCCAGGGTTCTCAGTTTCAGACATTCTTTTTAGGTTTTTCAAGATTATTTTTCAAATATTTATTCATCGTGACAAAAATGATTGATTGAACGTGAGGTAAGATGTATGAATCACGTTGGCAGACTGCCACCACTGATAAATTCTAAAAAAGGCTTAATAAAGTTCTGTTATACTGGCTTTGAACTTTAAAACGAGATTCAGAGATTTTTAGAGTTCGTGTCGTGCAGGGTGAATTTTGATTTCTAATTTGTTTTCATGATTTATTGTATATCATGAATATTTCATTCTGAATGAATTGAGAAGCAACAATTTGACGCGAATGCCTGATTGTCTTTCACAAAACACAAGTGAACAAGAAAATATATTTCTAGCCCATTCTGCTGATATATTAGAAAATATAAAAAATAATTATGTTGAATTATGGCGACATTACGTTTACATTTATATTTTACTCATAATGACTGCAAAAATTGTATTTAAGCACATTTCACGAAGTGTTAATTAGAAAAAATTTTTGCATTTTTTTTATTTTGAATAAGATTTAATTTTATTTCTATTTCATTTTTTTACTATTTTCTGTGTGGAATTTTTAACTCACAATCTTTCACGATCTTTGTTACGGTCTTCGGGATGCTAAATGATTGATGAAACTTTTTATTGAAAAACAAAGATCAGGAACAGTTACCGCAAACATTCCGACGATTGGTGATAATTCCTCTTCTCGAAAATAATGAAGACGAAAAATGACGCGATCATACACATACGAGAAAGGTGAAAAAGTAAGACGTAGAAAAATGAATATTTCCTAAGATATATATTTGTATTTATTCAAAGAAGCTGTTGATAAGTACACTGTAAGTCTAATCAGTACTCACTAAATGAAATATATATATTCCATTCATTCAATGTCTATACATCAGCTTATAAAATGTGAAATCACTCAAAACAGTTTCATGAATCCTTATTTTGAACTTGATTTTGTGCATAATGCAATATTGGAATTTATTGGATAACGTAAATAATTTTACCAAAATTCCGAAAAACAGCGTTCTCTGTGCCTGCGGCAATAAGTTTGAATCGGGAAGAATTTGGCATGAACATTAAAAACACATCGGTTTTTATAAAATACTAAGTAATAGATATAAATATATTTTATTTTTTCTCTTACAAGATCTATAAAAGCAATGCATATCGACATGCATACAATGCGGTGATGATGACATTGAAATCGGTGCCTATCTGTACCGTATGCTTAACAATATCAGTGTTTATGGGCCTGTCAGTGTGGTGTTTGACAGTTTTCAGTCGAATAGGGTTGCCACTTCTGGATACATTTTTTTTCGAATCGAATCTCGAATCAAAACTTTTCGAATCGAATCTTTCCGAATCTGATTCCATTGAGCTTTTTTTTTTATTACATGCGTATGTTTGCCCAAAGTCACAAAAAAGCTCAAATCTAAAGGAAAAAAATTTGAAAATGGAATAGGCTATATAGCAAGGATGATAAGGGTTTTTCAGTGAATAAGTCACACTTAGGTCATAGATATCACTAATAAATGCATTGATGAAAAACTTGCTGTTGCAACTTATCTGTGAGTCTTACAATACTGAGTTATTGTGTTATACTTGTATCAGGGCTGAGGCAATTTGATGGAATTCATATGAGAAAATAAGCAGGGAACAGTTGTACTGTTATGTCGTAAACACAGTAACAGGAATTACTATAAATTGGAAAAGCTTACAAGAATATGATTGAAGACGATAAAATTAACCACGATTAAATTAAATTAATTTCGATAAAAACAATCGTTCATCCGACTACGATTGCGAACAAAAATTTCCATAAATATTAGAGGAAGTATTATTTGTGGCTAACAGCGTTATTGGCTAACTCGGGCTTCATTATTAATGTGGACTACGTTTAATTTCGTAATTCAGAAAGTCCAAATGTGCATAATGGACGCAGCGCTGACGAGCGATAATTGGTTGACGCTTTATCTCGATCAAACATGGTCGCTGGGGCTAAAGTAAGACGACATTCGCACAGTATGCTCGGTCTGGTATGAAATCTGCCACGTGTTGATGTAAGACAGTGCACAAGTTGCCATTCCTCAAGTATTATTTACTCCCACCTGTCCGTTATGACATTTGCTCGAAATAATCCGAAATGTTTTATTCGCTTGTATCGCGATAACAAAATTAAAAGTAAATACTTTATTTTTGTTTGTAACAGCTGAAAAAAGACGTGTATGTACTATTACATTATGTCCCCCTGATTTCGTTTACCGCCACTCGAGTGGAAGCCTGACAAACGCAAACAAAATAAATATATATTTTAGGATGAGAAACATGATTGTCAATTAACATTGCCGGCCGATGAACTCATTCAGTAATAGTTCTCTTCAAATGTACGCGAAATATTGCTCTCAGAACAAAGTTTAAATTAAATTTCAATCAAAATTTAACATTATCTAGACGTCGGTAGCCGATTCTTTATCCAATCATGCCAGGGCGTACAATTACTTCGTCGCAGCGCAGGTGTGCTGTTGAAAATTTTCATCAAAATTGTCACGAATTTTCATGTATACGATCCATTTAAATTCGCGCATAATGGAAACTTCGGCTATTTAGTGGAAAACTGAACTCGCAGTTTGCTGGTAATTACGCCACACATCATCTCGAGTGATGCGTAAAAGAGTGTGTTGTGTCGAACTTGAAACAAATGACGGCAGACAAGTAAAAAAGTCAATCACGAAAAATTCATTTTCATTTATTTACGTCCCGTAATTTGTTGCTATTTGGAGTGCCGCATAAACGCATTCGGCAGTTTTAACGCCACCGAAAACAACGATTAACAAATGTTCAATGTTTTTCTTTCGGTCCCGTAATTTGGTGTTATTTGGAGTGCTGCATAAACGCATTCGGTAGTTCTAACACCGCCGAAAACAACGATAGTTATCTAAATTATTTGCAAGTCTATGAACAATATTGATGGCAAAAAGAAATATACATGTAATTGCAAAGCAGAAACGTACAGCGCTAAAAAAATTGAACAAAGTGCTCAATGACCACCCATACTCGCACATCATTGTTTCACCTACAAAAATTAAGCATCAGATTACAGCATTTAAAAGCAGTAAAAAATGACTTAAGCGTTGTCACAAGAAATCATATCGGTTGCGCAAGCATGTAAAATCCATTGAAAGCCGTGATAAAGACCCTGCGAAAGAGTGCTTTATGTGAAGAAAGTCTATACTTCTATCAATCTCCAATAGATTTTTATCAGATAGCAGCTGGAAACTTTTGCAATGACTAACTCTGTTTTATTCAAATAAAGCACCAAATACGTGCGCAAGGTCTGTAATCAAGCTCTATCACACCTAGCTGTCATAAAAAGTTGTTGCCTAAAGCTTCCAGCTGAGCCTGGTTTCACAAAAATTGCCTTTGAATGGATCCAGCTAAATGGCGATGCTTCTTCGTTGTAGTGCAATTTTGAATTGAAGTTTTATATTTCAGCGGGGTGGCCAAAACTTAATACTTAACTATTCAGTATACGCACTGAACGGATATTTTCAAATATTATATTTTAATCTGGAAATAACTTTATTTGGAAAATTACAATCTTCTGTATATCTTTCCTTTGGTCATAATTGAAATAGCACAAATATTATGATAATTGATTCCATATTTCATTTGCATGCATTTGATGAACCTACGCTTTGCTCTGCTTGCCTGGTGCCAAATTTAGGTATTGAAATCGACAATTTGCAAATTCAGATATAGAGTCGCCAAATATAGAGTCAGGCGATAAAATATGGCCAAATACAGGTAAGTTGGGTTAGCGATTCCGATAAGCCATTTTGGTCAATGTTCTGTGGTCGTTATTGTTCGCTTTTGCCGGTACGTTGGAAATATTATTAACCCACGACTTACGCAAATTGATAAAAAAAAGCCAAAATTAGCATTGTGTGGTGAGCTGGGATATATTAGTATTTTAAATTTAATAAGAAACGAATCAAAATCAGGAGAATAGGCAAGAAAAATCGACGCAAATAATTGATTTTTGTAAAATCCCATGAGAAATGCATTACGCGTCGCGGAAAAGTTGGAAATCTTTTGTCAAAACGAGAGAACCTTCAAATGATCCCGCGGAAAGGATAGAGAAGCACACACTATATTTATATATCCCTGTGGCTGTCACAAACGAATACATGTAGCAAGATCTAATGGCATCACTTTGTAACACGCCATGAACAATGGCATTGGCTGTCGTAACTACGGCGCAACCTATGGCAGCGAAATATTTGCCACATGAACAGTGGCACAGAACGGAAAACCATGTCGACTTTTTGACGCCCCACAAGAAGATTGATTGCGGATTACGGATTGTATTTGAGCACATTTTCACGGAGTGTTGATTAGGAATATATTTTTTTTTTTTTTTTTATTCTGAATAAGATATAATTTTCTTCTTATTTTATTTTTTACTATTTTCTGTGTAAAATTTATAACCTGAAAAATTAAATGGAACGTATAGTAATGTAAGTTCAGTTCCGTCGAAATGTTTTGTCACATTTCATTAAATCTTGTCTTTTCCGAAACCCGTAAGGGTAGTACTTACTAAATGAAGTATTCCATTCATTCAATGTCCATACATCTCCTTAACAAATGTGAAATTACTCAAAACAGTTTCATGAATTTTTTTTGTAATTGATTTTGCTCTCAATGCAATATTAAAATTTGATTGGATAACGTAACAAATTTTACCAAAACTTCGAAGAAAAGTATTCTCTGTGCCCGCGGCAATAAATTCGATCTAGCTGTTATTGTAAACTAACCGCAAATAGGAAGAATTTGGCGTGAACATTAAAAACACATCGCAATAGATATATGTATTTTTTCTTTTTTTCTCTTGTATGATCTATAAAAGCAATGCATATCCACATGCATACAATGCGCAAATCGCGAAAGAAGTTCACAATGAATCTGTATGTGTTGTCGATTTTTTTGGTGGCTGGAATACAAATATCTGGATCGAGTGCTCAAGAATTTATTCCTACTGAGTTTTTCAAACAATTTGATGACGAGGTTTAAACTTTTTAATGCTTTTATTTATTTTAATATGCTGTTGTATTTTAACTACTCATGTTTTACCTAAAGGTATCTCCAAACGAAGCTTCAATGTTTGATTTTCCGATGGAGAAAGGCTTTGATCGTCACAAGCATAAAAGATGCGCTCGTTTCAGGTTTATCGTTTTTATTAGAATACTTGTTACTTATTTAGGTAATTGATTCAACAATCGTAACTTATAGAGTGACAGAAGGTGGAGCTGTAAAACACATGCGATTCTTTATAGATGCTGCATAAAGCGCAATATTTAAATATGTATTTGTTTCTGGAAGTAAAGAAAAAATTTGAAAAACTTAAGACGTTTTATATTTCCATTGATCCTACTCGCTTCAACAGATATTCGTCTCCTCCAGAAGACTCCTGTGATGTTCATCGGTCGCCCTCTGGATCTTGCAGAAGTAGAAAATGTACTCAAGCTTCTTACTACGGATCGTCTAAATGCATGAAACAAGTCAAACTTTATAGACCATTTTACCACGGAGGTGTCGAATGCATGTAAGTGAAATTATCCGTTACTAAAAAAATCAAAAGTTCATTTTATAAATTGATATAAATCGAATATTGTTTGAGTATCTAAATATATATTCATAGAGCAACTATTTCTTTCCGTTTTGTAGTTCCGCGACTAAAGCATGCTCAGGCAGCGATGCCGACCCAACGATGTATCCGATGCCTCGTGAAAATCTTATGTATCCGGAACCGGTTGAAGCCAATGATGAAGTGGGCAATGGGTGTGAATGTCAGACTATCTGGTTTCTTCGCCAAATACACACAATTTATGAAATCGAAGAAATGGGGAAATTGTTTAAAGGAAATGTTACAGTGAAAGTAAGAAAAGCATTATGAAAGATATATATTTGCTTATTCGCTTGCATGTTATGAGAATTCACTTATAATATACGTCACAAGGCGATAATGCCCATGTAGTACTTTTAGATACCATTTTTGAAGTTCATTTGAAGTTTTGGCAACTTTTTCCTGTGTTTATTTTGTGTTTTATAATCTTTTCAACACAGCAATGTAAAAGAATTATATATCTATCTCATACTCAGATGTCTTAATTTTTTTTTTAAAGTCCATCTTACAACTTGGAAAATGCCTACATTGTACATCACGGATAATAAATTGTCCGTTTTTAATTAATGAAATAATTCATTGACGCGTCACCACGAAAACCGATAAATTTAGTATAAATATCATGATTTTTCTTTTTTCTGTGCACAGTGTGATCGTATTTATATATTTAGATTCCAAGGAAATGTGAATGTAGAAGGAAGAAGATACAGATGGGTCCTAATTATGGACGATAAAAATATATTCAAACAGTGCAATTTTGTCGTTTTAAAAAAAACTGAAAACGACGATTTCTGACCGTTATTTCCATAGACTATGAGAGAGTGGTTAATGGAACGAAAGGGGCTTAGTTGAATTGACCAACTTTATTTTGGTTTGAGCTCTAAAAAGTAAGAAATTTTCGCTCAGTTTGAGATGGTACAGGTCAAAAAATAAATAAGATTGCCACTCATACAACAGCACTTTAGAGGGTGGTTTTAATAGTGACATCAACGTTAGGTTTATGGTTCATGCTTCTCCAAGTCCACGCGCATTCATGATTATCCAACTTGTACTAGAATCTAGATCAGTGTTTCTCAAACTTTGTGCCGTGAGAGATTCTCAAGTGTGCCGCAATGCTTTTTGGAATTTCAGGAAATAAGCTTTTCACATTACACATAGGCATGCATGCAACGGGAAAGACTTGAGACCGCATTATCTATTATTAGACTGATAACATCATTGCATTTGACTTGTCGTTGTAGTAAGGGTAATTGTCACGCTATAATTGTATTGTTATGTTATAACGTATATTCAAACAAGACGTCCATGTTTCACCATGTTGACTTGCACGCCTAGTTGGGCTAACAGGAAAGCAAGTTTGTACGAGTTTTGACTGTGCTAAATCCATCGAAGTAATCTGGCTATTTTCGTCTCCATAGCTCTGTGTGAAAACGTTTTTTTGCTCTGACTGGAAATAAAAGCAAAAAAGGGAGCAATGGAACCTCGTTTCAATTGTTTCTCAAAACAGGCACACACATCGAATCAACATTTGCAGAATAAATTTGTTTAAAGCTAACTTTATTTTTTACAAATGCAGCGCAATTTTTTTTATTTGCTCAGTGCGCCGCGAGCAAAAAAAGTTTGAGACCCACTGATCTTGATAGTGCATTATAAACTATACTGCATTGCGAATGGAAAACAGGCATGTTCAGACAATTTCCAGTTGTTTTCAAAAAATCAGCATTGAAAATACATCTGACTCTAATTCTGCCACCAAATTCATTTCTGCGGCCATAGAATTATCCGACAGCATAGCAAGAATACAGTTTGCGCTCCATTCTATAGGCACAACTTAGATAGTTAGTCTACAAAGTCTGTCTTTATCTAATCAGCGGATGTGAAAGACATGAACACTCGGGACTGAAAACTACACTTATCAAATACTCTTGTATAGTTCTAATTCGTAGTAAGAATAACCTCGAGATTTTAAGATAAACCAATATGTTTTCATATGCATTAGACATTCCCATACAAAATTTGCACATAAGAATATTCACGAGATGACGCACAAGATTCAAGAATAAATTGATTAGGGCAGTTTAGCCACGCCATGATTCATTCATATTTTGTTTCTTTAAACCATGGCCACAAGTCATGCGCTGTTAGGTTGTAGTTAATACTCAAGGAATAAGCTTGCACTTTAACAACTAGAGCGTTTTAAAAAAGTTTTAAACGCAAGAAACTTGTTTATGGGAAGATTTATAAAAAGGATAAAGAAATGAGCTTGCATTGATAGCTTTTGTAATATACCTAAAAGAAAGATTTTGAAAAAACTTGTTACTTGTACAACATGACTAATTTCGCCCGGACGATATCCAGGAAAACTCGTGAAAACAAGCAAACAGATATGGCGATATTGCCTGGTATAATGCACGTAAATCCATTGCCTCTAGGCGAATAACAACCATTCTTAGTTAATATGTCTACGCTTCTTAATGATCGATTAACAATTTTTCAGACTAACTCAGTTCGCATTTAGTTTTGTTCAATTTAGAAATGGGACAACCTGAATCACGACCAACTCATAGAAGGACAACTGGTAAATTTGAAAACACGAATAACAAAGGTTTGCGCCTTCCAATCGGTCTGAAATTTGAAGGTTCAACTTCTTATAGCAACGGCTTGATGCAAATGCTATATTTTATACCAAAACTTCGAAATGCAGTATACATTGTTGCAAATGAAAAAAATCCAGATAAGAAAGTATCCTCCATGCTTGAAGAATTGTTTCGAAAAATGGATGACAGTAAAGGTCCGGTAGGTACAAGCAAACTCAAAGAAATATACAAATGGGAAACTTTTGAAAATGATATAGGTTTGGACGGTTTCGGTTTACTTTATTTTATTTTACCAACTCTCGAAGAAGAAATGAAAGGCACAAGTGTTCAAGATGTAATTCCGTCTATGTTTGAGGGAGAATTGCTTAACTATATACGTTGTTTCGATGTGGAGTTTACAAAACAGTGGAAAGAAAAGTTCCATGCCTTGCACTTACATAATAGTAAAGGGTTGATTGATTCACTTCATAAGTTTATTGAACCCGAAATTCAGGATGGAGAACACAAAGTACGAACCGACATCCACGGATTACAAGAAGGAGAAAGGGGAGTAAAACTGCTTACACTGAGTCCAATTTTATGTTTGTATTCGGAGAGATATCGAAAAAAGTTTTTGGAACCATACGAATTTTCGAGAAAACTAGAACTTGATGAATTTTTGGACATACCAGATCCTAACGACAAGGCAACATATGTGCTACATTCTTTACTTATTCACAGGTAAAATATTGTTTGCAAAACAGCATTCATTCATAGACAAATGATAAATGATAATAAAAGTCATATTACCATGGTCAAGAGGCCGGCTCATTTGAAATAGGGCGCTGCAAACTGTTACTTAAATATTATGATTTAAATGTAGGTGCAAACTCGATGGTGAAAACAGTGATGGCAACTATCATGCATTTATTGATCCAAAATGTGATGGCAACTGGTTTGTTTTTGATCATGAATTAGTAGAGAAGTCTGCTGAAGAAGAGATGCTTCGAGAAGGATTTGGTGGGGTAATTGATGGCCAGTTATACCGTCCGTAAGTAAAATGTATACAGTAATTTCGTAAACTTAAAACTCTATGTATGATTGACCCAATAACTCTGTTACTAAAAATATTTACACATATAAGGGTCGACGTCTGTGAAGCTTAAAATTGATTGATCGCGTCCTATCGGTGGATATAGCTTTACATAGCCGTAGATATCTACAACAAGATATTTTAAAATCTAATCTCTGACTCTAACATTTAATTTAAAATTTCAGATACTTCTTCTTTTATATTCGAGAAAGCAAGATAAACGAAATTCTATTGGGATAAAGAGTATACATTGAAAACTCAGGGAATATAAAAGAGCCGTTTTGTGCTTATCTGTCGCTAGAAATATGCTGCACCCAAAGAGATGCCACGCGATGCCAAACTATATTAAAAAGATGATGAAAAATTTGGTTGCGATTTGGATATTCCTAATTGGATGGATTTACAAGATTGTAATCTTATAACATATTCTTTGAACTTGTTGACTGACTTATTATGAGGTACAGTATAAGTGACATGTCAGGGATTCAAATATTAAAAATATATATACATTATGTGGAATTTCCGTTTATCTGATCGAATTGCCAAGATACCGCCACAAGCATTAGCAGAGGGTGGTAGCGGAAGTAATCATACGAAATATATATTTCAGTATTATATTGCAGTACTAAATACTACATCATAACTGATTGTTAATTGAGTGGTGATTTCTTACAATATTCCCATTAAATCATTTTATTCACAAAGTAAAGATTTTAATTAAGAATGGGCTATTCGTTGCAAAAAGTGATGGAAAATATTAAATTAGTAATACGATTTGGACGGGATTAACGCTGTTAAATACCGTGAAGATATTTTTCAAGTGTAAATTTCCCCACTTCATAGAGCGCATTAACTACTGAAAAGCTCGTTTTTAGAAATGGTAAAGCAGCTTTGCAGTGTTGGATGGAAATCAATATGTCACTGAAATCGGAGTAAATCGAGTCAGGAGTTATCAGAATTTCGATTCGAATAAGCTACTGACCTAATCTCACTAGCGGTTTGTTGAGTAACGAGTCCGAGTCATTTCATACGACTCGAGTCACTCTGAATCTTGATAAACGGTGACTTGAGTCTATCTCAAATCTAGCCAATGACTCGAGCGTCCCCAACACTGCAATTTAGGATAGCAATCAATCTTCTTCAACATTTATGATATGAATACAAATTTGTGTTATTTGTGAAGTAATAAATTTAACACCATTCTAATGTGTTTCCCATGGCAGTTTAGAGCAAGCAATAGCCGATCCAATATACATAATCACTAAAAACAATCCAAATAAATAACAAACAATTCCGTAGCAGAAAAGGCTTACTTCGGACGGGATAGGTTTTATTAAATCCGGCTCATAATTTTCTATTCGTTTTGAGTAATGATGCCTTGTTGTTTCTGAATCTTGAAAGTCAACTCGTGTGCCGTCGCAGTCAGGTGGATGACATCTAGCATTCACAATCCTGACTTCAATACGTTCCATGTATCCATCGTATTCCAAAACACGAAATATGTATAATAGTTGATTATTTGAAGTCCACCAAAAATTTCCATCTTGGAAAACTTCAATCGTAGGAAATTCTGAGATACGTTTATGTCCTGATTTGATCGCGTCAATCGATTCATGTATTCTTAAATTGCAGTGACGTTCTTCAGCCGAACATATCTCATCGCTGAGCGATGAGGAAATGTATCGTTTTGTAAAATTAATATCCTTTGGTCTGATTTTTCTTTTGCCATTCGTCTTGACTTGTCTTCTTTTTCCGTTTTTGAAAATGCACAGTTTTAGTTTTCTGAATTCAGCAATCACTAAGCTATATACATACACACAATCAAGCAACATAAGCCCGACCGGCAAACATCTAATAAGATGTAATCATTATTGATATTTCTTCAAAATTTTGCCTTTTTGACGAAAAAAAACATTTTATTTTGTTTAGGTAAAAGTAGTTTTTAATTTTTTAATAAACTTTTTCCAAGACATAAAAAATAAATTTAGATAAAATAATTTTATTTCACATGTCAGGTTCCAAAATGTCTTTACCCTAGGCCTAAAACATGCATGAATTTAGAACAGTCTATATAGAGATGATAAAAAAAAATAACGATTTTGTTGATGCAAACGTGGAAAAAATGTGAATGTTCATAATTGCAACAAGTTTGAAGGCATAATATTGATTTGTCTGCAAAATATGATTCACCCAAGATGAGGCAGCCACATATATTCATGATATAGGTATGTATTGCAACATTGAAATTCTCATGCTCAATTTGTTTCCCACTACCAATTAGGCCATGGGACACACTGTGATTGCAGTTTTACAAAAATCTTGCCCAGTATCAAAATTGAAAGAATTTATCAATATTCACGATATTTACATAGCACTTTCATTGTTCAATCCCAATCTGGCATTTTATACAGAGATAACGCGTACATGTGGAGAAAAAACATCATAAAACATATTCCAAATAAAAAGCAGAATAATCCATAAACAAATTGGACAATCCAGCCAAAAATGCATTCACAGTATTCAAATGTTTCAAAACGATGCCTTCGAATTCTGTTTGAATCCTGAAACAGAACTTGTTTTCCGACGTAGTCTGGTGGATGATATCGAGCATTTACTATTCTGACTTTAATGTGTTTGATGAGTCCTTCATATTCTAAAACACGAAACATGTACAATCTCCGATTGTTTAAACTCCACCAACAGTCACCATCTTGAAATACCCCAATCATTGGAAATTTGAAAACATATTCCTGATCTGATTTGATTGAATTAATAACATCATGTATTTCTGATTCAGACATTGAAGATATGTATTTCTTCGTAAAACGAATTTCTCGCGGCCTCAAAAGTATGATGTCTGTTAATTTTGACATTTTGCTTGAATGTTACTTTATTGAATAGTAGTCTATAGTTTAGACTTAAATTTATAAAATATAAAATTAACGATTATTAACAGAAAATTTAATTGATATAGCGACAACTCAGAATACCTCATAACTTTCCGTAATCTTAAATAACGAACCATACATATAGATTTACAGAATGACTGATAATAAGTACACTCCGATATCGAAATTTTAGTCAGTCATAGTCATCCCAGTCGTTAGTTGAATGCTTAGTTCCATGTTCCATCTAGAATATTCTCCAAAATAAATCAGACAAAATATGAAAAATGCCCCTGCAACACAACACCCACCACCATAAAGTAAGCATGAACAACAGTCTGGACATTCATCATAAAATGAAATATCTTTTTCTGGAATCCAGTGACTTCTCGTGCAAACGGAATCAACAAAATTAACTTGTTTTCCGTCATAGTATTGCGGATGATTCCGGCTATTGACAAGTTCAACTTTGATACGTTCAATGTAGCCTTCATATTCCAAAACACGAAACATGTACAATCGTCGATTATTCAAGGTCCACCAACAGCCGCCACTTTGAAAAACTTCAATCGTTGGGAAATTAGAAACATCTTCGATCCCTTCTTTGATTGAATCAACTATCGCATGAATTTGTGAGCTGTCCTCGTATTCTCCATGGGCATTCAGACCAGAGTTGAATGTTTGTGAAATAAAACGTTTAGTGAATAGAATGCCACCGGGTCGTATTGAAATGGTAACGCAGTCTGATGAACTTGAACTCATGGTGAAGTATGCTTTACTTTAATAAATAAAGTTTGTAATATAAAACTGACGCGCTGTCTTGATGTCTCGTTGAGGTCACCAGGTATAATGTCTTTGAAATGAATATCCCTTCCTGATAAAATTGTCTATAACGAAGTAGAAGTGTTTTAACGATAAGAAGTTGAGTTTTTATTAAATGGTTTTTACTCTGATACCATTTTTATTTCATACAGGTAATTGTTATTGAAGTTCGTTTCGCAAAACTGTATTTTTCTCTCGCAATAAAGTAAATACTATTCTGTAACATGAAGCGCAATACAAAACTATTCGTTCTGCATTTATTGCCTTGCAGACATAACTACACATATCGTGATAAAGCGATGAGGAATTCCCCGCCAATGAAACTGCAATCTTCATTTTAAGACTTAAAAATTTTGGTTGTCGGGATCAATTGATCTTTGAAAGTGCAACGTTTGTGAAAGCAATAACTACTGCGATCAATAAAGTATGAACTTAGCGGCTACTTGGAATGGAAAAGGATATCGAATTCACTAATATTATTAGGTCTTGTGACAAAACTAATTTCTATTGAAATGGGAAAAGTCGGGATTGTATCTACGTTGTTTCAAAAATACTGTGCAAATGTGCTACTTCGGTATGCGATCTCTGTGGTCGTGTCATCTCCGTGAATTTAGTTGAGAACTGAATTCTATGAAAATGTCTTTATGAGATTAAACGCATACCAAAGAGTGGCATCACGTTAAGCGAGTGAGAGTGAGTGAGTAAGTGGTACATATGTAAATATAATATATCTCTCTCATACTAACACAATTTCTTTAGCAGCAAAACACTCCGACCGTAACAAAATGTAAATCATAGTTTTGCCCTCAATGAAGCCACGAAGTATCAATGAAAGGAAAGGAATTGCTAATTCGTAAAAAATAAACAAAGTTTTCAATAAACAAGTTTTATCAGTGGCGGCGCGTCAATAGGGCCAACCGGGGCAATGCCCCGGTTGTTTTTTCGGTATAATAAAAAATATTCGAAAAATACCTCAATATCGGTTGCACAGACTGTCTACACTAGCCATATTCTCCCGACATGGTTCATTTTTCGCTCGCAAAGCCATCAATCTTCTATGAAGCATCTGGACAATGCAGTAAAATACCGAACATTCGGAAATGTTGATATTGCAGCACAGTTGGATGAAGGACGCGCGGTTTCTATTCGTCGGCACAACCAAAACGTCGAGAAAAACCGCCATGTTCTCGGTCGATTGATAGATGTTTTGAAGTTCATTGGTTGTCACGAGCTGTCCCTCCGTGGGCACGATGAACGGGCTGGCTCTTCTAATAGTGGGGTATTTTTAGATATGGTGGAATACACCACATCCCTAGATACAGTATTGAGAGATCATCTTGATGCCGCAACTGTTTCGAAAGGGACATCTAAGGATATCCAAAATGATTTGCTCGACTCAATGTATAGAATTTATTTACAACATTTGGCTCTGAAAATTGAGAATTGCCAGTTCCTTTCGATTCAGTCTGACGAGACAACTGACATCACGTGCGTTTCCCAACTGGCTGCGGTTTGTGAAAGATGGTAAACCTACCGAGAGATTTCACAGCTTTGTACCAATCGTTGATCGCACGGCTTGCGGGATATCGGCTGTACTGAAAAAAGTGTTACAGCCTTACAACGCGAAGTCAAAATTGATAGCTCAAACTTATGACGGCGCGGCAGTCATGAGTGGGTCGAAACATGGTGTTCAAGTTTATATAAAAGAAGATTTTCCTCATGCGCATTTTTTACATTGTTATGCACACCAATTTAACCTCGTTATTAAAAATATGTGTCTTGATACCCCTCTCGTCCGTATACTTTTTGCAAATGTTTCGGGGTTTTCTTCATTTTTTTCCGTTTCGCCAAAGCGCTCTGACCTCCTTCGCCAGATATGTAGCCGCCGTCTCCCAGCTTGTGTACCAACACGTTGGAACTTCCAATCACG